TTTGTGATGATTAGTTTAGCTAAGTTTATTTTTATTTTAGGAATTATTATGCTATTATAAATATATAGTATAGCCTTAGTATTTATATATTTTAAAGGTTAATTATAACCTTTATTAATCCTTTTTTAAGATTTTTATATATATTAGTGTTTTTTTATATTATTTTATTAATATCCTTTTATATAAGGATCTTTTTTATAAATCCTTTTTTAATTAATTTACTATATGCTAGGGATTTATTATATTTTATAGTTTTATTAATTAAAAGGTAAAGTAAAGTTTTAAAAAAGATCTTTAATTTAAAAGTATTAAATTAATACCTATAGTTATATTTTATATTATTAAGATCTTATAATTTATATCTTTTATAAAGTCCTTCTTTTATTTATTATTTAAATTATTCTTATTTAGTAAATTCTTTATATTTATAATAAATATAAATATCTTTAATTTTAATTATATTAAAGTTTAAAATTTTATTATTTTTAAATTCCTTATTTATTAGCTAAGTAATAAAAGTATTAATGCTTTTTTTATTTTTAGGTTTTTTTAAAAAATAACCTAATTCTTTTTTATTATTAAAGTAGATTTTATATATATTATTATAGTATATTATTTAGTTAAAATATTTATAGTTTATAATAAGTATTATTATATTAATATTTTTCTTATTTTATAATTTTAAAATAAGTAATTATTTCTTATTATTATTTTTCTTAAAGCTGCAGCAGTATTTCTTAATATATCCCTTTTTTTTATAATTATAATATTTAATATTTTATTTATTTTATTTCTTTTAGTTAATAGTATTAAGGTTTATTAGTTTAGGTTTTTTATTATTATATATTATAAAGTTATACTTTTTTTTATAATTTACTATATTTCCTTATTAAAATATCTTTTAATTACTATATTTCTTTACACTTTATTCTTTTTATTATTTATATAATTAATTATTAATTTAAATAGCTTTTTTAAAAAAGGCTTTAAATATTTTAAAAAGTTTATTTTATATAAGTTTATCCTTTACTTTAAATTTTAGCCTTTAATAATAAAAAACCCTTTTTAATATATTATTTATATTTATTTTAGCACTAATTTAAATAAATTCTGCAGTAAACTTTAAGTATAACCCTTTCTGCTTAAGGTTAAGGAGCTAATTTTTAGCTTTCTTCTTTTTATTTATAGCTTTAAAAATATCTTTAACTTATTATTTAAAGTGCTTATAGCTATTATATATTACTATAATATTTACCTTATATATATTAATATTATTAATAATAGCTTTAAAATCCTATTAGTAAGGTTTAAACTAGTTTTTAATAGCTTTTTTTAATTAAAAAGCAGTAATTTATACCTTTATCTTATTTATTAAAATAGTTATAAAAAAGTACTTAAAGTATATTTTTATATTTATAAAAAATGCTTTAATTTTCCTTATATTTTTATTATATATAGCTAGTATTAGTAGCTTAATAATTTTTTTAAGTTATTTCTTTTAGTATAAAGCTAGTATATTAATAGCTAGTAGTGCTTATTAATTTAATTAAGCTTTTAAAGCTATAATTATATTCTACTATTAGGCTTATTCTTAAGTTAATTATTAAATTAAGTTTTTAAAAATTATAAGTTATTAAAATACTATATTTTTTACTATATTTTAAGTAGTATTATTAAGTTTTATATTTTTATAAGTTATTATATTAACTTATTATAATTACTTATTTTTATTTTAAAGTAATACTTTTTTAATTAATATTACCTTAAAAGTTTAAGGTAACTTCTTAAATAAAAGTTATTATTATATAATAAACTAGGTTTTTATAATTAGTAAAAATACTATTTTTTAAAAAATAAACTATTTAAGTAAATAGCTTTAATAAAAGAGCTATTTAAGTTTATACTAGTAAAAAGTTAAGTTAATACTTAAGGTATATATAATTATATAGCTAGTTAATATATTTATATAATAAATATTTAGGTTTTAATTTATTTATATTATAAATACTATTAAGTAATAATAACTAGCTATTTAAACTATTTAAATAAGTAATATAAATATAACTTATATATCTAGTTATCTTAATATCCTTAATATACTTAATTATTAAGTTTATTAAGTTATCCTTAATATACTTAATAGTTAATTCTATTAAGTAGCTCCTGATTGGCTAAACAGTCTGATATTTATCCAGTGCCGCCTACTAAGGGTGGCCTATTATCGCAACCATAAGGCTGGGTCGTGACATAATACTTAAAAAGAAAGGGGTGGACAAACGCCCTCGTCCAACTTATACAACTCTTTCGGCACGCCACTGGCGGCATTTTGCCTGGTCCGACCTTGACACAAAACGGCTTCAAAGAACAATGCAGTGGCATCCAGAGAGGAGAAAAAAAATCTGGCCATGAGAGTGATTAAAAGGTCATGATCAAAATTGCAGTATGTGTGATGCAACAACACTATAAAATCATCTCCACAAACAATCAAACTGCCCACAAATGGGGAAGTCTACTTTGAGATATTCTATGAGCTGGTAGATAAGAGCAACATGAATTTCAAGGGGTGCTTGGTGTGTCAGAAATATAGAAGAAGAAAAAAAAAGAAGAAGAAAAAAACCTGGTGAACTACAAGGAATGAGATGAAGAATAAAGTTTATGGTCCCGGAGTTTAGAGCATGCGTCCTGGTATCACACGAGGGAAAGAAGTCGGGTTGAATCCTGAACATACGGAAACCTGGCACAATATGACTACAGCACTGCAGTGCAAGAAGCTCTCTTGCGTCAACAGCAAGGCAAATACGTGCAAGATTCGGCACAGAATATAGGTGCAATCATATCGCTTCTTACTAAAGCATCACGCCCTGAAACTGCTTCACACATCAGAGGACGTACGGCTCTCTCCAACAAGACGGGGGCGGATTAAGCATGTGAGCACGACAAGCGAAACCGAAAGGCCCCAGGCCTCTAGGACGTACCTCTCTTCCGATTAAATTCTCTCTCTGGCTGGAGGCTCGTTAAACGTGATGCAGTGGACATGTGGGATCAAGCAGGTTCTCTTCTTCACTGTTTGGGGCAAGCCCAAGCAGCAATGAAAAGGGGGGCGTCGTCGAGTCGGGTTGTCGTCGAGTCGGGTTGTCGTCGAGTCGGGTTGTCGTCGAGTCGGGTTGTCGTTGTTTCGAGGTCGTCGTCATCGTGTCGCCGTCGTCGTGCCAAGATCGAGATCGTGTCGTCGAGATCGTGTCGTCCAACTTGGAGTCATCGTCGATTCGAGTTCGTCGTCGTCGTTTTCGTCACCGAGGGGTTTATCGTCGTTCGTCGTTGTCGATTCGAGGTCGTCGTCGTTGTCGATTCGAGTTTGTCATCATCGTCGTTCGTCGTCGGGGTCGTTCGTCGTCGGGGTCGTTCGTCGTCGAGTCGTCGGGGTCGTTCGTCGTCGAGTCGTCGGGGTCGTTCGTCGTTGAGTCGTCGGGTCGTTCGTCGTTGAGTCGTCGAGGTCGTGGTCATGGATTCGGGGTCGTCGTCGTGGATTCGAGGTGTCGAGATCGTCGTCGTCGTCGTCGTGTCTCGGGGAGTCTGTCCTGTCTCGGCTTGTCAGCATATCCCTCACGGCATGTCGAGCAATGTCAGTCTTTCTCACCTTCCATGCCTCCAAGAGGCATCAGCAAACGAGATGGGGCTCAATATCTCCCCCGTGGCATGAGGAGCGAGCCACCTGCTACACAAGCACCGAGCTGGCACAACCCCAGCACGAGCAGGCGTCGCCCCGGAGGCCGGCGAGGGCCAGGCCTCGAGGGAGAGTCCCTGCACGCGCCGGAGTCGTCTGCCGCTCCAGGTGCCTGTGCGGGCGCAGGTGGGATCTCCTCATGCCACGTGTCGCTCAGTCTCAGCTGCTTTTGACCATCGAGGATATCACGGAGCCGAAGTTCGATGATTGCCCGGGCATCTGGAGCACTTGAGGCGGCAAGCACCGAGCTGGCACAACCTCAGCGCGTGCAGGCGTCGCCCCGGAGGCCTGGCCCCAGGGGGGAGTCCCTGCGCGCGGTGAGGCTGCGTTGCCGCTCAAGGTACTTACCGCCTCAAGATGCGTCCAGATGCCGCAGGCAACCGATCGAATTCGACTCGTGATACCCTGATGGGCAAAAGCAGCTGAGAGGAGCGAGTTGGGGAAGAAAAGAAAGGACCGGAACGAGGGGGGAACGCTGACCCCTTATATATTTTCTGCTTCAGGCACTATGGACCATTGTTGAGAGACCCAGGAGCCTCAACTCATTCGGGCTCTTCTCTTTTCTGTCAATGTTTCCGGCCAAGGACTCAACAACTAGAGTCTTCTCTCACCACGACCAGTAAACCAACAGGAAACTCTCCGTTACGGCTGGTTTCCGGGAAGAAGTCAGCAAAGTCAAATATCTGCTGGACCAGCTACTGGTCAGGAGAGTGTACGAGTTGGCATCGGAGACTATGCTTGCGGATAGGGTCAGTCCTAGTCATCTTCTTGGAAACATGTCGAGCATTGTTGGGAGGTCATCTGAAGCATCTTTCGTACAAGAACAGCTCAACACCTCTTAATCTGTGCGCCCCAAACTTACTTTGACCGCTTGCTGGTCAGCCAAACGCAGAAAGTGTATCAGTTATCAAAGGCTCGGGAATATAATACAATCATCTAGCTGTCTTTGCACACCTCGGTCAGACGAGACACAGCCATAGAGTTCCCAAAACCCAACAAGCGCACTGAGTCAATTCTCCATCAAGCAATTTTGATCATTAGTAGAAAGTCTCGAATCAAAACCAATCTTAAGCAAGCAATTCGCTTCAAGTCCACACCGGAAACCCAAATCCCAAAGCAGCAAAAACGAAAAAGGGGGGGAACCCTATCTCAGCCTCCCCTCAAGTCTTTGGATCTACACACAGTCAGTAACAGAGACCCTTGTCCATCAGACATCACCACCTCACCCAAACTCACCTATGCAAATGGCATTCGGCTTGTCATGCTTCTGATGACACCACACATACACCCTCCTGAACGGATCCGACGACTCGGGCTGCTTGCGCTGGCTGCACAGCCACCCGACCATGCCCTTGCTGGTGGCATTCGTGCAGAAAGTAATGCAGCAGTCCGTCAGCGCCGGCAGCCAGACGTAGCTGTGCGCCTCGAAGCCCAGGTCGGTGCCGCCCTCGTCGTCGATGACGGCCGTGGCGTTGCCGAGGAACTTGTTGGCGGCAAAGGCCTGGAAGGCAAAGGTGTTGGCCGAGGTGGTCTGGTTGTTGAGGAAGGTTGGCGTAGGGGAGGAAGAGGCTGATGAAGTCGTCGAGGATGTTGATGTTCTGCTGCTGCTGCTGCTGCTGCTGGTCGTCGAGCTTGGCGATGGAGAGGTTGATGTTGGCGGGCCGCTGAGAGAGTAAGAGTCAGTATTATGAGTACGCTTTAGTTTGTTTCGTCGATGAGACTTTTTTTTTTTCTTCTGCATCTGGTGAAAGAAACCCTCACCTGCTGGTCGTCGCAGCTTCGTCCACAGAAGATGCCCCCCCTTTGTCCTTCTTCGAGGCCAGTCCTCCCCCAACGCCACCCCCTACCGCCGCAGCCACCACCAACGCAAGCACAATCCCAACCAGGATCCAAAACGTCTTCTTCCTCAACCCCAAGATCCTCTTCTCGGCACCTTTCCCTGCTGTCCCCGCTCCCTCAACATCGACTCTCGTCCCATCGGGCGTCACCTCATACGGACTGCCCCCCGCCACGGCAATCTTGGTCGTGTCCATGTCCTTGGGGATCACCGTCTGCGGCGCGGAATCGCCCTCGAGGTACTTGCGCTTGTACTCGGCCTCGAGGCGGGACAGGGCTTGGGGCGTCTCGTCCGGCATCACCACTTCCGGCAGGCCCTCGTCGTGGGCGGGATACATGCCCATGGTAGGTCCGTAGCCAGAACTGATTGTCGACGACGGACTGGCTGCTCGCTCGACGGGAGGCGGAGAGAGAGGAGGAGAAGTAGCGGTACCGGCAGCAGCAGCAGCAGGAGGAGGAGGAGGAGAGTCAGGAGGAGGAGGAGAGTCAGGAGGAGGAGGAGAGATCAGCTGGCGCTCGTCTTCCGGCGGCGACTGCTTCTGTGCGGCTCCGTCTTGGCCTTTATGCTGGCGCTCGCCGGGTCCATCTTGTGCCGGATCCATAGTAAGAAATATAGTAGTGAAGATGGACAGATCAGACACCTAGTGTGATATTCGGGACGGTGACGAGTCAAAAGGAGGAGACGGACGAAAGCTTCTCGTCAAAACGGACGGGGGGGGCTCCCCAAGCTAAATCACCACCAACCTTGGATAAGAACAGCCCAATTCGACTGGACTAGTCATGAAGAACAGGGTCCTCGTCTGCAGTTTATACCAGCCCAGGACATGGCCAAGACCAATCTCCAGACGAATCCTCAGCCGCCTCATCCTGTCCTTTTCTCCCCTCGGCCGCAACTCCGCTCGAGCCTTTCTTCAAATGTTCTAAATCGAATCCTGTCCTCCTCCTCCTCCCCCCCATGCATGTCTAAGTTGTTAGCTCAGGACGTCCGTCTGCACATCATTTCCCCAAAGGAAACTGACTCAAAAGGGTGGAAATGAACACTGAAGCAAAAAGTCGTGATAGGTCCAAGCTGCCGGGTCACGCCTTTAGTTCCAGCCTTAACCCAGCTCTTGGCTATTAGTATGTACCTATTAACACACACTCATCGTAATTGTACCTCCCTTTACGACCAACTACTACCGCAAAGCAATGACAAGGATTCTCCAGCTCACAAGATGCTCAATCTTCTGTAAACGATCCCTGACTTGCCGAAAATGGCATCGCAGCCTCTGCGCCGTGTTTCATCGCGCCGTTGTCGCACACGTTGCCCTCCTTGGACGAACCTGAGGGGCCGTAAGACGGGCAAAATATTGCCCGGGGCATTACTAGGTAGTACTATCACAAGCCAAACCAGACCAGACCAATGGACGGGACGGGACGAAACAGAAGCATTTCTGACAACCGTCAAAGTTGCAGATCATTGTGTCTTGAATTCTTCGTGTTCTGTATCATCTGTCTGATCACATGCCTGGTTGCCTACACTCCTTGATTCATGCCGGATATCATTGTCAAAGTCTAGAACTCGTCCAAACTCTGTTTAGCAGATACTAGTAATAGTAGTATCCAGTCTTCATTTCCCTAGTCTCGAGACAATTTTCTATCCTCATCAACTTTTCAACACAACTACCCACGTTCACAATCATAAACCACAAACATCAGCCCTCAAAATCCCCAAAGATCTCCGCGCTTGGCAAAGAGAGAAAACCGCCCCCAAGCCTCGCCTAGATCCAGAGATGACAAGGGGGCAACATCAGCTCGTCCCCCGATCCTGGGACTCTCGAGAAAGGATCCGCACTCCTGGCACAGCCTCTGAGACTTCTTGACACGGGCATCATTGCTGACCCCAATCGGTCGTAAGCGCAAAATCCTCTTTTTTTTTTCAGCCGCATTGCAACGTCAATCGTAAGAAATTAGAACAGGCGCAAAAAAAAAAAAAAAGCATGAATTTAAACCTATCATGGGCGGGCCTCTCCCCCCCCTCCTCATCAACAATCAGGGGCCCCATCGTCAACGCTCGCGTGACAGCGGACCCCTATCCTACGTACCAACATATACCTGGTATACTCCTAGTACTAGCAGACTGTTACAACAAGAGGAAAACAAAGACGAGATACAAGTATATCAGAAGCATCGCCGCAGCATGGGATGGTTGACACCTCCGCGCAACGACCTTTGAGCACTGCACGCCTTTGCTTCACAAACACAGCGAAATCACATCATGGAAATGCAATGTCATCGCTTCCACTATCCTCACCCATCCAATGACCCCCACTCTCCCATCGCCAAACCAACCCCGACTCTTTTTTGCTCTAGCCAAAGCCTAGTCTTTGATTCATAATATAACGTTCAAAATGGAGAGGAAAGCAAGATGAGATCGATGATATGGGTAACATGAAAGCATCAAGTCATCGACTCCATTCAAGAGGGAGCTCGCAATTGCCAGTCCGTATCCCAAATCCTTCTAAATCCCATTGTCGCTGCGAAACTTTGCTGAAAATCCCATTGCCCTTTCATGATCTGTTCTTGCGGTCACTAAAAACGTCCAAAAAATTGTCAGTCTCCCGACACAGCAGCGACTTCGTGCCGAAGGGTACCACTTACGTGCTGAGTCTCCGGGACAGCTGGTGCAGCTTCTTGTCATTATCCGCCTCCTCCGCCGCCTTCTGCAGGGCGATTGCCCTCTCCTCCTCCTGATGCTTAACCACTTCCTCGTGGGTCGGGGGAAGATGCTCGTTCTGCAAGTCGACTTTTCTGGCATCCTCAAATGAGCTAATGGCATTCTTGATACCTTCGGCGCCGAGCATAAGGGTGCCGGCGGGCAGTCTTCCTCCCGAGACGGTCTTGAGCTCCGTCACACGCTCTGACTCCTCTCGCAGAACCTGGAAGACGCGCGACATGCGGCCGATGGCCAGAATCTTGTTCTTGATCGCCCTGCGCTTGAACTCGATGGAGTTGGGGTCCTCCAGAGCACTAGCAGTGGACGGCGAGCTGGGCCCGGGGGACTGTGACGACGGCGTCTCCTCCTTGAGCTCTTCCTCCGAGCACGTGCTCAGGATGGCAATGAGCATGTCGGTAATCTTTTCACCCACGAACGGCAGCGACCAGGTGAAGACGTCCATAAAGTTGGGCAGCCAGTAAGGGTGGGGCGTGCAGTTGAACTGTCGAATGTTCATGACATTGTTCTCGTACTTGAGCACAGCCGCCTTGTTGTTGTAGACGTCGAGATAGTTTGGCGCCGAGAAGATGGTCATGACACTGGGGAAGCCCGTCGTCCGCGTCTTGCGGTACATTCTGTAACCGGCATCCTGGGCTTCGTGGGCACGAATCACCGACAGCAGGTTGTTCTTTTCGAGGAACGCACAGGCGGCGTGATATGAGAAAAAGTACGAACAACCACGCACGTGGTTGTGCAAAAAGAAGTCGCTCGACTTTTCCTGCCCAAAGTCTTCGAGCGGATCGGCCCAAAGGATATCGCACATGAGGCCCTGGGTCGGCGGCTCCCTGAATCGATCAATCTGCATTGTTGTGTTAGCCAGCCTCGGTAGTTGAGCGGGACGAATTCCTCCACGCATGTCCTTGGTCTTCAGCAGCGGGATATCTTACACTTCTCAGGTCGTCGAGTGTGTGCAGTTCGGGACTCAGACCACCGTGGATACACAAAAACTGCTTGTTCATAACGGCAGCCAGGGGAAGACAGCAGAATGACTCCATGCAGGCTTCGTACACGGCCTCGGAATACTTGTGCTTGCACTCCAGCTTAAAGGTGAAGTAGTCAGTCAGGTGGCGACACTCGTGGTTGCCTCGCAGCAGCCACAACGTCTTGGGGTAGTGGATCTTGAGGGACCACAGGTAGAGAACGCATTCGATGCTAAAGTATCCTCGATCGACGTAGTCGCCGAGGAAGAGATATCGCGTCTCGGCAGGGTCGCCTCCGACCTCGAACAGCTTCATCAGGTCGTAGTACTGGCCGTGGACGTCGCCGCAGACGGTGATGGGGGCGTCCATCTCGAGCAGGTTGGGCTCGGCACGCAGGAGCTCGGTACCCTTCTTAATGATCCACAGCGCCTGCTCCTCGGTAAGTCGGCCCTCGCGGTAGAAGTGCTGCTTGAGAAAGTTGATGTCGGGCTTTTCCTTCTTGTCGTCTTCGAAGAACTGCTCGTCCGTAGGCTTGAACATGGCCGGCGCCTGGACATCTGTAGACGGGCGGTGCCGCGAGCCGTCAGCGAAGCCATACTGGGGACGTTGCGTGTGCCTTTTGGTGGGCGGCGAATCCGACAAGCAGCCTCCCCATATCGACGACAGCCGCGGGGTAGCTGAGAGAAAGACGCCGACACAAAGCACAGGGTGCAGCCAGACGTACCTTTGCACACTCGCTCGAGCGTGCTGACCTGGTTGCCATCCTCCATCATGTGGATGGTGAAGTCGATCTCGGGCAGCGGCTTCTTCTCCTGAATTGCGCGGATGGCATTGTCGACCTGGGCGGTCCGTCGAGGAGCCTGCTCGGCGTGGTCGCCTTCGGAGTCCATGGCGGGCAACTAGGTAGGTAGGTAGAAGGCTGGAGAGTTGGGAGAAGACCTAGAGGCTCGAGGGAAAGGAGAGGAGAGGCGCGATGGTTTCGGGGGCCTTTTTGGGGGTTTTAAGGGACCAGGACCTGGAGGCCGTCGGGAGATTCTGCGGTCGAAGAGGCCCAGGAGCGTGGCGGGTAGCGGTGAGGGGCGACAAGCAGCAGGCCTGCAGCTGGCGGTTCGGACGCTGGGGGCGAGGCAAGTCTCGTGGGCAGCGGGAGACAGAGAGATTCGACGTGACGGAGAGCCGAGTCGCGGTGTCGAGACGAGAAATCGGAGCGCTGGCGAGGCAGAGGCGAGATCCCTGGGTGCAGTGGTGGAGGCTGACAGGAGAAGAACCTAATGTTTGGGGAGCTGGCCATGGGGTAGGAGGCTGGCTGCTAACCTGCTAAGGCCTCTGCTAGGCCACATCCACGCCGCTAGGGGAACGGAGGTCGTGCCAACTTTAGCACCTGGAGCCCGCTGCTAGAGCCTGAAGCTTCCAGTCTGGCGTGCTGCTGGGCCTCGTACTGCTACCAGCAAAAGGCGAGGCCGAGCGGGACAAGTTGGTGTCTTTGGTACTTCTTTGTGTGTGGTTGTAAGCCTCGTGCTGCCCAATCACGGCGTCACATATTCGTGTTACAATGAGCGCTGATGGCTGTGATTCATACCTAGCCAACTACAGTCTCTTGCTACATATAGAGCATATCGTTACACATAAGTAACTCCTCTCCTACTCCCTACGAGGCATCCAGTGCTTCGTCTTGATGGCATCAGGGACTCTGTGACGATTCTCATGGCAGCCCAGGCTCTGGAGTGCGCCACCCAGTCAAGCCAAATAAAGGGGCGGGGAGGCGCGACATGGATTCATTGACATCACCCGCCACCATCTCAGGCTTCAACTTGAGTCCTACCGTGAATCAGATTAGAGACTCCATCCTTTTGAACAACAACCGCCAGTCTCCTTGTTGTGTCTCTCACAACTGATTTCTCAAACAATGATCAAATTTACTCCTACACAGCTGTAGCACCGAGGCAAACGGTTGGGTTGCTCCCTTCATGTTGCTTTTTATCAGGTACCAACTGAAGCTGCCCCTCCTTTTGCCATGCGTTTTGCAAAGTCTCCTGGCATTGGACCAGCGGAAAACGGAGCCCAGCAGAAGGTCCCTTCATGCTCATTGTGTGCTCCCGCTGCAGCCCCGCCTTCCATTCCGCCGCCGGACCCTGAAGATTTCGAGACTTGATGCTTGTTTGGGCGGCATTGATGATGTAAGCCTCGAAATGGAGAAGCTCGCATCGCTGCTGTTCCATGTCTTTATGTTAGGCAATTGGTGTTGAAGCAATCATCAATTGAACCCGATCCCACCGACTTTGTGCACGATGTATTGATCAAACGACAAGTAGCGCATCATGAAACAGGTATCTGTGACATTTGGCTGATGAACTCGAACTTATATCATTGTGCTTCATTTTGCCTTGATCTCCAAGACGCCAAAGTATGTAATACGCAGCAAATCTACCTGTATCTTATCCTCTATTGCAACACCATCATGTATCATGTCCTCTTTCACATCCTTGGTCTACCTCTTTCTGTTGCTTTTTCTCCCCTTCTTGTTCTTTCTTTGTTTTGTATACATGTTGATCGATCAGGAACCCCTCATGGCAGGCTGTAGCCGCCATCCACAATCATATCCAGACCCGTGGTGTAGGAGCTCGCATCGCTGGCCAGGTAAAGATATGCGCCCTTGAGCTCGCCGACACGACCCTCGCGACTGTACAGGCACAAACATGTCAGTACCTACACAAACGCAGTGGACAAGCAATTCCTGCTGCAACTTACCCCATGACAATCTTGTCCTTCCACAGCGTCTTGGTCTCCGGGGGCACAAAGTTGGAGATTTCGGTAATGATGTATCCGGGAGACACGGTGTTGACGCGGGCAAAGCCCGTCCACTCGACCGCCAGACTCTTGCCTACAAAACAGCCACCTGCGTGTCAGTCTCTCTACTACCATTGAAATTCATCCACAGCCAAAAAACTGTGTGTTATCATTATCATCATCATCCCTCAACTTACAGAAATGAATCACGGCGGCCTTGGAGCTGTTGTACACGGCCTGCAGCTGCGGCACATTGACGATGCTGCCGCTCATCGACGCCGTCGCGATGAAGCTGCCGGCGATGAAGTTGTCCAGGGGCTTCCCGTCAATCGTCGTGCCCTCCTCCTTCTGGCGGCGGAAGTGGGCGCCGGCGCTCTTGGCGCACCACATGACGCCGTCGACGTTGACGGACATGACGTTGCGCGCCGACTCGACGGAGCCGTCGATGAAGGCGCCCTCGGTCCATGTGATGCCCGAGTTGGCGACGAAGACGTCGAGGCGGCCGTTGAACTCCTTGATGATCTCGGTGATGGCCTTGTCGACGGCTTCGGCCGAAGTCACGTTGACCTGGTACGCCTTGCCTATGCATTGTGCGTACAAACCGTTAGCCAACAGCTCTCCTCAAACTTATTGGAATAAAAAAAGAACACCGAATTGGACACGCACACTTGACGCCGTATGTCTTGGCAATGTCCTCGGCCGAGGTCACGGCCTGCTTGTTGCTGTTGTACCAGATGGCCACATTGGCTCCGGCCTCTGCGAATGCCTGGGCCACGGCCAGCCCGATGCCCGCACCCGCACCCGAGACTATCGCCGTTCGGCCCTTGAGCGAGAACAGGGGCAACACTCGCTCGACATTGGGGACGGCGGCGTTGTCGTGCGGAAAGGCGCCGTTCTTCATCTGTGTCATCTTGGCTGAGGTTCGGTTTGGAGATTGGCGTAGAAACGAGGGTCGGAGATCAAGAAAGAACGAAGTCGGTCGAAATCAAGATGCCTGCGAGTGAATGGGGGGGTTATCAAGGAGTGCTGGACAAAGCGACACCATCACCAGTAACACATGCTGCGGGGGAGAGAGAGACAACCTGGACTGGACGCTCCTTTATAACAATATAGGTACTGTACGCTGCCATGCAGTGGCATGTCACCGCCGGAACAGAAGCCACTGCCTTCCCACGGCGGGACCGTCTCTGCAGGTGCGACATTTACGTCCATTTGGCCAAGTTGACGCGCTCCAATGTCGACTCGTTATCCTGGCTCTGGTCTCGATGCTGGACCTCGTCACTCCTCCTCCCGGCTCCAGCTGGGCCCCCATGTGGGGATGCGCTGTCAACGGGGTCACCCCACGTTGGAGTTCTGGAGCCTATCGCCGTATGTATCTTCCAACATGCAGTATCAAGGTGCCTGTCTGAAGATTGTGCAAGTCTTGTCGTATGGATCAGAGATAGGCCAGCTCGTCTCAGATTAGAGGTCATTTGCTGGTGAGGTTATTCTGGCAAGATGCTTGTTGACTGATTGGCTTACACAAATCTGTACCTCATCTCCAGCAACCTCACAGCCCTGCTAATCTACAGTCTGGTACTACAGTACATGTACCTTAGTCTAATATCACTTCAAGATGCTCATCAACTGCTTCTTTCGGCACCCCTCTGTGCCTGAGTCGAGATCCCAAGCTATCATTGATCTCTCCTCCCACCTCTTTTATCCGCACCAACAACAAGCAACAAACTCGCCAGTGGTGGGAGCCGCTTGTTGGGCCGCGCCAGCCCGATTGCCTAGCTAGCTAGAAGCTTCCTAGCGGGATCCATTTCCGCCCTCTTTATGCGATCTCGGACTTTGTTTTTCATTGCATAGGTAGGTAATAGGTAATAGTAGTACTATTTCGGTCGAGGAGTTGAGGCTGGAGAACCCACGTCATCGACACTTGTTGGCTGTGGGGGTGGGGGATGCTTTACTACCTACTCAGTAGTACATAGGTAGGTGAGGATAGTATTCGTCTTCCCTATCAGGAGTTGAAGACTGAAGAAATTGAGTCGATTCAATGCGGGATGGAGGAAAGAATCACGGAGACTGCAAATTGAATATATACACACATTGAATGAATACGAACACTATTTAGGTCGGTGGTATGGTGATGGACGTCGCATTTGTGTGCGCATCGTTGTTTCACACGTGTGCTCATATTTGCTGTCTGTTCCTGTTGTGCGACTTCTCGGTGAGCTAGCTGCACGGGAATCTCTCATCTGAACCGACCGTCTCTTAGCGGACAGCATTTCTTATTCAAGGCTTATCATCGTTTCACTATCTATCAATCATTCGCCCAACTCTAGTACGGGTCTGGCACCAATTGAGCCTGTATATACGATAGTCCAATCGTTACCGCAGTTGCATGTTCGAGGCAATTACATCCTCACGCGGAAAATTGGTCAATTTCCAGCGTGAGACAAAGTCATCTCGACTGACTATTCCACACCATTCATTAGTCGTGGCTCCCATCGCAATGTGCAAGACAGCCACACAATATGGCCAATAAATAGTTGTAGAAAAAGACTCACTATAGGCACCGCAGATGCGCCGCAATCCCTCGAATGCGCTTCTCCCGTGGAGCACTCGCCAGTTATCAAAGACTTGACAGTGTCAGTATTTGAATCTGATCAAAGTCATTCAAGGACAATCCATCCACTTACTTAGGACTCGGCCGGGCTCCAGCTGGAACCAGTATTCGTGATCTTTCCGCTTCAGTATCGCATTCCATTTTCGTGCCGCTTCGTACCACGCATCAACGTCGACATCCAAGGGGACAACACCGCGATCATCGTTGTTCCATCGGATCCTGTGCAGCTTGTCACCGCTGACCTCAATCACGGGGTATGCCATGTCCGGTGCAATCGCCACTCCCTGATTGCCGCTTGCATGCCATGGGAGCTTGACGCTGCGCAGTATCTCAAAGTCTTCTGGCGACTCTCTCCTCAGGGTCTCGGCAGCATAAAACCCATCCACCAGCAGTGATTGTCCACCCAAGACCTCGGAAGCGGGCTTGTTCGTGGGCGGTGTATGGGACAGCAGGTGGAATGCTTGTAGTCCGGCAGGCTCTGTAAAGTATGTCGTGTCCGTGTGTGCTGGGAGGGCCAGATTGGTGTAGGCCGTATCAGCAAGGGCCAGATCGGGGATGAAGTCGTAGAAGCCGCCGTAATGAGTGTTTCGAATGGGGCCAATGCTTTCGAGGAGCTTCTCCGTGTCTTCTGGAGTCTTGGGAGAGTTGACGACGAAACAGAACCCGTATTGGCGCTACTTATGGTGAGCTTTTTGTCATTGGAACATGGAGATTGCAGCATGCACAAACAATCTTGCTGGTCAGCTCGGCCATCCCCGTGGAAGAGCCGCTGCTCATGACATTCTCAAAGTCGACCTCTGGGGGAGCTGAGGATATGGCTGCGCCCCATAAGCTCCTCTCGCTGAGATGCAAGTCAGGCGTCTGGATATATACCGTGAGTCTTATGAGGCAACTTACTCTTGGTTTAAGAGCTCCTTAGGTTGGGTACTCTGGACATTGCTACGCAGCCAAGACCAAGTATAGTGGCTTCTATGAGAGTCCGACCCTGGCGGATGTTAATGAAAGTCATGGCGCGCGTAGTACAAAGGCGAGCGTACACAATATGTCAACACCTTCAGCCTTGGCCGAAATCTCCGTAGGCGAAATGTCCTTGGGTATCTGCAAGCATGTCAATACGAGCACTCCGTGTACCAGCACCGGCGACTGCTTTGGCCAATAGTTACCGCAAAGGTGTCAAAGTTGCGCTGCAGAGTATCCTGGTTTACGCACTGAGCGCAACGGCAGTTGTCGCTACACGGAGAGATTCGTCGGTTAGGGCAAGGCTATTCCATGCTTGATGCTGTCATGTGTAACATGTGAGTGAGTGCACGCACCGAAGCCATAACTTGGACCTTGTAGCACGTGTTAGTGTTTGGGGAGTTCGTAGTAGTAGCTGATGATACAGAGATAGGTAGGTAGGTAGTTACAATTCAGCTTTGACTGATAATCCAGACTCGGTGCTCTGGAAGACGAGCCCTTTGGAGCTTGTCCCGAGCGTTGTCGCATAGAATCGTGGTCGTGGGAGAGCAGCCGAGGCTTGCCGAAGGATGAGGCTACATGCATGCGTGCTGTGGCCTCTAATGCGGCCAACGCTGGAGCTGGAGCACGTTAAATGAGTTATGGTGAAAGGTCAAATTGGGGAGGAAGAGAGTGTGCGACCAACCTCAATACCCGGCCTCTGGATAAGAAAGACATGACTTATAATCGGCAATGAGAGCAAATGACAAGTAAGTAGGAACGGATAACAGCCAAGAGAGGGCATGTCTCGAGACTCGTTCCACCAATTGGGGGGAATACCTCAGCGGTGGCATGGCTCGGGTGGGATCCCTTGTAGTTCGCTGTGTTATGTAATACACCCAGTGAACCTCTCCTTGGTTATTAATTACTATGTAGTAGTCTTTTGCCTTCATTCTTGTCCAAGCCGCTGTTCGCTGTGGCGCCATGCACCCGATCTGCAGCTTTGATGTTGTGCAATCAATGTCCGCGGGTCGCATTCGAGGCCAGTTCCTCACCATGCTCTAGACGACAGCCCTGCAGATTCCAGAGTCCAGAGGCACTTAGGCATCTGTTGCGGGTGGTGTTTGCGCGGCAAGCTGCTCCAATCCTACCTGCATGGTTCATGCATGCCGTCTGCAAACGTGCGCCTGTTTTGCCACGTGAAGAAAGACGGGTTGACGCCAGGCGCTATTAAGTAGCTGGCACGAGCGCACCACTAGAAACAATTGAATTTGCAGCTCTGACCGGACCTCTCTCATGAAGAGCTGCAGCTGGCAAGTCCAAGTCCAAGTTTGAATCGTCCAGCGCCTCTAATAAACAGAAGTTGGGCCCAAGTCGCTGCTTCTAGTCGTGCTTCGTGCTTCATATCAGTCGCCGATCCAGCAACAAGGCTCCTCTTTTATCGCTCTCTTCTTCTCTCCTCTTCTTCTTATCTTCCTCCTTCTGCAACCTGCCTTGACGGCTCTCCCAGCGAGGCGCCTTCGATCGCCACGGTTCTGAACCGCTTTTTTACTCGACAAAAACCAGTTGTACGCCTCCCTCCTGGTCATGGAAACATCGTCATCGAAGCGACGCCGCTGCACGATAGCCTAAAGTCCTGCGAGAACCCCCAAAGAGCGTTGGATACCGAGCAAAGGGAAAAGCAGCTCCTACAGCATGAATTCGCGACAGCGCGGGTTCGACACGTTTTACGACGACCAGGTCGCAGCCCGTCGCCAATTCTACGCGCGAGAGACTGCTGTGAATCGCATCAACGGCGTCGCCGTCCTCGTCACCGTCGCCGCCCTCCTGGTGACTCTGCTCGCCAAGTTCTACAGCCCCGACGGATCGCTCGAGGGCATCTTCTCGCTGCTCGGCACTTTCTTATGGGACGCGCTGGTATTTCTCACGCCTGCGCCGCTGCTGTTTGCGCTCGACGACTGGATGGACTCCTCCGCGACGCGACCGATGCGCGATACTACGAACCAGAGCAATCATGCGGCGAAGAGCGAGGCGATGCGGAGGGTCATGGGCCTGGACCGTCAAGATGGCGTCATGAACTCGGTGCTTCGCGCAAGAACAAGAGCGCTGTCCATGACGGGCAGTGTTCTGGGCCTCAAGACAGACTCGGACCGGCCGGCGGGACTCGGGAACCGAGATAATTCGTGCTACCAGAACAGCGTCCTGCAGGGGCTGGCTTCTCTGCAGTCGATGCCTGGCTACCTCTCAGCGTGCCTCAAGGGTCTGGAAGAGGCAGGGCATGCAGCTGATGGGAATGTGGCTCACACGCTGCGCGCGCTCATTGCAGATCTCAACAATGTTTCGAATAATGGGAAAACAATCTGGACGCCTTCTGTCCTCAAGTCGATGAATACTTGGACGCAACAAGACGCCCAAGAGTACTATAGCAAGGTTCTGGACGATGTCGAAAAGGCAGCGGCGTTGGCAGCCAAGAAGCTATCTGCTGAAAAACTCGCGGGATTGGAGTGTGGCGACTTCAGCAACACGGACGAAGGCTCGACTAGTGAACACAGCGACGACAGTGGCTACCAAAGTCAGTCACCAGGCTCGAGAGCGGACTCTATCAAAACTTTGCGGAACCCCTTGGAGGGCCTTCTGGCCCAGCGAGTGGCCTGCGTGCAGTGCGGCTACTCAGAAGGGCTGTCCATGATCCCATTCAACTGCCTGACTCTCAGCCTCGGTCTCGACAAGAATCACCACGATCTGTACGAACGACTAGATGCATACAGCAAACTCGAGGCTATCGAGGGAGTGGAGTGCCCGAAATGCACCCTGCTGAAAGCACAGAGACTCCTCACTAAGCTTGTGGAGAGAATGCGATCAGAGGGCGCGACCGACGATAAGCTGGGGGAGCCTCTACGAAGACTAGAAGCCGTCCAGCAGGCGCTTGAAGAAGACCAGTTCGACGAAGAGACAATCAGAGATCGCTGCAAAATCGCCGCACAAAGCAGAGTCAACGTGACAAAGACGAAGCAGATGGTGGTCGCGCGGCCGCCTCAGAGTCTGGCGGTCCACGTCAACCGATCCGTCTTTGACCCGTCAACCTTCAACATGATCAAGAACTCTGCGCCCGTGAACTTTCCGATGACGCTGGATCTGGGTCCATGGTGCCTGGGGAGTGCTGGATCCGCGAGGTCCGCAGACAAGGATGCCGCAGCTGACAAGATAGCCCAACACGCGGAGGAGCGCTGGCAACTGGATCCCATGACATCCATGGTCGCGGGAGACATGGGCGAATCGAGGCTGACGGGGCCCATCTACGAGCTGAGAGCGGTTGTGACGCATTACGGGCGGCATGAGAACGGGCACTACATCTGCTATCGGAAGTATCCGCCTCTCAAGTCGCAGAGCGCCGATCATGCAGATGACAAGGCCGTGGCCTCGCCTGGATGCCCGGCCGACAACAAGCCAGCCGAGCCGAGCGCGGAGGACGAGACAACGACAACAACAAATGATGAGAAGCCCAGTTACAATGACAGAGACTCGACTTGGTGGAGGCTAAGCGATCATAACGTGTCGCCAGTCAACGAAGAGACCGTCATGAATCTGTCGCCCGGCGTCTTCATGCTCTTCTACGAATGCGTCGACGCTTCCATGGTTTTGCATTGCGACGACGAAATCGAGGCGCCAAAGTCTGCGAACATTGCCTCGCCTGTCACGATGAACCAGGACGAAGGCAGAGCGCAGAATGGAGCCCCCACTACCCCGGCAGCAACGGCATCTTCAGGGACCGCTCGAGGCGAGACTATCCCTTCGACGGCGGCCGCTCTGGGGGCTGAGCAGTCGGAGGCGGCCTCTAGAGGCACTCCGGAGGCGGGAGATACATCCTCACCAACATGATTTGTTAGTCAACGACGCCCTATGGTTAAAACGGCATGGTTGTTGCAGTTTCTATACTCTCCGTCTTTTCTTCGTCTTATGATTGAATTGCATAGCGTTGGCGTTGGGTGCGGGATTCTGGAAAAAGCATTCATGATAGGATCTGGATTCCGGTTTGTACAACGCTAGGAGTACTTTTATTGGGATCGAGGGCGGATGCCCTCGCCTTGAATTGTCGTAGGACCAGATGAGGTCCATGCCAATAACCACTAGAATTGTATCAACACCAATTTCATACTTTCGCGGCTGAGAAACTGAAGGACAGTGACTTTTGAAGTGGTTCGACCCATATTAAACGGCGATGCCCGATCGTTGCACTGGATCCGTAACGGAAGAGGAGGCAGCACAGCCACGGGGGACTGCCAGCATGTGATATTCGGTACTCTCTCCCGTCATGAAGTGATCATCCGAGTAAGCGTCGGTCGTGCAAAAGATTTCAGCTCGTTTCGCGCTGAGACTCCCTCTCACTCGCCTCTCGTCATTGTTACGCCAAACACCTTTGTGCCACCCAGTGTCGATGGGAGACCTCGACTGCCTCTGTTGCTGCTAGTGGCGCCGTTTCAATGCTCATTTTCGCATTGTCCCAGGGCATGGCCGATCCACTGGTCTGGATAATTCCAAAATGGCAATACGCTGGAGCTTCGCTGGCCGCAGCATTGATATGCCCCGAGCTCGAAGAGCGTCTCACGACGGCAACCGGGACGCTTTGAGAGAGAGAAAAACAAGCAATACGCTAGACAAGGGCCCAGGAATCTCGGCCCAATCGGCGCCACGTTCAAATCGTCCACTGGCGCTTGTTCCCGTACAAAGATGCTACGGGCATGGATGCTCCCTGCAAGGCCCGCTGGTCGGCGGAAAAGCTTGGCGGGCGAGCAAAAGCCCGTTATTCGCTGCGCCGCGATGGAATAGCGCTTTATCAAAGGGTTCTGCAAGGGGGAGGGGAGCCTAAAATGGTCAGGAAACATCACCACAGGGGGGTGTTTTGGGCGTTTGGTTAGAGATGGCTGGACGGCTCCAAAGGGGGGCAAACTACTACTAGGTAGTAAGCCATGGCAGAAGGGCAGATGGCCCCCCCCTTTTATCCCGGTGAGCCCTTGGTAATGCAGGAATGCCGAGAGGGCAAGAGATGCGCCTCGGAAGGGGGACGAAAAGCTGTCTGGCTATCCATTAGCGATTACTGTTCTCTTGAGCTAGACGAGGCTAGATGAGACAGCGCGGGACAGATGGTGGGAGGAGAGATCTTGGTGGCTTTTAAACGGGCGCCCACCCGGCCTTGGGGGTGAACGGATGTGGTTGGGATCTGATGCAACGGCTGTCCGTGATGGATCGACTGAGATCAATGATCTCTCTGCAGATGAACATCCGACGTGGCAGCAGATTAGGCCACTTCTCGCTCACTGCAACAAGGCGCATGACGCGCCCCTCCTATCCGCAGACTGCTGCCAACTCCCTCCCTGCCTACCTACTTACACAGGCTTGGGTTGATACGAGGCGAAGCTATTCGACGGTGGATATGGATGGCTGAGAGCAAGAGGCCGCTAGCACCATATCGGGCGTCTTCCGTCTCCCGGTACGTAAACTTGTTGCGAAGAACGGGTACTGATACCGTCTGAGTGACACCGACTTTGGTCATTGTTTCATTTGCCTGGATCTTGTAATAGAGCGGAGGCCATCCGTAGCGGACTGCCAGTGAGTCGGCAAAATGCAAGAGGCGAGGAAAGGCAGTTTGGATGCAAGTGTCTCAATACGGTTGCAATATTGATTCCGTGGAGGCGGATGAATGAAGAACACAGGCCTCATTAACGGTATTATCCATGCCTTGCCGGCAGAACGCAACGCCCTCAATGCAGTGCGGTTGCCATCACCACTGTAGACGTATGTATATCCACAGGTGCCTTCTTCCAACCCTCGGGCTTTCCTTCCCTTGCATTCATTTCTTTCCACCGCCAGTTCGAGCAAACGTGGAAGTGCGTAACAGAAGTGCGTAACAAAATTGCAAAGTACTGCTTGACAGCTTCTACGCCTCCAGCAAGCGCGCGTGGTCCCAAGCGATACTTCGTATAAGGTACCCGAACTGCTAGGTAAGCGTGCTGCTGCGGCAGGCGCAGAGACACTTTTGCGCCTGCCAAACCGCATCCATTCCCTTGCTGGGGCATCCAAACAAGCCTCTGGCGACTCGGAGAGCTCCTTCCATGCCAACCACATGTGGCAAGCACGGCAGGCGCAAGGTAGCAGTGCTCGCCGGTGGCTTTAACTTTGCCGGCGTGCCGCTGGTCTGGATTGGCCGTTGGACGCTCCTGCCATGCCATCGACTGTTCATACAAGTAAGTGTTCTTTCCCTACCCCTCCACTTGGCACCTGCCTGCCCGAGCTTTCCTTCCTCGGCGCTTTTATCTTTTGTCAGGCCAGCTCTCTCGCCTGCTTCTTCATTCCTTTTCCTGCCTCTGTCTTGTTACGCTCTTTTCACGAGAAAACCATTGTCATCTTCGGTTTTTGGTCTTTTTCAGCGCATTTGGATTTGGCATTTTCTGAGCTTCTGCTCTGTACTGATCTCGATTTCTCTCTTTTTTTCTTTTTGGTCCAGCCGAACAGAACTGCATCATCGACTCCAGCTCGCCCGACGTTTTTTCCCCGGAGCTGGCGCCTCAGTCTTGGCACTGGTGATCTTGACCGGAATCGCGACACCCCGGTAGCTCTGCACAACAGAAGCAGCAGCAGAAGGCGACGAACAAGCACCAATCGATACCAATCGCAGCTATTTTGGCCCTCTGGTCATTCGGCATACCAACTGGAGAAGCGGACAAATATCCCTGCTGCTTTTTTCGCATCTCGATTTGCAGTAGACGGCGGTTGACCACTTCTTGCGCCGTGCGACCCTAGCGGCGGCAGGGTCCGGAAGCTGCGCAGCGCTGTCAGTCGAGTTCGAGAGAAGGGCCAACAGACAAGACATCGTATATCTGTTCTCATCCCTCCGGTTTTTCTCCTGGCGGAACCAGGCAACAGCGCGTCTCAAACGGTCGCCTCTTCAAAAGCCGCAGAAGCTTCACAGCTGCCAGCGGCAAGCCGGCCATGACCGTTTCGAATGGAAATCGCGGCTTACTGCCCATGATGGAGGCCGTGCCCTCCATCAAGGTCCAGGTACCCGTCTGGGCGTATATTGTGTAAGAGATTCTTGTCCGACTGCGCACTGGAGCGGGCGGATGCGGCTGCAGTGTGTGAGTACACAATCTGAGTGCTGACTTGCATGTAGAAATTGGATGTTCTTTTCGAATGTAACCATCATCTTCAACAAGTGGCTTTTAGACACTGCTGGATTTAGTAAGTTTTACAGATTCCAGGGACAGGGATGCACTTCTGAATTGACGGACGAGAGAAGCTAACAAAAGACTATAGAATACCGTAAGTCGTACTCTCGTCGCCCAGCCTCCGAAGCAAGCAGCACTCTTTCTTATACGGCATCGTCATGTACTGACGCCTGAACAGCCATTCTACTTACATGCTGGCATCTCATCTATGCCACCATTGCAACTCAAATCCTCGCTCGCACGACGACGCTCCTCGATTCCCGCCGCAACATTCTCGTCAACGGCCGCCTCTACCTCCGCACCATCCTTCCCATCGGCCTGCTGTACTCCGGCTCTCTCATCTGCTCAAATGTCGTGTACCTCTACCTCTCCGTCTCATTCATTCAGATGCTCAAGGCCGCGTCACCCGTTGCTGTGCTATTCGCCTCTTGGTCCTGGGGCGTTGCTGAACCGAGCTTGTCCAAGTTCATCAACGTCTTGGTCATCGTGCTTGGCGTTGCCATCTCCAGCTTTGGAGAAATTCAGTTTTCATGGATCGGCTTCTTCTTCCAGATTGGGGGCACTTGCTTCGAAGCCGTTCGCGTGGTCATGATACAAGTCATGCTCAGCGGCGAGGGCCTCAACATGGACCCCCTCGTCAGTCTCTACTACTATGCACCAGTCTGTGCTGTGATGAATTTCCTCATCGCTCTCGTTAGCGAATTGCCCAGGTTCAGGTGGGACGACGCCGTCAATGCCGGATTTGGAATGCTGTTCCTCAACGCCTCCATTGCCTTTGTCCTCAATGTTGCCAGCGTGTTTCTGGTAGGCTTGTCCCGTTACATCTCTGTATTAGTAGTCATGCCAAGCGCTAACGTAGGTCCTCAGATTGGCAAGACCTCGGGCCTAGTCATGACTCTTACAGGCATCTTCAAGAGTATCCTGCTTGTTATCGCCTCTGTTCTCATCTGGTCTACCCAAATCACCTTCCTTCAGACTGTGGGCTACATCATCGCCCTTGCCGGACTCACATATTACTCCCTTGGCTATGACCAACTCGCCAGCCTTGGTACAGCATCACTTGCCTGGATCAACGAGTTTCTTTCGATGAATGGCGGGAACAGTGCAATGAGGTCTAAGAGAGCGGTCGTGGTTGGCCTGTCCTCATTGGTGGCAGTAATGGTGGTACTGGAGTTGACCATGAGCGAACGGGGGAGGCGGATGCTGGCTTCCTCGTGGCACGACAGACATGGCAGGCATGGACATGAATGATGGATGTTTATAATGAGTGCAAGAAAGATCAATAGAGAAATATGATGCCATGTGCGTTGACGCTGTGATGACTGGGAAACATGGTTAAGCATGGTCAAAATACGTGAAGGATCTCATATGAAATCATATGAATAACCCCTGTTGCGCGGCAATATCGTCTTCAAAAGTATCTAACCGTAGTGACTAAGACCTGGCGAAGCAGGTCCCTCCCAATTTCCTTTCCGTACCGAACCTCTTTCCCATTCATGATCGAGGGTATCTTGTCTTTAGGTTTGTTGATGAAGCCATTCAGCATTACCATTCCATAACCCTCTAAACTGTTTAGGTATACTAGACGCGCGCGCACACTGAATGAGGTAAAGAAAAAAAGAACATTGAACATGAGCGCCGCTCCATTTCTCCCAATGACGAACCTCCTCATCGACTTCGACTCCGACGGCGGCTCCGGCTGCGATGTCTGTCGCGGCGGGGGGACAGGCTGCGGTCTCTTCTGGCGCGGCGGTCTCTGTCTCTGTCCCGATCGTCGTCGCGGTCGCGATCTCTGTCCCGGCTGTGGTCTCTGCGAGGACGAGGGCGGTCTCGATCTCGGTCTCTATCCCGGTCTCGGTCCCGGTCTCGGTCTCTATCGCGGGGTGCTCGGCGGTCCCGGTCCCGGTCCCGCTCACGCTCGCGGTCTCTGTCTCTGACGCTGTCTCTGTCTCGTTCGCGGTATCGGGCCCTATCGCGGCTGTTGCTCCGCGATCTGCTCCTAAGTCTCTCGTCGCGGCCTCCGGGGGCATATCTGTCAACTCCCTGTCCATCACCTTTTATGCTCTGTCGCGTGCTCGCAAGTGTTCTCTCACCACTACTAGTCTTCCTGTCGTCCACGCCGGGGATCGGCAGGCCCTTTTCTCTGGCGTCCTTCTGAGCCGCCAGGTAAGCCTTGGCCTCCTTCTCCCGCTTCTTGACTTCCTCGAGCTTCCACTCTTCCAGCTCGTCTTTGGATGCCGCGAGCGGCAGGGTCGACGAGCCGGGTCGAGAGCGTGAACGGCTGCGTCGGTCGCTCGTGCGGTCTCGTTCCCTGTCCCGGTCGCGGTCTTTGCGATCCTTGTCTCTATCGGCGGATCGTTCGCGGCTGCGGCGACGCGGGGAACGTGCGTCGGACCTGGGAGGATAGTAGGAATCTGCTCCCCCGCGGCGACTGTCCCTCGACCGGCTGCGTTGTCGTCGAGCCCGGGACCGGCTCCTGTCTCGTCGATCGGCGCGCCCGTGAGACCGCGAACGTTCTCGGCGATCGCGACTGCGGTCCCTACTACGGTCCCGGCGATCAGTCTTGAGTCGTGAGCGGCTCCTCTCGCGTCGCGCAGATCGAGGCCGTGACCGACTTCGAAGTCGCCGGCGCGAAGTGCTTCTAGCAATAGATCGGTCCCGCCTGGCCCTCGAGCGACTTCGGTCCCGTCTGTCATCCCTCCGCCGCCGAGATCGACTCCTGTCTCTGCGTAGCCTCGAACGGCTTCTATCCCTTCTATCTCTGATTCGGGAGCGACTCCGATCGCGTCTTGGTGAATCTGAACGGTGATCACGGCGGCGCCGCTCATCAGCGTCCCGTATACGACTTCGGTCCCTATCCCTGTCTTGATCTTTGTCGTGGTCTCTGTCATGAGTTCGTGATACGCTTCGGCTAGAACGGCGCTCCTCTTTGAGTCCCGCTGGCTTCGGGTCGATAGACGACCTCGAGTCCCTCCTTTCGATTGGTTTCCTAGACTCCGCAGTCTTGGAAGAGTCTCGTCGAATCGGGTTGATAGCTGAGGCTGGACCAATCTTCCTCGGGGGAGGGGCCAGTGTAGTATCAATGTCCATTTCCAGCTTGATGCGGGTCGACTTGCTGCTTTCACGCAATAAATCGGCTAAAGCCTCTTGTTCCAGTCGCTCGTGTTCCTCCTTGGACAACTTCTCCTTCATCTCCTCAGACAGAGCCACCTTTTCCTTGCGGGCGCTTCCGTTTTCGCGGTCACGGTCACGGTCGCGATCTCGGTCTCGGTCTCGGTCCCTGTCCCGATCGCGATCACGATCTCGGTCACGAGTCCTGTCCCTGCTCCTGTCACGACCTCGGTCTCGATCGCGATCCCGGTCGTCGTCGCGATCCTTCTCCCGCTTCTCTCGGTCCTTATGCCTCTGCTCACGCTCCAAGTCGCGCTGTCGCTCTCTCTCCTCGCGCTCTTGCTCGCGCTTTCTGCGGCGCTCGTCCCTTTCTTCCTGGCGTTTGAGTTCGGCCTTCTCTCGCTCCTTTTCTTCCCGTCGGCGCTCTTCCCTGGCGATACGCTTCTTCTCCTCTTCAATGGCCGCCTCCTTTCGCCTGAGCTCCTCTCGCACCCTTTCGCGCTCGGCTTGCTTGGCGGCGGTGTCGGCAGCATACTCTTCGTCCGTCTTGGCGCCGCGCTTCTGCTCTTCGTCGGCGAGTTCCGCGCCAATTTCGGCTCGCCTGGTCTCCCTGATGCTTCGCTCGATTGCGGCCACGTCAATCAGCTCCCCAATGACGTCTTTCGCCTTGTCGTAGACTCCTGATCGTTCCAGCGCGCCATCAATCAAAGCGGCGGCCTTTCTGGGGTCAAGCGTGAGAAGCTGATGAGGATTGCGCTCGACTTCTTGCTCCGCAACCTCGAGAATGGCCTTTGTAACTTGGGCCTCGTAGTCCTGGAAGAAAGACAAGGTTAGCAACAGCAAGGTAGTGCTTCAAAACTCGGTTGGTATGCGTACACTGGCTGCAAACTTGTCCCAAACTTGCTTCCTTATGGAGTCGTACGCCCCTTCTTTCTTGAAGCTATGCGCCAGGGACTCGATCGCCGCTCGAGTGGCCGACGGCAAAGGCAGCTCGGAGGCCTTGAATTTCCGCACAACGGGTTCGGCGGCAGTCGGTCGGTCCGCCATCTTGGAAGGCTCTGCGGGCGTCGCCATTTCACCTCTGGATCCTTCCGTTGCGCGCTTGTTGCGTGGATGCGGCGCGCGCGCCCCCTCGTGATGCAGCGGTTCGAATGGCTCTTCTCATCCGAGATCAAGACATGTCGCCGAAATCAATCAGACACTTGATTTGAGTCGCAGCGGTCAATTCGGTTCCCCTAATCGCATTCGGAGGGCCAGCTTGGGCATGCCTTTGATATATGATGAAGGGAAAGTGCAGAGGAAAGGGCAGACAAGAGGCGGGAGGATCAGCAGGTGAACGCCTGCTCACGTGACGACAATTGTATGTCGGGCTACACCTGCCTTAGGTATGTACTCGGGGCTTCAAAGCGACACCAATAGTTGCATTAATCGAGCGATGTCAAGTTCAAATTTATGCTTGAGTGGCTCTTGTTGAGATTTCCAGCAGCAGCAGAAAATCAATTATACTGACTTCTGTTACTGAGCCTTGATGGGCATGCGCTGCTTTGATATTCTTGCATCGGTTGAGCCTCCTAGTCGTCCTTCATGGTGTCAGAAGAGGGGACAGATCAATGGATCTGGATACCTTCCAGTGCCCTCAAAGAGCTACAGGCCTGATCACAGTTGAGATTTTTTAAAAGTCATATCGTAATGTTACTGTTTGCCATTGTCATTGCATCCATTCAACGCTATAACAGCTACAGAGCAAACATCCTAAATCAGGCAACCAAGTAGTACTAAATGCTCTGCTCTCTAAAACAAAGAAAGAAGGGATGGTGTTCGCAGCCGGTCGTGTATGCGTATAAATGAACGTATAATCATGATGTTATCGTTCCATCATAAAAGTCGTCGAAGCGGAGATTTTTCTTCTTCTTCTTCTTCTTCTTCCTCGTCCTGTCGTCCTCGGGAGATGGGTGTGCCAATATCTCTCCATCCTTTCCCCCCCCTTTTCCATTTTTCCCTTTTGCCCTCACTGGTATACATGCCATTTCGGCTCCTCCTATCTTTGCCTGGTCGTTTAGAACTCGCCGTCACCTCCGTGCCCAACCATATTAGCCATCCAAAGGCCGACCAAGCCCCACCAGCCAATTCGCCAGCCCCTCAAAAGACCTTCCACACCCTGACCCTTCTTGTATGTTGGCTGGAGGTTCTTGGTCTTGACTTTGCCGCGTTTGCTCAACACGGGCTTGGGTGGAATCTCTCGAGCACCCTCCTCGGTGACAATATGGTACATAGTGCCAAAAGTACCATAGTACTTGCCAATGGGCACGATGGTTTCGAGTGCTGGTTCGTCGTCATTGAGAGCTTCCAGATACTCAGGTTCGGAGAGCACAGAGAGCTGGCCTCGGCGGAGGACGGTCTCCAGGGGTAGCTTGATCAGAATTCCCACCGACGAGGCAAAGAACTTGGCAGCGGAGAACGTCATGGGCGCAATTTCGCTTGTGAGCATGAACTTGGTCTTCAGCGCCAAGGGGGTAGAGAGGGTGAAGATGGGGTTGACGAGGGAGTGCAGAATGGTGGGGACGACAATGCTGGGAGGGCAGTAGTAGGATGGCAGGGCTCGAAGGCTTGCGATGGTCCTTCGCTGGCCCTTGAAGGGGTTTGTGAGGATCAACCTGTTGTCAAGTCAGCCTGCGAGATTCAGTAGCCCCTGAACATGTGTCACATACCTCGTGCGGACGAGATCGAGAGGCGCCAGTGCAAGGCTGGTTGTGACGGCGGCGGCGGCAGCCACAAAGAGTGAAGCCCAAGGATACGGAGATGCAATATCCACCAGACGGTCGATGTTGTCCCTGACCCCCAGGTCGGGCACATTGAGGACAGCACTCAGGAAACTTCTTGACCAATTCTCCAGTAGAGACTGTAAGACGGTGTATAGAAAGGTCGCGTTTGCACCCTTCCAGACCCCCCATGCGCCGTCTCTCTGCCATAGCTGCCCAATGACGTCAAGAACAGCGTCGGGGCGACGAAGATTCAAAAAGTGCTCCGGAACAGCGGGCACCTTCTTGGGCGTCGTCGGAGATTGGAGAGGAGACTCTGCCCGTCGAGTGCTGGGTCGTCTCTCCGCCGGGGGCTGGTTCGAACCCCAGGGATTCGGTATGGCGGGGTCGCTTGTTGTGAAGTATGCCGGCTCATCATTTTCGGAATCCTCTCCCTATGATGATTGCCGCATTAGCTCCGATAAGAAAAGACAAGCGACAAGAGTGGTGTATAGCTAGATGTGCAAGGCTACATGAATGCTTACCTCGAATGCCGAACCAGCTCGACTTGGTACCTGAGGGGGGGCAACAGGCGTCTCTGGCTCTGCAGCCACCGTGAGGGCAGCCTTTTCATCCTGATCCCGGACCTGCAGGATCATCTTGGCAACCTCGAAAGGCTGCCCAAGCAAGACGGACATGTACTTCCATATCAGCTCGTCAACGAGCTCCCGGGCGCTCTCGACGACCGACGGCGAATCGGACATGAGCTCCTTGTAGTCGAGGTCATTGAGCATGTTCTTGGCCTTGGAGGCGTACTTGGCGCCGCTCGCCACATCGTAGCTGTTGCCGCCAGAGAAGGGATTCGAGCTCGGGATCGATACCGGCTCAGCCCGCTCCTCGATGGTGGGAGGCCGGTGGTACGGCCGCAAGGGGTTGACGACGTGCTCCTTTGTGTATGACATGGTATGATTGGGGGGGAGGATAGAGGAGAGAGATGCCGGATCTCTGCCTCTTGGACGTCTTCTTTTCAACCCGAGTTGGGCTCCTGTGGTGGTACTCGAGATAAAAATGCAGTCATTGGCAACGCAGAGCTCAGGTGGGAAGCTGAGGTACAAAGTACATTGACAGACTGCTTGCTGCGGTGCCTCCCCCGGTAGATGCATCGTGCAGCCGATAAGCATCCTTATCGCGGCTATTCCCACCGTAGACTTGCAGAGCTTCGGAGTTGCGAGCGTCCAGCGAACCGGAGGCGGTTTATTAACGAGCACGTCCGGCTTTGCTCTTCGTGATTCCACTACCTGAGGCAGTCATAAAACTGCTGAGACCTTGTCTCTGGGCAACTGGCGATTGTTCAGCCCAGGCCAATTCCATACTGCGACGACAGCCACTCGACACTGTCTCACTTGATCTGACTATATATATATATATTTTTTCTTTCTGCCGCCGAATCCCGGTCAAGCACTCCACATGTCGACCTCCAGGACGCTCTCACGAGGCCTTGCGAGGCTATCGCAAGCCGGATGCCGTCCAAGTCTCTCTACGATTGCGCCGAGCAGAGGCCTGACTGCCTCGCCGAATGCTTTGAGGATATGCGCGCCTCTTCCAAGAGCTCTTCCCTCTTCCCAATTGCTCCCGAGCCGCCGCGCATTCTCTACAACCCCCCAGAGGCGGCATGGCCATGTCACCCCGCCAAAGCCCGGTGAAGAGTGAGCAGCAAAACCAGCCTCTCCACTTCAAATGCCAGCGAGGAAAAAGAACAGATGTGGCTAATATCCAAACGCAGGCTCTGGGTCACATTCATCGACAAGGAAGGCGAAGAGCACAAGTTCGCCGTTTCGGCCGGCGACAACCTGCTCGACATTGCGCAGGCCAACGACCTGGAGATGGAGGGCGCCTGCGGGGGCTCCTGCGCCTGCTCGACCTGCCATGTCATTGTCGAGTCGGAGGACTACTACGACAAGATGCCCGAGCCCGAGGACGACGAGAACGACATGCTGGACCTCGCCTTTGGGCTGACCGAGACCAGCCGTCTGGGGTGCCAGGTGAAGATGACCAAGGAGCTGGACGGCCTGGTCGTGAGGTTGCCTTCGATGACGAGAAACCTGCAAGCGAGCGATTTTCAGTGATTGTGCGGGAGGTGGTTGGTAGTGATTACGGCATGTCAGATGCCGGCAACTGGGGAAAAAAGAACAAAAGAAATGACACCCTGTATTTATACGATTGGACAAAATAGAAGTTGGCGGATTGGGTCGGCGAGCCTTGGGGTTGGGCGCAAGCATTCTTGCCCAAAGGAGGGGGTATCTTTGGGATGGAATATTGTATACCTAGTGATGTGTAGATCTGAAGACAGGCCGAACTTCGCTCCCCGGATAGAATAGGTACATATGGAAACAAAGTAAAAAACATGAGCAAAAGACAAGCACGAAACCCCAATGATGAAACTAGCCCTACGCCTCTTCCAACGGCGTCTTCTTCAAGCCGCCACCCCCCGAAGCAATCAAATCCAAGAAACCCTTTTTGCTCATCTCGTTGACCTTCTCCTCCCTTGACTTGGCACCAATGATGCCCTCCTTTCTCGCCGCCCTCTCCGCCTCCGCCGCCTGCACCTGAGCAGCGCGTACGGCGTTGAACATGCGAATGACACCCCTCTGCGCCGTCTTGCGCAGCGTCTTCTCAATGGCCAGGATCTCCGACGTGGTCATCTCCGGCTCGCCCGACTCGTCCACCGACGCCACCAGGACGTCCTTGACGCGGCCCTTTTCCAGCGCGACCCTCTTCTGCTCCTTGAGCTTCCTGCGGGCCTTGGCCTCGAGGGCAATGTCCACGGCGGCCTTGGAGGCTTCGTGCGCGGCGGCGCTCCGGGAGAGCACGGGGTCGGACCGTTTTGATGCGGATAGCTTGGTTGACAGAATCTTGGAGAGCGACGTCGCGAAGGCCGTCGGGTCGTTTCGTTTTGACTTTGTCTTTGGTGCGTCTACGCCAAGGTCAAACTCGTCGTCATCGTCGTCGTCGTCGTCCGACTCGCCCTCTCCTGCTTCATCTTGTCCCTCTTCATCATCATCGTCGTCGTCCTCCTGCTGTGCAGTTTCCGGCTCTGACTCTGATTTTTTGGACTTTGACTTTTTGGCAACTGCCTTCTTCGTCTTCTCTACAGGCGCCTCCTCGTCAGAGCTCGAAGAAGAGTCCTCGTCGGCACCAGCACCATCGTCCGCGGGCGCATTGTGAATGTCGTCGTCGGAATCCAGCAGGTTGACGGGGTCAAAGGCCTGCTGCTGCTGCTGCTGCTGCTGCTCCTCTTCCGGCTCGGAGTCGCTGTTGTAGGCTTGCGCTTTTCGCTGCTTCTTGTTCGGGCGATGTGACTTGTTGTCGTTGCGCCGCTTCTTGTTTGTCATTCCAGCCATTGTGTTTGAACTCCGGTTTGTGCTGGATGGAAAGCAGATGGGATGGATTGATGATGCTCTTTTGCTGGAGAAATCCGAAAAAGTCAAAAGATGCGACTGAATTCTGCCGTGCCCAGCATATTTTTTTCCTCCTGCAGGTCCCTCGCATTGGGGAAGGCGGTGAAATGCCCCGCTGAGAGAGCTTACAGGTGGGTCGACGGTACGTATCCTAAAGTAAGGTAGTACTAATCTCCAGGGTTCCTTTTTGAGGCAGGCCGAGTTCTGGCTAAAGCAGCAGCCCGTCGATTGTCTTCTTTGGCCTGTCAACTCGTTTGAATCCTACAGAATTGCATGATGTCCAGTCCATCCCCAGCATGAGGCGGCTTTGATATTAGGCAAGGCTACGCCGTTTCCGGACCAGACAGCACAGTTCACCATCGACTCTGGCTTGTTGGCCATCATCTACATACAGCAGTGCTCCTCCAGCTTGCTTATGTCCGCCTTGTCGCATCAACTTATACGCCTCACAGCTCCGTGCGCACTCGGCTTTTTGCGGGGCACCGCCGGTGCAGGCGGCCGTCACTACATTCTACTCTCACCAACACCATCTGCTCGACTGGCTGGGCGTGAGGAGCGAGGCTCTGGAATAATCCATTCATTGATTGATTCGCTGTAAGGCTGCTGGATAGTGCATTTTAATTGCCGGTGTTGTCAGGACAGGCTTGGCTCTGCGTTGCAATATAACCGAGCATCTTCAGACCCATCATCGCGTTCTCCCCCTTTTCAGGAGGCTTCACAGCAGACCATGTTCGGACAGTACTCACTCGGTGGCAACCCGGCCGATGGCGCCTTTCGAGTGCCCAAGCTCAACCACAAGAAGTCGAGGTACGGCTGCCAGCGGTGTCGCACTCGGCGGGTCAAGTGTAACGAGGCAAAGCCCGTCTGCCAGCACTGCGAGCGCCACCGGGCCAAGTGCATCTATGATCGCCTCCCGCAGAAGAATAGGGAGGAAGAGACCTCCCCGAAGTCCTTCAGTGTGGCCCCGGCTGGCGAATCGAGGACTTCCGAGACCGGTTCAGCCAAGCACTCGCCTCTGTCGGCCGTGGATCCGCTGGACGAAGATGCTATCGAGACGAAGCAGCGACGGTTGCTGGAGACGAGGCTGATGCACCTCTATCTCACCGAGACGGGGCCCTCGCTCCCCATCGATGACAAGACGTTCAGCGTCTTTGCCAAAAAGATCCCCAAGATGGCCCTGGACTCGGAGGCCCTGCTGTATGCCATCTATGCTCTCGCGGCCATCCACTCGCTCATCTGCCACATCGACGACTCCTTTGACGGGCTCGACGTGCATAGGCGCTACCTCGCAATGGCTGTCCACGAGCATCAGAGGGAAGTCAGTGAGCTCAACGAGTCCAACTTTGAAGTCGTATGCCTCACGTCCCACATGCTGCGCATCAGCACCTTTGCAACGCTGCGCTTCCGGAGCCGCGAGCCGTACACTCCCCCCCTCGAGTGGATCCTGATAACGGGGACGACGCAAGCACTGTTCAACAAGGCCTGGGGCATCATCATGGCGCACCCCGAGTCCATCGTGTCGGGCATGATGAAGAGCTCGCCCGCCATCTACGACGCGCAGGCCAAGTTCGGCGAGGCGCACCGGCGGGGCCTGGAGTTTCTCCTCGAGCGGGATGCCGAGGACCTGGTGGCCGAGCCGTGGGACGTGGAGATCCGGGACGCGTACGAGACGACGCTGAGCTACATTGGAGGCGTCCTGCACCTGCTGCACCCCAGGGACGGCGTTTACGACGTGGATGATGCGAGGCGGAGGATGGTCATCTTCCCCATGGCGGTGAAGAAGAAGTTCCTGGAGCTCACCTCGGAGGTGCGGCCGAGGGCCATGGTGATTCTGGCGTACTATTTCTCGATTCTCGTGATTGAAAAGCTGTGGTGGGTTGGCGATGTGGGCAAGATGGAGGTCAAGGGCATTGCCGCCAACTTGCCGGCCAAATGGCGGAGAATGGTGGAGTGGCCGATGCGGGTGGTTGAGACGGGGAGGATCTTGCCATTGTCGTAATGAGTGAGTCGAACCGGGTCTCCAAATTGTATGAATTCGACCGTGAAGGGAGGTTGAATTGATTATTGTGTGCTCTGTGCAAATGTTGTGTTGTGGTAGAGCGAAGATGATGGCCCTCTCTCTGATACCTTAGTACTTATATAAAGTGCCCAGGAGAAGCCACGGGGTTTCAATCAAGCCCCTTGTGTTGGGACGGCACTTGCAAGCGGATCAATCATGCACATTGACTCGTCTTTACAATGCACGCCATACTATATAGAAACCCGCATATTAAACAATCCAGTCTCTTCGTTCTCGCTTTGCCAAAAGGCTTCCTTCTCCAGGGTGGGACGTTCGCTCTCGGTCTTCTACATCGGGTCTAGCCTCAGGCGAAACGAAACAACAACCTCATTCAGCTCGCTTTCGCTCAGCTGATTGGCGTCGTTCTTCGGCTTCGTTCCGAAGTAATAGCCCGAGATCGAATCAATAACAACCAACATTGACTGCCGACGAGACAGAGCTTCTTGCGTCTGGTACTCTCTAGAACTACCGAAGCTCTATACTATGTTGGCTGATGCATAGGGCTGGGTCTTCGGATTCGTTGCGAATGCGAGGCAACGAGAAATTGGCAAGACGGACTTACACGGGGGGGTCTAGGATGTTACTTGATCATTGTAAGAAGTAGCTTCAGGCAACGCATGAGAGTTGTATATAAACGCTCGATTCTCTCCATCCATGAGTCTCTTGTCGAACAGAGATACAGTACAGAAAGCTTCTTCTCAACCATTGGCTAGACTTACATCAACTCCCTACAAATCCACATATACAATTCTCAACCATCGTATCGCCCTCTTCCTCAGCATCACCACTCCTCAAAGTCAACACATCCCTCATCATACACCATCCAAAAAAGAAAAGAAAAAAATGACAGAACAAAGCAAGCCCCAACCCTCCCCCATGCTCCGTCTCAGCCCCGACCCAAGCTTCCACTTCGAAATCCTCCGCGCCGTCTCCATAGCGCCCTACCAAGGCGCCGACATAGGCGAGGTCCTCACCGCCGCAGCAGCCATCCTCCCCGGCGACTTCGAGAGCTACTACGCTGCCTTCCACTCCCTCGCCCTCCGCGTGCGCAAGCAGGCCGCGACCATCGACCCCAACAAGTTCCCCGTCTCCGCCAGAAACGCCTACTTCCGCGAGGCCACCTATCTCCGCTCGGCAGAGTTCTTCCTGCATGGCAACTGGGACGACGAGCGCATCAAAACCACCTGGACGGAGCACAGGGCGGCCTTTGACAAGGCGCTTGCGCTGCTCCCCGTGCCGGGCGTGAGGGCCGACCTCCGGGCCGAAGGGGGGGAGTTCCGCGTCCCCGTCATCTTCTACGGCTGCGGACGGCCCGGCCGGCATCCCACCGTCATCATGTGCAACGGCTACGACGGCTCGCAGGAGGAGCTGTATCATGTTGCCGCCGAGGCCGCCCTCTCGCGGGGCATCAACGTCATCACGTACGAAGGACCGGGCCAGCCCACCGTTCGCCGCGAGCAGAACCTCGGCTTCATCCACCAGTGGGAACGCGTCGTCTCCGTCGTCATCGACTACGCCCTGACGCGAGACGACGTCCAGCCCGACGCCCTAGGCCTCTGGGGATACTCCCTGGGCGGCTTCCTCGCTGCCCGCGCCGCCGCCGCCATGGAACCGCGCTCCGAGCCTCGCATCGCCGCCGTCATGGCCATCGACGGCGTCAGCGACTTTGGCGCAGGGGTGCTCGAAAAGTTCCCTCCGGAGCTGCTCGCCCTGTTTCAGAATGGCAACAAGGAGGCCTTTGATCAGGCCGTCAGATCAGCCCTGTCGAGGCCCGGCGCGCCGACCCCTTTTCGCTGGGCCGTTGAGCAGGGTCTGTGGGCCTTTAACCTCAAGTCGCCGTTTGAGTGGGCGACCAAGTGCCTCGACTTCAAGCTGGGCGACGCCGTCCGCCATATTGGGGTGCCGTTCTTCGTGGCGGACGCGGAGAATGACGAGTTGTTGCCTGGGCAGGCAAAGGGGCTTGCGGACGAGGTTGGAGAGCTGGCGACATATCACTTGTTTTCAGCCGAGGACGGGGCGGGAGAGCATTGCTCCATCGGCGCGGCTGTGCTTCAGAACCAGGTTGTGTTCGACTGGTTCCAGGACGTGGTGTCGAGAAAGTGAGGCCACGATGCGACGGTAATGGAGAATGGATCCCTGTCTCAATGTCCATGAGTGTCAAGATAATCAAGAAACAGTGTTCCATTCTGAGTGACAAGCGTCCCACTCTTTGCATACCTAGCTATATATAAACTCGATAGAATAACAATGTCCCTTATCTCACAATTGTCAGCATAATGGAAACCAACCAAGACACGTTGACATGGCCCTGTCTTCATCCCAAGAAAACCAAACGAACAACCTGTCCATACCCGACTTTCCCTGCAAGTAGACTCCAGCGTATGTAGATACTTGTCCCATACCATCGACCAAAAATGACACCCAAAATTCATACCGGCAGTGAGCCAAACAAACTCCAAGGTGTTACTTTGTTACATAACGGGCTTACCAACCCCTGAGCCTATCCCAAAAGGACCCCGAAGAAGCATGCTTCACCTCCTCAGGAGGAACCGGCGGAGCTGTGATGGTCGTGTTCCACTTTTCGTCGCCGCTGATGAAGAGGCGGTAAAGAAGCTTGCTCTCGCCGTCTTCCTCTTCAATAGTGAAGGAGCCAAACTTGGACATGCCGGAGTGATGGTATCTATAAACGCGGTCAGGATGACTGGCCGATTTTGATGAGCATATAGGGCCCAGACTTACTGAATCAAGACATCTTCCTCGTCCACCTGGCTGTACGAAGGAATTGGAGAAGCAAACTGGTTGAGCGGACTGGTGGAAAACTCGTAGACGGTCGACTCCTCGGGCCAGTCGGACTCTGGAGGGGGCGGGAACTTGGTTGCGGCAAATTCGTGCCTGTCGCCGGACAAGATGACGACGCCGATCCCGCGGGCCGCGACATCCCACATGGCTTCGAGTATCTTCTTTCTCTCGACCAAGAATCCGCCCCAGGTGTCCTTCACGTTCACGGGCCAGTTCTTCGTGAAAGGGATGGAAGAGGCGACAAACTTCCACCTCACGCCCTTGGGCTCGGGTCGGGCGAGCCAAGCCAGAAAGTCAGCCAGCTGATCGGCGCCGAGCATCGTCTTCTCCGTCGCATTAAAGGGTAGCGAGTTGCTGGAGCGATAGCTGCGGGTGTCGAGCATGAAGAAGCTCGCCGGGCCCTGCACAAACTCAAACCACGTGGCGCCGCGTCGACGCTCGCTCGTCGTACCAGCGGCCACAGCTCGCGGAGGGTTGATTTGAGCCTGGTAGATGTGCCAGGGGTCTACAGCGTTCTGGTACACGCCGGTGCTGTTGGCATCCCAATCCTGTGCGAAGCCGTTGTTAGTCGATACGATATCGAGGCTGACTTGGTGTTCAGTGAGTTCAGTGAAGGGGGAGGGAGTTTACATTGGCAATCTCGTGATCGTCCAGGACATGGATCCAGCTCAAGTTTTGGCCAACGGGGGGCCAGTCCGGAGAGGCGTATACCTGTCGGTATTGCATGCGATATTCATCGACCGACTTTCCAAAGCGCTCGGGAACATCGACGTAGATGAAGTCGCCCAGGAAGAGCATAAACTGCGCACTCAGCTCAGGGAGCCTCTTGGCAAGATTCCGCAGACCTGGAATTGCCAGCGGATGATCAAAGGGCGAGTAAGGGAACCGCGGCAGGATGCAAGACGTGGACAAGAAGGTGTATTTGCCTCCGTTCTGAGTTGGCATCTTGCCAGGCTGGGGCGCCGCAGTCAGCTCGCCCGTGTGATTGTTCGAGGTCCGCCACTCATACTTTTGCTGCTCCGTGTAGCTCAGGAGCGGAATGGTGAGAACACTGGTGAAGTCTGTCTCGTTAGAGGTGGCCTTGACGCTGCCGACGGACTGCCAGATGAGACCGTTGTAGTGCCGAATCTGGAAAGTGACGGGCATCTTGGCCTGGTCGGGCTCGCGGATGAGAAAGTTGGCCTCGTTGTGAGAGACATAGCCGAGGCGCACAAAAGACAGGTCGTCGGCAGGATAGTACCAGCGGGCGCGGTACAAGGCATCGGCCGTAAGGGCCACGAATACCAGGTTGATGAGAAAGCTCAGCAGGGAGCTCAAGGGCCGCTTTGCACTGGGGGCGCCGTAGAAGATGATCTTCCAAGCCGGCACGTCCTTTTCGGAAAAGGAAATCGTCTCCTTCACGTCGACCTCATCCGCGACCAGCTCCTGGTCCGGTTCATCATCCGGCGTGACTACGGTTTCCTTGACCGTGATGTCGACCTCATCATCCACAACTTCAAGCTCCGGCGGAGAAAAGTAACTCGTCAAGAACGCAGGAATATAGATGGCAAACAGAGCAAAGATGATAGACGGCAATCGCGCCTATGATGTGGTTAGGCATGCATGTTATGCTTACTTACTTTCACGGTCTCAGGACGAGCAGGCGGCGATAACTTACGGGAAACTACATGTGGCGTCAGCTCAGAACACAATGTCACCTACATCCCACGGAAGAAGGGGAGAGACTATCACGTACAGCACGGAAGAAAAGAAGGGCTCCTATCCTTATTGCGACCGAGGACGCATTTGCGACGCTCCTTTGGATGGCCATGATGCCAAAGAGGCCAGCTTCCACCCCCGCAAGGTCAGACGGCGAGGGGTCGCTGGGAGGAGCAGGGCGCTTGGAATGATAGCCAAAGAGGGGTTGTGAAGTAGCAGATGCGCGGTACCAAAGATGTTGAAGCTAGAAAATGAGTCTCGTCACCTCATGGCCATGTCACGGAAGTGGAGGAGAGAAGCAGAGGTGGACAGCTCGTGAATGTACAATCGACGTCACTATAACACGGATAACAACAAACTGGGCGCGGGATCACGCCAATAATATAGCGGTGTCTCAGCTGTGGCTGGAGCGGTACGTATCCCGACCTATCCCCCGACCTATCCCCACACGCCGCTTGCCGTGGGCGTTATTACAGGCGATCCAACGCTGGAGCTCTTAGCGGGATAGGTAGGCAAGGTAGGGGAAGGTAGGCATCAATGCAGCGGCTCCAGCAGGCAGAAGGCGGGCGGGTTCAGGGGGCGGGGTCGCGAAATTCCGTGCCGAGACAGCTAGATATGCACATGTACAGTACATGTGGCTTGTCAAGTAGCCGTTGCTTGGGGACCAGAGAGTGGCTGGTGACGAGTGGCTGGTGGGCTTCAACACCAAGACTCGGGCCAGTGTGTCCCATTCACACGCCTCCCTGATCCTGATCCAGCCCTCGACAACGCCGACCTGCACAACCACACGATGAGACTGCCAACGCTGGTAGCTGGCCTGATGGCCTTGATGGCCTCCAATGTCGCCGCCACGGCATTGACCTACAAGCTGACCGCCAACGAAAGGGCCTGCTTCTACGCGGCCACCAAGAACCCGAACGAGAAGATTGCCTTTTACTTTGCTGTGGGTGGCGCCCCCCATTACTGTAGCAGCAATCATGCTGTACTTGCTTCACACATGTACTGACTAACCGCGCGCATTAGGTGCAATCGGGTGGTTCATTCGATGTCGACTACATCGTCGAGGGCCCCGGCGGCAAGGTGATCCTGCAGGGCGAAAAGGAGCGACAGGGCGACTTTGTCTTCACCGCGCAGCAGGTTGGCGAGTACTCGTTCTGCTTCGACAACGAGATGAGCACCTTTGCCGAGAAATTCGTCGACTTTGAGATTGCTGTCAGTACAAGCGAACGGTGGAAACAAGGGATCCTAAGAGACTAATAAGTACCTCTTTCGTCTAGGTCGAAAACGAGTCTCGAACCGCACAGCTCCCCTCCAAGCAGGGCTCATCACCGGAACAGACGTCTATCCTGGAAGAATCCATCTACAAGATCTCGGGCCAGCTGTCGACCATTTCACGAAACCAAAAGTACTTCCGAACACGAGAGAACCGCAACTTCAGCACCGTGGCGAGCACGGAGAAGCGCATTGTCAACTTTAGCATGATCCAGATTGCTCTCATCATCTGCATGGGGGCGCTGCAGGTGTTTGTTGTTCGGTTCTTCTTCCAGGGCGCGCGCAAGGGCTACGTTTAAACGAATGATGCTTTTCTTCTATTTTGCAACGCAAGGCATACGGATATGCAATCGACGACCCGTTTGTCCCGCATGAGCTGGGATGGTATGGACGGAGGCGTGGCATGAGATACCTTGGGTAGGCCAACGTGGCCGGAGTCTTTTGGCTCGAACACAGCTGGTGATGAGCCTCCAGGGCACAACACGGAAAAGGGAGATGCCTCCCAAGAAATGAGATGAAACATATACCTTTAATTGCATCAATTGATCATTCAATCTTGAGTGCCTAATACCTTATGTAGCCAACTGCGAGCGATACACTTGGCCGCTTGGAGTACATACTGACCTAGGTACCTTACATAAGTGGACGTCTGAGGCGCTCACAGAAATTCAAGCCACTTTTGCGGAGCCGAGACTCTTGACTTACGCCACACTATTGCCTAGAATCCCTGTCAGCCCAGCCACACCTTGCACCGCCATACCTGGAATTTCTCAACCCAAAAGTTGGCCATCGCCAGCTCTCGCCGCTTTGCATCCGTCACCTCACGCGACGCCCGGCAAAATGACGTCCATGGCCGCATCACTGCAGGCGTCGCTGCCCAAGCCGAAATACACCGGAGAGGATGAAGAGGCGCCGTCGCGGGCGCAGCAGCGCGGGCCTCGCATCGTAGGGCCGGGCCAGCTAGACGAGACGCAAATCGTCCTCAAGCGCAGCGGCCCTCCCCCGTACGGCCAGCGAGCGGGATGGCGGCCTCGCTCGCAGGAGGACTTTGGCGATGGCGGCGCATTCCCCGAGATCCCCATTGCCCAGTACCCGCTGGACATGGGCAAGAAGGGCGCCAAGACGAGCAATGCCCTGGCGCTGCAGGTCGATGCCGAGGGCAAGGTCAAGTACGACGCGATCGCGAGGCAGGGACACGGCGAGGGGCGCATCATCCACACATCCTTCAAGGACCTCATCCCGCTGAGGCAGCGAGCCGATGCTGGGGAGATTGATCTGTCGCGTCCAGACAAGGAGTCGGTCGAAGCGACGACGGAGAGGACCAAGAACGCGTTGGCAGCTCTCGTCAGCGGAGCCGTGGCGGCGCAGAAGCCCAAGAACCTCAACATCGGACAGCGAAAGGACCCGACCTTTGTGCGATACACGCCGGCAAACCAGATGGGCGACAACTCGAAGAAGCAGGACCGCATCATGAAGATTGTCGAGCGGCAGCGAGATCCCATGGAGCCTCCGAAGTTCAAACACAAAAAGATTCCCCGCGGCCCCCCGTCACCACCTCCTCCCGTCATGCACTCGCCACCGCGAAAACTCACCGCCGAAGACCAAGAGATGTGGAGGATCCCGCCCCCCGTGTCGAACTGGAAGAACCCCAAGGGTTTTACGGTGCCGCTGGACAAGCGCTTGGCTGCAGACGGACGAGGCTTACAGGATATTACAATCAACGACAAGCACGCACAGTTCGCGGAGGCGATCAAAATGGCCGAGCGCCATGCCCGAGAAGAGGTCCAGCAGAGAGCTCTCATGCAACAGCGGCTGGCGGAGAAGGAAAAGATGCAGAAGGAAGAAAACCTACGGGCTCTGGCCCAGAAGGCGCGGGAGGACCGAGCTGCAGCTGGTCGACGTGGAAGAAGGGACTCAAGGGACTCGCGAGACTCACGGGATTCAGGCTCCAGATCACCATCACGGTCTAGCTACAGTGGCTCAGAGTCTAGAGGTTCCGATAGCGAGGACTCAGAAGTTCGGGCCCGAGAAAGGGCACGAAGAGAGAAGCGGAAGGAAGAAGAGCGGAAACTGCGTCAAACACGAATGGGCGCCGAGCGGCGTATCCAGGTTATGGCCCGGGAGCAAAATCGAGACATTTCCGAGAAGATTGCTCTGGGCATAGCCAAGCCTTCACAGTCCAAGGAAACGATGTACGACTCACGGCTGTTTAACCAGTCCAGCGGGTTCGACAGCGGATTCAACGAGGACAATCCGTACGACAAGCCCCTTTTTGCCGCTCAGGATGCCATCAACAGCATCTACCGGCCGCGAGCAAACCTGGACGACGAGGATGCGGAAGCGGGTGACCGGGAGATGGCCAAGATTCAAAAGTCAAGCCGGTTCGGTGAGGCGCTGGGCAAGGGCACCTTTAAGGGGGCCAGCGAAGCAGAGGTCAGTTTTTTTTTTTCATCTTGTCTCCTTTGTCTGTCAGCTCGTCGTAGCATTTGCTAACCGGTGTCTGTTTCACAGGCACGAGAGGGACCGGTGCAATTCGAGAAGGACGCTGCCGACCCGTTCAACGTGGACAAGTTTTTGTCCGAGGTGGACCAGAACTCATCTTCGAAGCGAGGATACGGGCTGCAGGACGAGGAGAGGAGGGCCAAGAAGGCTCGCGTGGAGGAGGATGACGATTAGAGCGAACATGTATCATTTTCTCCATGTCCATTATAATGAATCAGAGAGGTCGACTTTGTTGACTGTCGCTTGCGATCTGGAGGGGTCAGTCAGTTTTTTGCGGTTACGGTTAGATTTGCCTGGAGGGGGGGCGGTTACAGAGAGCCCATCATCACATGGATATTGAAATGCAAAGAGGACAATTACCCTGATATAATACCGATGCAATACAACATGTTACTGTTGACCGTAATAATAGTATCCTGTCAGTCTACAGCACGTGAAATGGTATCACATGTAAGAAAAGAAAAGCCCATCCACACCATCGAGCCCGTCAGAACCCACTCACACTCGGACCGTCACTCACTTGAGTGGCTTCGTATTGACATTGACTTTTGCACTGCCTCCTCCGTTCCTGAATAGTAGCTCGCCTTTTTCCCCTTTTTCCATCCCACCCTCTCTGTTTCTTGCTCTTTGACAGCTATTGGCTCCAGGGCTATCACAGTCGGTGCCTACCTATTACTACCTCCATTCTTGTGCAGAACTGGCTGCGATGTTTCCCTTTTTTGTACGCACCGTCTAGTTAAAATAAGTCGCTGGTGCCACTTAGATTCCCACTTGACAAGTTTGTAACACCGACGCGCGTCATTGTTATAAAAAACTCTGTGTCGATCCGGCTTCATTATTCCCGATTTTTGTTCCTATCTGGGCTTTCCTGATATTCGTTTTCGGTATTGATCTTTGATAGTGAATTTGCCTGCTCCTGCATGTCCGTTGAGAAGTATTTCGTTTGTTTGTTTTATATTTACGTCCGTGACTTAATGTCGGAATCTCCTTAAGGAGCAATGTGGACGGCCCGAGCTAGCTATATACTTAATTACAAGATACAGGACCATTCAAGGCACGTAGGCGTGACGCAAGGAAAAATAAAAATGAGAAGTATTTCCCTCGACGTTGAAAACAGGTCTAGGTTAAGGCAGCGACGACGAGTACTTGAACATTACGGATATACAACCCAGGGTAAGCTATTGGCCTGCCAGGAATACGCATCCAATACGCCCAGTTCGACGACCGGGGAAGCGGGATTCCTTTAGATGCCGGGGGGTGGTTTGGATTGATAGGGCAGTGCCGCTGTATCCGGTCCTTGTCCATGGTAGTGACTGTGCTCTGCTTGAAATATCACTTCGTATTATTGATGAGGCGCAAGAAGCCGTGAGTGAGCAACGAGGTACGAGGCCCGTACTAAATGTCTGCCTTATACATAGGTAGGTATGGTAGTACCTGTAGTAGTACTATGTGGACTCGTAAGAGGTCAATCCGTACCCAACGTGAACCCACTCAGTTCCGTTTTCCCGTCTGTTTCCTCTGGTCTTCTTCGCCTGTCAACTTCACATTCTCGTATTATTTGTGCTTGTCTCTGATTAGAAAGCCTTTGTTGCGCTTCTTTTTCCATCTTCGCAACGTCGCTCTCTTGATTTTGGACTCTGTCCTGAGTCGTCGTTATTTGCCGTGGGCAGCTTGTTGTCACCAACTACCTGAATTGCGCTCGTTATCGCGAGTAGGAGCAGCCCTTTGGTTTCTCTTCCCAAAGAGGCTATCGCCGGAGTGATATTAACCAGACTGCATTCATTGGCCGGGATTGCCATCCATCGACTCACATCGTTCGTTGGTTCGCCTTTTTAGTGAAATTGTTGTTTCCTCTCAGACAAGAGAGACGGGAAGAGAGGGAAGCGAGAGGGTAAAGAGGGAATTATATCTACCACTTTCCTGGCGTGCTATTCGCCCTTACCTTTCCTTTCTCCTCTCTGGGCAAACCAGGCACATCCTTTAAACAAGAGTTACAAGCGACATGGAGCGAGGCAGTGTAAAGCCGGGCGAGGTGCCCCCCGGATATGAAGAATATCCCCTCGACAACCGAGGCCATCGCCAGTCCGGATCCTCATCGCCTGCCCTGTGGAACCCGAGATACTGGTCCAAGAAAGTATGGATTGGCATTGCTGCCGTTGTCGTCATTGCCATTGTCATTGGCGTGGCTGTTGGCGTCACGCAGGGGAAGAAGAGTTCATATCCCGACTACTCACAGTTGACATATACCCTCAAGGATACATGTGAGTCCAGAGATGACCCTTTTCTTCTTCTTCTGCTCGACAATGGTTTCACCATGCTGACCAACTGTCGATAAACAGTCCAGGGAGAAACCTTCTTTGACAACTTCAACTACTTTGAGGGCTGGGATCCTGCCGGGGGATTCGTTCACTACGTTCCGCAGCCTCGAGCCCAACAGCTGGTGAGTGACTACTCTCATAGAACAACCACACACTACATACACACAGATCACGAGAGGGCCGAAGAGTCTCATCCAATCACTGTCCATTCACACGTCGCTAACACGGGCGGTAGAACCTCACTTTTGCATCCCAAGATGCCGCCGTCCTCAGGGTCGACACATCCGTCGGCCCCGGCAGCAACCCCGACGCCTCCACGGGCCGCTTCTCCGTGCGCGTCGAGTCCAAGAAGACGTACAACGACGGCCTCTTCATCTTCGACGTCCGCCACACCCCCTACGGCTGCGGCACCTGGCCGGCCCTCTGGCTGACGGACCCGTCCAACTGGCCCGACAACGGCGAGATCGACGTCATGGAGGCCACCAACAAGGCCGACGACGGGAACCAGATGACGCTCCACACCTCCAAGGGCTGCTCCATGGGCGTCAAGCGCAAGCAGACGGACAAGGCGCTGCAGAAGGACTGCGACTCGTCCAAGAACGGTAACGCCGGCTGCGGCGTCCAGGGCCCAGACAGCACCTTTGGCACGTCGTTCAATGCCAACGGCGGCGGCGTCATGGCCATGGAGTGGCGGGACGCGGGCATTCGCGTGTGGCAGTTTGCGCGCAGCGCGATTCCCGCCGACATTACCGGCCAGAAGCCCGATCCGAGCACCTGGGGAGAGGCGGCGGCGGATTTCCCGAGCACGGATTGTAACGTCGGGAGTCACTTTAGGAACAACTCGATTATCCTGAACATTGACCTCTGCGGCGACTTGGTGTATGGCGTGTGGGATAGCTCTGGCTGTGAGTTGCCCTCCTTATTTGTCTCTTTTGAAACCCCGGGTATCCGATGAAGATGCTGACTCTGCTTGCCCCCTTTCTACAGGTTCCAGCAACTGCACCGATATAGTTGCAAACAACCCCCAGTCCTTTGTCGATGCTTACTGGGAAGTGGGCAAGTTCCAGGTTTACCAGGCCGCGTGAGGGGGTGCGAGGAAGCTGGGCGCAGCTTTAATGAGGGTAAGGTTATACAAGATAATATACCAGAACGAGGCATGGATTCTACATAGTAATGAAAGTAATGGTACGTTTATGAGAAGATGATGCGCGTGTGCTTCATTGTTTAGTAAGCCCGTCCATGGCTCACCGTTCTGAGAGTGCTTCTGAGAATACTCTATAGCAGCCAGGGTATTGTTATACACATGGTATCTCTCCCCTTTCTCCTTGTTATACACATGCTTTCCCCCCCCCTTTTCCTTGATATATCCCCTTTTCTGTCCTCCAAGGGCCTCGCCAAAGTGGAGATATCGTACCTGAAGACAGTTCCGCCAACGCCAGCCCAGATGCTCTATATGTACACTCTACCGGAACTCCCCAACCAATTATAATAAGTCAAAAGAAACAGATGATCCCAAATCCTCACATCATCACCATCACCATCATCGTACCAACTCCCCACCAATTTTTCCATCTCCTTTTTTCCCGTTCTACTCGTCGCTCGGCTGCCGCATGTACGCATCAATCGCCGCACTAAACGCCGCAAACGCAACACACCCGCCAGCAACCGCCTGAGGCCCCGCGTTCTTGGCCAGGATGCCTCCCGTCAGACACCCCGCGGCCACGCCGTTGACGAGGTCGTTCTTTGCGCGCAGCCCTTCGATGCCGCACTCGATGCCGGAGAAGAGGGCGCCGACCTTGCCAAAGTTCTTGGCCATGCTCCACGAGCGCGTGCCCATGTCCTTGAAGCCGATCTTGAGCTGCTGGCGGAGGGGCAGGGATGTGATGGCCGGCTGGCCGTTGGCGCCTTGGAGGGGGCTTCCGAAGGGGGTGTCGTAGGACATCTGCATGATGAGGCCGGGAGTATTATTAGACATGGTCAAGGTGAAGAGTGGGGGGGTGGTGGAAAAGATGGAGGTTCGTGGATGGAGGAGGAGGAGGAGGAGACGTACAGAGGCCATGAAGAGACCAAAGAGGCCGCCCATGCCGAAGCCCATGACGCCTGACATGATGGACTTGCCGTAGCATGATTCCATTGCGCCTTGGATCTAGATACGGAGGATACGTCAGTAAGCCAGATGCTTGAGAGCTGAAGGGTCAGGGGGACCGAGAGAGAGAGAGTGAGAGAGAAAGAGTGCTTACAGCTCGGACGTTGGGGTCTTGGTTGGCGCCCATCGGCGGAAGGGGAGCGTTGCCCCCGCCAAGAGGAGATGGAAAGCTCATGATGGCGAAGTTGTTATAATAATGCTTTGACGAAAAAGAGAGACTCGAGTAGACTCTAGATTATTGCGCGCGAGAATGTTGTTGTACGTGTGAGGGTTGTAGGTAGTAAGTAGTGTGATAATATGCGCCGTCACTGCAGATATCGAGTGGATTGTGAGCGTTGAATCCCGTTTAGCTTCCGATAACGAAGAGGAATTATTTCTGCCGCCCTTGACCGCCTTTGGACCGGAGAGCGTTGAGCGGCGGGGCGGAAGAGCCCCGCTGTGGGGCATTCGACCGGAGCGGGAGCGGGAGGAAAGCCGGAGGTGGGATTTGTGTGACTTGGAGAGGATCGAATGATACTGGGTATATCATCGACCAGAAGCCGAATATGTGATGACTTTTCAGCTTTACACAACTTTGTGGAAGACATCAGATGGTATCACTAAGCGCAACTCTGGATATAGAGTGTTACACATGTGCTTGGAATAATAATAATATTACACAACCTTGAAAAACTCCAGTACGCTACCTTATCCAGATGCCATGTAAAAGACTGACAAAAACTCCAACACATGCCAGCATGCATTGTTCATCTAGTCCCTTCAAAAAAAAAAAAAAAAAAGCCCTCAAACATCAACTCACCCTCCCCCATTCAGCCTCTCACTCATCACAAATAGCAGCCACCGCCTTATCGATCCAAAGCTGGTTCTTCTCATCCTCGAGATACTCCCTCGCGAGCGTCTTCAGCTCCTCCATCTTGGTATAATCCGCCAGCCCAATCTCGCTCTTGCCCAGCGCCGGATTCAGCCGGACGTACCTCGTCTTTGCGTGCTCGGGCCTGTTGTTCAGCGCCGTCATGTGCCGCGAAAAGTCCTTGCCCTTGGCGTTGGTGTTTGTCGCAAAGCCCATGACGGACGCCGCGACGCCGACGAGCTGGAACCACGACTCGGACGGCGACGCGTCGGGCCGCGTGTAGCCCGTGCCGAGGCTGACGACGCACGACACGGGCGGCGCGGGCTCTGCGGGCTCGACGAGCTCGTAGCGGGCGTACCACAGCTGGTCGATTGGGTTGTTGTTGAGCAGGCCGCCGTCCCAAAAGGTCAGCTGCTGTGGGCTGTTGTTGTTGTTGTTGTTGTTGTTGTTGTTCTCGGGCCACTTCACCTCGGGGAAAAAGGTGGGCGCGGCAGAGGTGGCGCGTGTGGCCAGGCTGATGGTGATCTTGTCCGAGTGCTCGCGCATGGCGTCGTTGACCTTTGACTTGACGTGGATGGTGTTGTTCTTGTACGTCCTCAGCAGCACCGTTTCGGCCCTGTTCTGCGCCGTCGTGCAGACAAACCTAGAGATCGATTCATCCGATAATCAGCCAACCATATAATCTAATGAAAAGGCAATCCAGAGGGATGAAAGGAAGAGACTTACATCCTGCCTGCGTTGGGATGCAGCAGCGGCGCCTCGCCCTTGAGCCTCCGGTCCTCCTCGTCAAGCCCATACTTGCCCACCACCCGATCAATCGCCTTCTTCAACGACTTGTCGTCGAACCTGCTGCTCTGCACCAGCGTCTTGCTGTTGTTGATCATGGAAGCCAAGCCGTTGGGCATCCAGCTGGTGATGTTCCACCCCCAGAGCCGCGGGCTAAAGACCTCCTTGGCAATCTCGTCGTACTCGCTGATGGCCTCGGACGCCGTCATGCGCAGCCGGAACAGCATGATGCCGATGATGCCGCCGGTGCTGGTGCCCGCCGCCAGCTCGAAGAAGTCGGCCGGGCGGCACTCGTCCTTGAGCCCCTTGCGCGCCTGGACGCGGGCCATGATCTCCTTGAGGATGATGAGGGAGGCGACGCCGCGGACGCCGCCGCCGTCGAGGGCGAGGAGGCGCACGCCGTTGAGGTGTCGGGTTTTGGGCAGGTAGACCATGTTTTTGGAAGAGGAGGAGGGTATGTGTACTAGGTGAAGGAGCTGATGAAGAAGAAGTTCGGGGGCTACATGAGAGACTGAAAGAGTGCAGCTCTTTTATAGCCTATAGTTTGTCTATTACATGTGGGTTGAAGATGACCATGGCATTGCTGTACACTATAGACCAATACTATTGCGCACACGCAGCAGCTGCTGCACACTATCACCACATACTCGCAGACTATTTACCGGCCCATCCCGTTTCCAGAGCCGCCACAGGGCTAACTATTGCCTCCTGGCCAGCTGAGATCGAGCCCGCTGGTGGTTTCTGCCAGTCTGCCAGTCTGCCTACCGTCTAGACTCCAGCCCACGATCCACCCTCGCGGGCGGCCCGTCCGCTAGCCGCTCAACTTCTTCGCGGACCCCTGGAGATAGGACTACATAGTAGTAGCAGTATTACTAGTTGCAAAATCTTGCGCCTCATGGATTGAGTGATGGATGACCCGGTGAAAAGCTGAATGTGATGATGGACGTGATGGCTGTTGTTTGTGGTTAAAGCGTCTCGGTTATGAAAAGGCTGGTTGCTGCCCTTGCATTGCGCTGGTTGCATGGGTATCTCAGCTGGTGATGATCTTATCGCTAATCCCTCTGAGCTGAGAGTTCTACTGCTGAGACTGGACTTCTTCACTTGTTCATCATCATGTGCCGACAGCTGAACCGCTCCCTGAGTTCTCGTCAGTGTTGGTGACATCAATGTAGAGAACCGAAAGTGGCTGGCTGTGTCCTTGACGCATTGGAAATATAGTACCACAGTCGAGTATCTATGAATAGCTGGCCCAAGGCGTAGCAAATGGTCACCAACAGATGGATGCGTTCCCACAGAATTAACGTGAATTGATCAAAGTTTCTGTAGCTTCGACTTCGAGACTTGGTATCATGCAAATGCACTTCTCTTCTCAGCAGCGAACAGAGTTTCGCCTCTCGCCTCTGCGTCTCTGGGCCTGTTGGACAGCTGTGTTTGCCGGGTGCTCAGTAAACCCTTTCTCTACCATCCGAACCCGTCCAATTGATATCAAGCCTGTCTTCACTCTACATTTCCAGGCTGTCCAGTTTCCCAAATTGATCCGATCAAGCCAGTTGGCCCTTTGGGAAGCTCGCCCTAACAAGCTTTCTCTGCATCCCAGTACCCATCAGTCGTTGAGCTCGCAGGACTGTCCCCAGCCATGGGATCCAGCATCTGTCCCTTGCGGAACTCACCGAGCTCACGCTTGTGCTCCACCACAAACTCGCGAGCACAAGGCGATCTGTGTCCCGTCTGAACGTTTTGGAAATAGTGTTCGACTGGAGAAGTGGGAGCATCAATCAGTATCAAGTTCAGGAGGCTGGTCATTGATCTGTAGGACGCACAGAGCATGAGCTTCGAATACTTGCGGCGCGCATTCGTCCCCATCTCCCGTTGCATGATTTCGGCGCACGCCTTCCAGTCGTGCACTCGATCGGACGGTTTCACAGCCTTTGGCGACTGTGGGACAATCGTCTTCCAGAAGAAGCGCTCTTCCTGCTTGGACCACGTTTTGCCGCCCATTGTGTGCGAGGTCCGTATATTGGTGTCCTGCGAGGGAACGCGATTCGACGAAGACGAATGGGTATGTGGTCCGAGATGCCGAGTATCAGTATGAAATGCCCAAGAGCCGTCGATTGGAGAAGATGTAGCAGGGCTGTTGGTATGGCACCAGGTCTTGCATGATCGATAAAGTTTGCTGCAGACTCAAATGCAAAAAAAGGCCGAGATATATATAGCAGTGAGGCCACGAGGTCAGCACCGCCCGATGCAGTGATTCACTGCATCAGAGCAATCATTTGAGTGTCCCTGCTGACCTCAAGACAGCACAACGGATGAAATTCTCTCGCCACGGCTATCTCCCAGGTTCTGTCCGTGATTCACAGATGCATCCAATGTGGAACCGGTGTATGATGCCCTTGAAGGTAACCAAGCAGCTTGAGCCGATGGCAAACATTGCAATTAGTACTTCTCAGAGACACGAGGCTCCGGTGGTCTGACGCCTCGCGCTTGCAGGAAGCCCGCCAGACAGTGATCGATCCGGGAGAACTGCAATCGTGTTAGCATCACAGGCAAACATCTCTCTAACGGTTCAGTCAACCGGGACTCACGATGCTCTTCTGCTTCAGCGGCACCACGCCGTCCCTTATCCAAAACGCCCACGCGCCCATCATGTTCGCCAGCATCACGTCCGTCATCAGCCTGTCGCCGACAACAGCAATGTGCGACGGATCAGTCACCCCCGTCTCGGGATACTTTTGAAAGTACGCCATGATCTCGGCGCCGCAGCCAGGCTTCTTGGTCGAATGGGGAAGCACAAAGACGCCCGTGTTCTTTTCCACCTCTGCGGCGAGCTTGAGGTCTCTGTCCCAGCTGGTTGCTCCAGCAGTGTTGGAGACGACCAAGAGCTTGCGCCCAGGGTACGCCTGCTTCAGCTTTTCAAAGTGTTGCTATAGCCAGATTGTGTGTCAGTGATGCTACAGAGCCTCAGATGGCGGCGTTTTGCCATCATACCTTGTAGGCGGGATACACTTCTTTGGCGTCGGGATAAGCAAAGCAGTCGTCCTTGTCGAGGACAACGGCCTTGATGTTGGCTCTCCGGCCGTCTCTCTGCAGGGCCGCGTCGAGAGGGATGGGCAGGTCGTTGAACGTTGGCGCAATGTGATGAGGCAGACACAAGCCGGGCTTGAGCAGCAGCTTTGCCGAGTTTAACGATCCATACAGGTTGAAGTTCATTGTGCTTGTTGTTCTTCTTTTTTTTTTTCCTGAGCTATCACACCCAGATATCAGCCTGAAGGCGGAGGAGATTGAGGCGTAATTGAATGGTGACTCAGTATCAGGTACACGAGCTTTAAGAATTCCTTGTTGAATCGGCCAGTTCCATCACATGGCAGTGGGTCGGATTGGCGCTGCACCACCTGCTCGACTTTTAGCGCTTCACGGCCCTGAGCTGCCGCTAGCTTCAGCGCGTCAAGGGACCGCGTTGAGTGGTGCTGCCTTTTGCAGGGAGACCTGGAACTTCAACTCGACCTGGTTCTACTCGGCATCTTCAGTTGGCCTTGACGACAGCATCACAGCACATTCCTTGTTGCGCGAGATAGCAGATGGAAAACTGAATCAATAAAGACATCAAGCTGATCAGCAATTGCCTTGAGACCTCAGCTAGGCACCTTGTTCTTGATATCACCCTCTCGGCCTCTCCAACCAAGCAGCATCACCATACTAAAACTACAGATACATACATTCTCATCGCCATTGAGTCTCGCAAACTCCTTCCAATGGACTCCAACGAAGATGAAGCCGCCGACATCCCCTCTCTAGGCGACAAGATGGACCTCGACATCCAAGAAACAGCCACAGAGCCCGAACCCACACCCACAACCACAACCACACCCACGCCTCGCCGCCGCGGCCGCCCTCCCAAGCCCAAATCCAACAACACCACCCCCAACTCAAAACCCGCCCTCGTCCCCGTCTTCGCAACGCCCACAAAGGCCATAGGCTTCAGCGCCGCCCTCACCCCCGGCAGGGCAGCCGACCGCTCGGCGAGGAGGAAGAGCGCGCGCGCGCTGATAGACCGCGTCGTCGGGGACGCAGGCAGCGATGACGAAGACGACATTGCACGGCAGATCTACGACTCGAGCGATGCCGGCGACGAAGACGATGACGACGACGGCGAGGAGGACGACCTCGAGTCAAAGACGGACGCCGAAGCCGCCACGCCCTCGAAATCTCGCGGCAGACCCAAGGGCCGCCCAAAGAGACAGAGACCCAGGTCGCCCACGCCGCCGAGGGACCTGCCTCCCCACGAGCTGTACTTCCTGCACAACAAGCCCGGCCGGCCCAAGACGTCGGACAACACCCTGTCGTCCCTCAACCTGCTCTCGCACGACGAGTACTTTGCCGTTCTGCGCGAGCACCGCGACCGCCACGCCGACAGCATCGAGTCTCTCGAGCAGCTGCACGCCGAGTCCTTCCCGCAGTGGGCGTTTGAGCTGTCCCAGGGCTTCAGCGTGTGTCTCTACGGCCTGGGCTCCAAGCGGCACCTCCTCCGCAAGTTCGCGACCTACATCCACGCCAACGCCAAGAGGTCGATCAAAGCCGGCGCCAGCAACAACAGGATCGTCATGGTCAACGGCTACGCCCACACGACCAACCTCCGCGAGATCCTCAGCGTCGTCGCCTCCGCCATCGATCCCACCCAGCGAGTGCCCACCTCCCAGCCCGCCGTCATGATCCAGACCATCTCCTCCCTCCTCCTCTCGTCCGCCGCCACCACGAAGAAGAAGAAGCTCACCCTCACCATCATCGTCAACTCCATCGACGCACCCCCCCTCCGCAAGCCCGGCTCCCAGGCCATTCTGTCGCAGCTCGCCGCCCACCCGCAGATCCACCTCGTGGCCTCCGCGGACACGCCTGATTTCCCCCTGCTGTGGGATATCGGCGTCCGCTCGGGCTTCAACTTTGTCTTCCACGACTGCACCACTTTTTCTCCCTTCACAGCCGAGCTCGACGTCGTCGACGACGTGCATGAGCTCCTCGGCCGGCAGTCCCAGCGCGTCAACGGCCGCGAGGGCGTCGCCTTTGTCCTCAAGAGTCTAACGGAAAACGCAAAGAACCTGTTTCGCCTGCTCGTCGGCGAAGTCCTCATCGCCATGGAGGACGAAGGCGACGACGGCGTTGGGTTGGAGTATAGGATGGTGTATAACAAGGCCGTGGAGGAGTTCATTTGCAGCTCCGAAATGGCTTTCCGGACGCTCCTCAAAGAGTGAGCCCCCCTTTGCGTCCTGTTCTGCCGCCATGATGATCGATTCGCTGACGAGCAATGCTACTGTGTAGATTCCACGACCACCAGATGTTGACGAGCCGTAAAGACAATCTTGGAACGGAGTTGTTGAGCCTGCCATTTCGTAAAGAAGACTTGGAAGCCATTTTAGAAGACTTGACTGCATAATCCGTTTCTTTCCCTTTTGTTTCTTTGGTATGTTGGCGTAGGCGCGAGGGTAGCATGTCAAAGGGGGATGAAAAAGGGGGGGAAACAGGCAAACGGAACGCAAAGGAGCATTAGACCAAAAAGATACCAATAGCCGCGGCGCATCAATACTTGAGACTCTTTCATTGCGTAATCAGCGATGTCTCTCTAGAAGTTCCATCTTTCGTTCATGCGAAGGCGATATCTAGCATCAACACCTATCACCTGTCTAACTCGTCATCTGTATCTATACCATCAATACATACAGATGAGGAGGAAAATGGATCGTAACAACATGTGATCCCCCACATCCCGTCAACAATCCCCAGAAAGAGAGAAAAACGCCCCATGCCATGCTTCTATATGCTCAAAATTCAAGTGCTTTCACGCATGTCCAGAGAACCACTGGCACAATGACGTTATCGTTGCCTCCCGTCAGAACCGCCTCCGTCAAGCTGGCCATGGACGAACACGCAAGGGCGTGCCCGGCTCTGGTCGCCATGCTCGTGCCTTCGCCAGCAACGGGCCACTGTCCCAGCCGGAGCCAAAGGCTGGCTGTCGTCAGGCCAAGAAAGACGGCGACTGTGAATGCTAGACTCCCCTCCAGACTCTTGCCGCCACCCCAGAGCCACTTGCGGTGGCCGAAACGGCGCCCAATTAGGGAGGCGGCTGCGTCGCCCAGACCAACACAGACAACGCCCGAGACCATGCTAATCTCTCTGGTAGGTATCTCCCATCCGGCCAGGTAGTCGGATCCGGTCCGCGGCAGAGATCCCAGAGACAGCCAGAGCGGAATGGCACATCCAATGAGGAGGAAAATGTGAGATATCACAACAGGCCCGCGAAAGTCCCTTCCGTCCACATACGGAGCCAGGAAGGAGGCGATCGGCTTGGACAGGGGTGGCAGCTGGCTTGCCCGCAGTAGATCCAAAATCAAGAAGATGGCCAAGACGATGGACAGGGCCAAGGCAACAAATGTCGGATCAATGAATGTTGCTGGGAGAAGCATGCCGACCATCATGAAGTGGAATACCTTGCGCCGGGTGTCGACTTCGTACGTGTTCTTCAGCTGGAAGACGATGGCAAGCCCGACGACCAGGATCGCAACCCAATAAGCGCTTATGAAGAGGCGCGTGTTGGCCTCGCCAAAGTCATCATGGCGCACATGCTGCACCCAACCGAGATGACATTCTTTCGCGCAAAAGGAATCGAGCCGCGGTGGTAAGCAGATCCAGCGTTCCAGATTTGCACTGACCACTCGATATCGAAAGGCAGGCAGGTCGCCGAAGAAATAACCAAGAGCCCAGCCAATAGGCTCATTGCCGTTGAGGGCATATGTCTGTATATATGGGCGGATCACGGCCACTATGATGACCGCCAGGCTCACATACACATACCCTGCGTACAGCCATTTCCTCCGTGCTGCTTGTGCTGGCGTGAACTTGAAATAAGCCCGGACAGAGACGGACGCTGTCCGCTTTCGCCTGCCGGATGGAGTGTGAGTTGCTGCTTTGCGAGCGACCTTTTCAGGGTGAGGTGTCGTGTGTCTCCGAGAGATGCCGCTTGTATTCGTCCATCCATTGTCGCCACTGGGCGAGGGAATTTTGTGTATATCGGAGGGTGCGTCTGCGGTCGCATCGAAAGTTTGGACCCTGGTAGGACTACTGAATCGCACATCGTCCTCGTCCTCATCGGTCGAGAACAGAGCATCGTCACTGTACACCTCGTGAGGTGACCCCAGAATTTCGCCCTTGAGCTTCCTCCAGCTCAACAGCCTCAGCAAAGACTTCCACAGGGAACGTCGCTGTGGGTATGGCTCTCGTCGGAACCGCCATTTGGGTACTCTTGCCAGCACAATCCCCCATCTGATCACAGCACCACAGAGCACAAGTAGGCTCAGGCCTCCGCCCCAGAGAAGGGCCTTTAGTATTTGGATCTGAGGCGACGATGCGAGGAGCAACACGTTGATCAGCGCAATTGAAAGGAGCTGGAGTTCGGTCGTCAGGAGGCTGGTCGTGGTAAGATGATGTAATACGGCGCACGCGGTCCGGTGTAGAGGGTATAGTAAGACGAGGTCCTCTTGCGCGAGGAAAGAATAAGTGGGCGCAAACCGAGACTGATCTGACAGAGAGGGCCGCCAAATCAGAGGCAGACAGGACAGGGCCCAGTGGAGAGAGTCGTATGCCGCGTAATGCTCGAGTTTGGGCACCACTTGCTGAGGGATCGAGCTTATGGCAAGTATCAGGTTCGGGAGAATCACCGCAGGGTTGTTGACGGAGACGAGTAAGGATACATAAATCGTAATCGCTGGGGGATATAGGAGAGGAGCGGGATCGAAGACTGTGGGAATCTTGAATAGCGTGTTCGAGGATGCTTGGCGATTTTTGTAACTCCAGATCGCAGCACGAAGCGGATATAGCAGCAAGAGCCCTCCGTAGAGGACACCAAAGAGATGGAAATCTATAGCCAGTCAGAATCAGATCACAAGTAGAGGGAAATAGTATATGGTGCACCTTTGCGCCAAGTGGCCAGAATCGGTGACAGCAGCGTGTTTGCCTGCACCATGCCCGCCAGGGTTGCAATGATGCCGACCTCAACAGCTCGCTGCACTAGTATCCTCTTTCGACGGATGGCCTCTGGCAGAACAACTCTCTCACTAGGTCTCTTGCCATTATGCGACGCCTTGGGGCCTGACGCGGGCACAGGCTCCTGCAGGACGGCGGGCGACAGCAGGGGCGTCGAGGTGCCGGAGATGACCTCGTTTCGGCCTCTCAGCCCTTTGTGGGGTCGCAGCTTCGGCGGCGGCAGGCCCTTCAGGAAGTGTTCGTCGTCGGCGTCGGTGCCGCTATCGCTCGCTGGCGTCGATTCCTTGGTCAAGGCGGCGAGACGAGATGGTGATAGCTGGGTCGCGTCGCTGCGCAGCTCTGGAGATGCAGGTCGTTCGGCGTGGGAGACGACATGATGCGAGGGGCAGGGCAGCTCGGAGCTCTGGTGGTGATAGGGGTGAGGCGACCGGTCTAGGGCTCGGAGCGCATCTTGCTCATCTGGATCCAGAGTCTCTGCCGACTCCGGGCTGAGGTGAGTTGGCATGTCGTGTGCGGCCACTTTTGCAGGGAATCATTGAAGACGGCTGGAGTGGGATGTTGAAGCCCCGAGGCCGGATGACGTAGGAAGCGTGTGACGGGCTCGAGCAGATTCAATGGCTGCTGCTCGGACGGGTTCAGCATGCACCAGAGTATCCAAGCTCACATTGAAAACAAAAGACGGGGCGAGGAAATGGAATGGGGCAGATTGCAGACGGCACTCAAGAATCGCCAATTTTCACATGAAAGCGACGTGTGCCCAAGCTTGACCGGGACGATGCGCATCCCTGGTGCCGTTTGGTGGCCGGCACCATCACGTGAATGGAAGTCGAAATGCTAGCCAAAGTCACGACGCTGCAAATCATCCGTGCATGGTACATGCAGCTCCCAGCCCTTGAGGGATGGTGAATCTGTCCTCAGGAACGACTCGAGCTGTTAGGCACCTTGCAGGTATAGTATCCGTTCATGGCGACATGATTGGCAGCAAATGTACGCCGTTGGCATCTTCAGCGGCATCTAATATTAGTAGCTGGCCCTGTCGTGCCTGATCTACTCTAGCCATCGACTCGTCTTGCCACTGAACCCTCGCACGGCAGTTCCATCAACTCCATTGTTTCGTTGCTTGATACCTTACCTTACATTCGATGGCACGAATCTAGAGAGTACCCCTCATCGTTGCACCAAGGTTGGTGATATGCTAGCAACAGCCACGTTGAAGCTAGCGACTGACCAGCTGTTCAAGTTTCCATATATGGACCATGATCCAAAGTAGACGCAAAGCTTCACGCCTCAAAAGGATTGCAGCTCCCAAGTAAAGGCATCCCGGGGGAGACGCAAAGATATATGAGGAAGACGGCCACTTCTCCCCTCCTCACAAGGCTGAACAGGGCCGGGAGTTGCCAATGCAATGCAGCTTAGATCGAGACAAGGATGCACACAGCCGCCGATTTGGCAGATACTACTACAGTAATACCAGGATGAAGTGGCCTCGAAATACTGCAACCCAGATTCAGCTGCGGTGGAGATCCTCCGCAACGACCGCAGGCCATCTTCGGCGACATACCAAGGGACACACATTTGAATCCGACGAAGTTTATTGAGGGCTGGCGGTTGCGACTAGCAGCTGGTGAGGGTCTCAAGGTTGTCTCATTGACACACGATAGAATCGTACTCCGTTCAGCAACGCTGGGATCTGGCCGAAGGCGGAATCTGTGCTGATAGCAGGTTGGCACAAAACGAAGCATATCCTACAGGTGTTCCAATGTGTTGTCTGCCCTCTTGGTCCACTCGTTCCATCAAGTCAGCTTCGAGAAGTCTTCACAGAAGCTTTGGTACAGTAACAAGTCCACTACCCTTGCCTGTTGTCTCGATTAATCTCCATGAGGCTGACGGCAGCCGCGTCGCCGAACTCGCCAATCTAGCCCTTGCTTGAGTGCCGAATATGTCTCGGCTGAAAGGTGCAAACTCTGCTACTACTAACCTTTTGCAAGTTGGCTCAAGAGACCGAGTACTAATAGGTACATGATTCAATGGGGCCCGGCCAAGCCTCCAAGCAGTTGTCGTTCGATTCGAATACGAGCCCGCCCGCGAGAGACTTGGGCTGAGCCGGCTCAGTTGGGAGCCTCGGTGGTGATGTCAGTTACGGAGTGCGGTTATTACGGAGTCCTAGGTAATCGTTGGCTAGCTGAACAATTGCCGTCTTAGCAGAAACTGCTAGCTTCTTCTTTTCCTTCATGATACGGGATACCGCTTCGGGGCGATCCCGCGGAGAATAACGAGGAACAAGTAACCCACGCAGCTGGGAGGTAGCAGTACTGCTAGTAACAGGAATACTCGTAGTTCGCAGGACATGTTCACATCTGAATCTTGGTCGCATCCGCATCGGTCTGCTTGTTGAGCGCCTGGAAACGAGATCATGGTTACGAGATGATGCGGTCAAGGAGTTGTTGTCTCGCAAAGGGGTTACACCGCCCCGTTTTCGCAGCCATGGACAGCAGGGCCTGTCCTGTCCTGTCCTGTCCTGTTTGCCTCTCCTGTCCATGATCCCCCGGCTGTGGGTGTGCAAGAGAGGGTTGGTGCTTTGTACGCGGTCACAAAGTACGAGTACCTACGATACGATGCACAGGTCAGCAGCGGGAAAGCCGGCACCGAGGGCGACGAAGCAGCCTGTGGATCGAGATCACGCCACGCCTTTGGTCGACGAACAGATGCAAAGGCGATTCGCGCAGGACCCAAATCGAGGCAAAGCAGTTGTAATTGCTCCGTATGTTCTGGAAGAGAAACCATTGACAGGGACTCATCATCGCCGTACAGTACGCGCAACCATTTGTTTTGTGCTGTCTGGACACAATGGCACGGCGGAAAGGGTGATATATGACCATGACGGCCACGGAGTCTCACCAGGAGACGGGGATGCCACTTCGTACATGCATGCAGGTGCTTCGTACGAGCAGCCACCACGGCGGAGCGACGGCTCCGCCACCAGCATCTGCTAAATAAGGATACGGCACCCAAAGGAAAGAAAAAAAAAAGGATCCGACATCCAAGAGAAAAAGGATCCGAGAAGAGAACACAAGGAGGGGCTCCCTATGTTGTCTGATATGTGACGAGGGCAAGAACCAGACAAGCATCGCCAGTCCCCGACGGTTGATGCCGAGGCGATACAACAGAGATCGGGCAGCCAAGTTTTCTCCGAAGCTCTGTGTGTCTTGGGATGCTTTTAGCCAGTCGGGATCTCAACCAAGCGGCGGTTTGTAGCCTAGCCGCCGGCATCATGCTAGTCATTGACGTCGAATCGCCGGAGGGTGGCGACGCTGTCCTGCCGGCAAGTGGATTTGCCCTGTGCGCGAGCGAAGAGTAAACAGAATCTTGGCCCAGCCCCCAGTAAGACGGGCGGAGAGATGGGGTCAAAGCTCGTGAAACGGCGCCGAGGTGAGGCGTTGCCATACGAGTACAGTACAGTAGTAATCTCATCCATGGCCCCAAACGGCATGTGTCTCTGCGTCTGCGTCCGTCTGGTAGGGTGAGCGGGAGGGATTCAGCAATTGCTCCGAGACGTGATCCTCTGGTGAACAGAGCACTCTGGTGATATCGGCGAGTCTCGCTCTGTGTTCTGCTGGTGTTGATAATAGCGCCAAGAGGCGGTTCGGTTGCCAGTTGTCGAAATCGACGCCGCATGGGGCGAATCAACAATGGGATGGATAGCCTCAGAAAGAAACCCGACCAGAGCCATGCTCGACCCGAGCTAAAAACAGGAACAAGGGCCATGACGTGGCGTTACCTGTGCCGCCTGGTTTGCCGCTGGAATGAAGCTCTGGGCCAATGAATCTGATGGAATCCGTCGACTCAATTGGCTGCTGCTGCTTCACCACTCACTCACTGTTTCAACGGCTGTGCGCCCCCCCTTTGCAGCCTCCTCCCTTGATGGACGGGATCCGGGCTGGATTGTATCACGTCAGGGCGCCAGACATTGAATGAATCCTTCGTAGTTGTTCCTCATTGACTCGCGCAAGCTCCCCCCCAGCGCTAACAACAGAAAGCACTGACGATGGCTTGCAAACCAGCCGCTCTGCAGCTGCTCGACTGAAACCTCGTCATGGTCCCGGCAAAGGCTCCCCCCGTCTGCCCCCATCAGAGCCCATCTGCATCCAATCCATCTCTCCCCCATCGGCTTCTCTTCCCCCCCTGCAGCCCGCCTAGTGGCCGCTAGAGCTCTCCCAAGGCCCAAGCACGCAGCCGCTGCCGGCCAGTCAGAGACAGCAGCCGGCTTGCGTCTGGCAATATTGGCCCTCAACCCGGTCCAGCCAGCCCATGCGTCCCGCTGCTGCCCGCTAATAATGACGCATGGACATTGGCGATGGATAAGCTGCCTGCCTTGCTATCGCCCTGGTCCTTGCATTGCTGTGAGCTGTCATTGATGCCGTCCTTGCCATGCCATGGCAGCTGAAGGCACGGGGTGGGCTGAGGCTGGGAACCGGGAACCTCGTATCCATGGATAGCAGCAGCACGCAGAACTGGTGATACAGGCGACGCGGTTGAGTCGCACGGCCGCCGATACGGACGACAGGCATCCATTGCTCTCTGTTCTCTCTGGTACTACCGTCGCCATTGCCATTACCTATCTACTGTCGTACTATCAGAGTCCCTTATCCTTGATCCTTCTTATCTTCACAGCAAGGAACGCAACAAGGAACAACCTCCTGTGTTGGGCTTTATGCAAGCCCAGTGACTCCGGCCTCCTCGCTCTCCACCAGACCACAGCCCCCCCAAACTTATACTTTTCCGCCGTCGAGGAACCGCCGTCTCTTCTTCCACCACACTTTTCCCTCTCCTCCCTCGCCTGCATACTACCTAGGTATCTACAATCTGTTGCCTCTACCGTACGCATACGGACTTGTACTCCCGACTTCTCACTGCCAACTATTCGTCTCCGTTGGCCCAAGACAGCAAGCAGCTCGATCGATCTGACTGGCTGAGCCAAGACGGGCAAACGTGGACCTCAGCTGCATCTCGCTGCCCCAGATTTGCCCCCAAGCCCAAGAGGAGACTTCCAGACGAGCAGTGAAGCTCCGGAGAGAAGACTCAGGACCCGCATTCACTTCAGAACTCTCTTGCTAGACGTCTCGGGTCCGGCTGGTCGAAGCCAGAAAAGCCTCTCCGCTTTGTGGTGGCGTGCGTCTCGCATCCGTCCAGTCTCGTAACCTTCAAGACACCCCCTGCTCTGCCCTGCCCTGCCTGCAGCTACACGGCAACCGCACATCACTCACTCTCTCTCAAACGCCCCCTCATTCGTCCTCGTCGTGAGACAGTCCGGTATATTATCCGCACTCATGGCTCCCATGGGCTACAGTGACCGTGACGGCCACCTAGAGGCTGGACTTCTGAGGAGCGACCAAGGAGAGAAGCAGACCGGACATCAGCAGCAACTAACCCAGACGACTCCACGCAAGAGCAAGATGGTTTACCTTAGGCGGGCACTTGTCATCGTCGCCGTCGGCTTCGTCCTCGGCCTGGGCGTGGCGACGGCTCGACCCGGCTTCGTCGACTGCCACAGGAACTCCAAGATGGCCGTGGCCAAGGCTCACGGGGCCAGCAGCGAGTTGGTTGGGGAACTCGACAAGACGTCTCCCGACCTGCTTCACCGGCTGCTGCATGCCTATCTCCCCGAGAGATACCAGCACGGCGTCTTTGCCTCGGACGCCGAAGCCATTGATGCCATCCATGAGAACGACCCTTCTGTTGCCTCTGCCATTGTCCAGATCGCCAAGAGACAGGAGGACGGCTCGAGCAACAGCAACACGACCATCCCCAGCAGCCCTTCAAGCACTGCTCCGCCCGCCTCGGCCACGGAGTCGGCGTCGGACTCCTCGACTACTGCGGATGCAAACGCTCAGTCGACGACGGATGCCCCATCGTCCACGCCGACTCCTTCGGACACGAGTGCTCAGCAAACGTCTACTCCTGATTCTACCTCATCGGGTAAGTGCCATACCTACAGATGCTGTAAATAATCGATGCCAAGCAACTGACTTTAGCATTCATAGACGAACCTGCTAGCACCACTGCCGAGTCTACCGCAGACACATCCTCGGCCTCTGCGCCTGCATCCACCACGGCTGAGCAAACCACTGCCGCGGAGCAGACAACAACCAACGCCCCCTCGACTACCGCGGCTCCCAGCACCTCCCAGGCCCCTAGCACGACCGATTCTGCTTCCGAGTTCACTGCTACTGCTTCTGGTACGTCTACTACTACAAGTGAAGATATCACCACTACGGCTGCTTCCTCCTCTCCCACTACCGCTCCGGAGTCCTCCACCTCTTCTGGTAGGTTGTCGTCAGACATCGCCTCGTCTTTTACTACTTCGGATGCGTCCACCTCTGCTTCTGATACTTTGCCCCCTTCCTCTGTGACCTCCTCCCTCCCCAGCTCAACTCCGCCACCGGAATCGACGACGGCGACCGAGACCACTACTGGTATGTCACAGATTTTCGCGCTGTCGTTTGACATTGTCGAGACGGACATGCCAGCCCAGAAGTTGGATGCTGGACCATCTGGATGTAGAAAGGAGACTTGGGGTATCTTGCTGCAGCAAACTGCCTGAAGATTCGTTGGCCGGAGCTGCCCTATTTCTTCCTTACCCTCGCAGCCGCGAGACGCTCCACTTGTGGTTGCGGCAATCATGGCTAACAGATGCGTTGACAGATGACACCATTACCTCGACAACTGCTGAAGCCAGCGAGACTCCCAAGACAACCATTACTTCTGGTTCCAAGACGACGTCTGCCCCCGTCCTCCACACTTACACTAGGACTCTTCCCGATGGCGGCACCACCACGATGACGTCCACCTCGTGGGTTGCCGTTCTGCCCACCAGCCAGGCCGATGGATCAAAGAGCCCCGACCTTCAGAACGCTGCATCCGTCCCCCGCGGCCAGGTGCTGCTGCCTGCTGCCATTGGCCTCCTTGCCGGTGCTGTTCTGATGGTTTAAGCCGGACAATCTCTATCCTGTCCTCTCACTCTCTTTTCTTCTCACTACCTCACTCGTTTTTTTGTTTTTGTTATTTTGATCTGCATAAGCATAAGCGTTTCGATGCTGGGGAATTGGCGACGGCGTATCATTCATTCCTTTATACTTAATCACACGACATCTACGGCCACTTCCTAAACACTCCTTTTTAATCACAACAACCGACTCGGCGGACACATAGATTGGGCAACTGCATTTCTATCTGCATCTCTGTATTTTCTCTGGCAGCAAAACGGATTTAGACTGGGACGGGGCTCCTTACACGGAGAGGGCCCCTGGCAACTGTGAACATGATTGTTTGGCACATATGGCATCAAAAGGGGACAATTGTGTATTTCGGCTTATATAGCGAAGCAATCATGCATGCAATTGAAGCAGCACACTTTCAGGCGCACCTCCCTTTTTTCTAGTCATCTGTCTCGCGATAATGATGAGAACGCAGCTTTCTCAGTGAACATGTCAAGTTTGATTTGAAAGATATGGTGGGTATACATAGCAGGTACCTAAATTTCAGCAACCAGGGACAGGAACGCCCAAAACTCCAATTCCATGCAATACGATGTAGTAGCTCTTCCAACTCTTTCCAACAGCCCTGACCTTGCTTGCGTCCCTAACCAGGTCCAATCTTGGGCATATCGTGATGCTCGCTCAGCCTAGACAGGTACGTGTTGAGCTCCTCGACGCGCTCCTTGTGTGTTTTGAGCAGTTCGGGTCTCGCGCCGGATGATTGCGCAATTTGGAGAAGCTGCAGTTTTTCAAATGTAAAGCCACATGGTCAGCAAATCTCGACAGGAGAGTCGGGAGAGAATGAGGTAATGCCATACCCTCTTCTTCCTGGCTTCTTCGTACCGCCGCTCTGCCTCTGTCTTGTACACCACCGGATCGTCGTCTTCGTCGTCGACTTGCTGCTGGTCCTCTCCGTCTTGTTTCCCTTGAAGCTTGTTCGTCTTCTTCTTCTCCTTCTTGTCATCGTCCTCTACGGGGCTCTTTAATCTCTTTTTGGATAGATCATCATCGTCTTCGTGTGTTTTGGTGAGCGCGGTGCTGCTGCTGTTGCTGTCGGAGCCGGTGGAGAGGTTCTTTGCGAGGTCGGATTTGGCGGAGGAGGACTTCTTCTTCTTCTTGGTGATCTTTGCGCCTTTGAGTTTGAGGGCGCCGCCGCCGACGACTTGGTACTCGTCGGAGCCCATGGTTCTCTTGTACCAGCTGTGCAGTGTTACTGTTTCACTCACACCAGGAAGAGACGCGATGATGGAGTGGGTGGTGATGAGGTGCTCATGAAGCGACAATAGGTAGTGACAATAGGTAGAAAGCGAGGGTTCGAGGTCGCAAGTTCAAGGTTCTAGAAGCCGCGGCTCTTAGTCAGCAAGGAGACGTTGAGAGAAACAGCAACATGGAGGAGAACCGACAATACGACGCTAGACTAGCATGTTTGAAGCATTGAATTGCATGGAGGAAAAGCCGCCCAATTGGAGCGCTGCAAACAAGGGAGGACAGTCAGTACCTTACCTACCTTAGTAGAACAAGGGGGGGGAAGGAACCCAATTGCTTGCTGTTGAATCCTGGTCCTGGCACGAGGGGAAAGCAGCGGCTCGTGTGCGCCTTCACGTTTTCGACGTTCTCTGATTTCAAGGGTTTCCACCGACTTTGTTTCTCTCTCTACCTACTTTATTCTCAGGGGGGGTTTTAAAGAGAAACAACACACTCAATCGCTCATTTCTTCCTGTTCGCTTCTTTCACTATCGGAGACCTCAATTGCGAATATCCTGTTGCGAATTGTGTGCTCGTCGAAGCGGCTTCGTCTCGAGACTGCGCATTCCTTTCCGTCTTTCCTCCATTGGGTGTCTACGATTTTGCGACTTGTCGTCTACGGATACCCAGATTACGACGATTACCCCAAATCCCCACGATTCGAGAAGGCAGGCCTTGGGACGACATGGGCTGTTTCTGCTAAACTCGCCGGTCGATACAATTCAAAAAGCGTGAAATCCCCCCCCAGCGTGGGTGGCCAACATTCAAGAGGGGGAAGCAGTACTGCAAGGAATCGAAAGAAGGAAGGGGAACCAGAACAAGGGCGGGCAACACGCAACAGAAGCAGATCCCGGCGCCCACGATGCCCATACAATCGCAGTCGCGGGACTCGCTCGAGCTCGCGTCGCTGGCCAGCTCCAGCGTGGCCTACGACGGCGCGGCGTCGGACGTCTCGTCGCGCCCCAGTATCTCGTCGTCGCGGCGGCTGTCCATGGTGGAGGAGGAGGACCCCCTGGACGAGGGCAACCCGGCGGCGCGGGGCCGGCTGGGCCGCTCGTACTCGGTCTCGTCGGCCTTTGACTTCGCCGGCAACCTGTTCCCGCTGAGCTCGACGGCGGGCGCGGGCGGATACGCACCCATTGGCGCGCCGACGTCTGCCGGCCTGCGGGCCAGCGGCGGCCTGGGCGGCGGCTCGCTCGAGAAGCTCAAGACGCTGACGTACCTCAACGGCCTGTCGCTCATCATCGGGCTCATCATCGGCTCCGGCATCTTCTCGTCGCCCAGCCAGGTCAGCGCCCGGCTGGGGTCCCCCGGCGCGGCCCTCATCGTCTGGGTGGTGGCGGGCATCCTGGCCTGGACCGGCGGCGCCTCGTACGCCGAGCTGGGCGGCGCCATCCCCCTCAACGGCGGCTCCCAGGTGTACCTGGCCAAGACGTTTAGCGAGCTCGCCGGCTTCCTCTTCTCGTGGGTGGCCCTGCTGGTGCTCAAGCCGGGCAGCGCCGCCATCATCGCCATCATCATGGGCGAATACTTTGTCCGGGCCATCATCGGCGCCGAGGCCGAGACCATCAACCCCTGGATCAACAAGGCCGTTGCGCTCGTGGGCATCTTTGTGGTGACGTTTCTCAACTGCGTCTCGACGAGGGTCGGCACGCGGGTCAATGACTTTCTCATGTTTCTCAAGTTCGTCGCGCTGATTGGCGTCACTGTTGTGGGCATCGTGGTGGCCGTGACGGGCCTCTCGTTCAAGGGGCCGGCGAGCAGCGAGTGGAAGTCGCACGATTGGTTCAAGGGCACGTCTTCGGATCCGTCCAACTGGGCGATTGCGCTGTATGCCGGGCTGTGGGCCTATGACGGCTGGGACAATGTGAGTTGCTGCAAGTAATCACCACGACGTTCTCCAAGAGACTAACACGGCATGCTTCTTCAGACAAACTACGTCGTTGGCGAGTTTCGCAACCCCAGCAGAGACCTCCCGCGCGTCATCCACACGGCCATGCCGCTCGTCATCCTCTCGTACGTCCTCGCCAACGTGTCGTACTTTCTCGTGCTGCCCCTGGCATCCATCAACGCCTCCAACACCGTCGCCGTCATGTTCGGGTCCAAGGTCTTTGGCCCCCCCGGCGCGCTCGTCTTTGCGCTCATTGTCAGCGCGAGCTGCTTTGGCGCGCTCAACTCGTCCACCTTTACGGCCAGCCGCCTCATCTACGTGGCCGGCAAGGAGGGCTACATCCCCGACATCTTTGGCCGGCTGGGCGTCGGCAGCGGCAGCCCCGACAGCGACCACGGCCTGTCGACGCAGCGCTCCCGCAGCTGGCTCTCCAAGAAGTTCCGCAGCTGCTTCGGCGACGAGGACGCAGGCCTCTTCTTCACGCCCGTCTACGCGCTGCTGCTGAACGCGGTGCTCACATCTGGCTACTGCATCGTGGGCGAGTTCAGCACGCTCGTCACCTTTTACGGCGTCGCCGGCTACACCTTTTACTTCGTCACCGTGCTCGGGCTCATCGTGCTGCGGGTCAAGGAGCCGCACCTGGAGCGGCCGTACAAGACGTGGATCGCCACGCCCATCATCTTCTGCTGCGTCAGCCTCTTCTTGCTCAGCAGGGCCGTGTTCGCGCAGCCGCTGCAGACGATGATTGTGGTGGCGTTTGTCGCGGCGGGCATACCCGTGTACTTTTGGCGGATCAGGGGGAGGGACCGGTCCGTGAGGAGGAGGAGCGGCGGCGATGCTGGGGATGCCGAGAAGCCGTGGTGGCGGTTCTGGAGTTGAATGCATTCCTCATGTCCGAGGAGGGGTGATGAAGATTGCCCATTTTCTTTTTAATGATGTCAAAAAGACTAGCACACCATTACCTTTTATAATGTCTTGTTTGCGCGTTGGTTTCTGCTTCGATATGAGGGATTGCTGTCTTTTGGCTGGGTGGAACGGCTTCAAAAGGGGTCAATGACTTATTATGCATAAGGGCGGCGCTGGAAAGGGCATGACTTGAATGCTATGAGAGCTGGAATGAGTATGTAACGCATGTGTGATGGCTGTCAAACAGAGCAGTATTCTGCATCTCATACGTCAGCTAATGAAGAGACATATAAATTTACATCAACACGGGCTGAGTTTGAACATTGCCATGATTATATAAGATGATAAAAGAGACATTCTGCTGCGGGCTGGAGATTTAGAAATAAAAAGGGTTGCAATTGCTATACGCCGTCATTATTTGAGCGTGATATACATGTACATAAACTGCCTTGTTTTGACCCAAGAGGTTTCAAGTTTCCTCTAGGAGGTTTTGCTCCCCTTATTCAAGCCAGACCAACCCATATACTCCCATACTCAAGACAACTCATTCTTCCACCGTCTCCAACACTCCCCCCCCCAAAAAATGTCAACAATCTTTACTGCTTGACAGTGTTGATCTTGTCGCGCTGGCCGTACGACTTGGTGGCCCAGTCGCCCTGGTAGACGATGAGGTCCTCGGGGCGGTAGTCGTGCCTGCCGGACAGGTAGCTCTCGAGGATGGCCTTTGTGCCGTCGGCGTAGCGGCGCTGGGCGTCGAGCGAGGTGCCCGACATGTGGGGGACCATGGCGTTGCCGTAGCCAAAGGGGTTGACGGCGGTGCGCAGCGGGTGGTCGCGGGGCGCGGGCTGGGGGAACCAGACGTCGCCTCCGTAGCCGGCGAGGTGGCCGGTGCGGAGGGCCTCGGCGACGTCCTCCTTGACGACGATGGCGCCACGGGCGGTGTTGACGAGGTATGAGCCTGGACGGGATGACGTGGTTAGTAAAGGGGGAGAAGAAGAAGAAGTTGATAAGGGTGGGGGGAAGAAGAAGAAGATATCATCAAAGTGCTCACCCTTCTTCATCTTGCTAATCAGCTCCTTGTTAAACAGGCCCTTGGTCTTCTCGTGCAGCGGGCAGTTGATGGTGACGACGTCGCACTGGGCCAGCATCTCCTCGAGGGAGTCGACGCGGCGGCAGCCAATCTCGGCCTCCTTCTCGGGCGACAGCGCCTGGTAGTCAAAGTAGAGCAGCTCCTTGCAGCCAAAGGGCTTGAGGCGGCGCAGGACGCGCTCGCCGATGCGGCCGACGGCGACGGTGCCGACGACCTTGCCCTCGAGGTCGTACTCCTGCTTGGCGACGGCGGCCACGTCCCAGTCGCCGCGGGCGACCTGCTCGTGGGCGGGGACGAAGTTGCGCAGCAGGACGAGGATGGTCATGACGACGTGCTCGGCGACGGAGACGACGTTGGAGCCGGTGACCTCGGCGACGGTGATGCCGCCGTTGGTCTTGTTGGCGGCGACGAGGTCGACGTGGTCGGAGCCGATGCCGGCCGTGATGGCGATCTTGAGGTTCTTGGCCTTGGCGAGGCGCTCGGCGGTGAGGTAGCCGGGGTGGAAGCTTTTTTAAAACGTTAGAGTGGATGAAGAGAGAGGGATAGAGAGAGAGGGGAGGGGAGCCAGCTTACGGAGTGGTGATGATGACTTCGGCGTCGACCAGCTCCTGGTCAAACTTGGAGTTGGGGCCCTCCTTGTCAGACGTGGTCACCAGCGTGTGGCCCTGGTCCTCGAGCCACTTGCGGATGCCGAGCTCGTTCTGGGTGGTGCCGAGGAGGGCGGGGACCTGGATTGAGAGTTGAGAGAAGAATGTCAGTCATCATTGGAGTTTGACGGATATTGTTGATAATTGCATAGAAGCAGAGAAGAATTGATCAAGACAAGCTGATGATGCTGCATCGCATGTGAAAATGGACAGTGACATATCGGGAAGCTTGAAGCTCGCCCCCACATGGCCTCGGGTTTCCCCGCATTTTGCTGCAGAGCATCGCCAAGAGCTGGTCTGAGCTCAAAATCTCAAATCCTCTTTTTTGTTTCTTTTTCTGGAATTTTGTAACGAGAGACGGCGATGCGCGGCCCCCACAAATAAGGTCCGAGAAGAAAACAAGACTCGTAGCACCAGGACACAAATTGATTGCAACAGATAGAAAAAGGAAAGAAAAAGAAAAACATAAAAGGAGACGGAGCTGCACTCACTTCTTCGGCGTGCTTGCCGCCATCATAGAGGACGAGGAGGACTTTGACCTTTTCGCGGGGGGCGGTTGTCAGCGTGCGGATAGTAGACGACGACGGCATCAGGCGCGGCGTGGCGGAATAGGAGGAGGAAGCGCCCAGCTTGGGAGCGGCAAAGGCGCGGGAGGTGGAAAACTGGCGCGAAGAGGCCAGGAGAGAAGGGGAAGCTCGCGAGGCGAGAGAGATGGAGCGAGAAATGGGGCGGAAAGATACCATTTTGGCGGTTGAAGAGAGAAGAGGAGTGGAGAGGATTCCTTGGTTGGGTTTTCTTCTTCAACGGTTTCTCTTCTCGGAGGGGCGATAAAAGAGCTTATATATATATATATATATGATGTGTATATATATGTTAATATAAGACGGGTGTGAGGTCGTAATGATGTGGCCGGCTTCGGAAAGTCACAGCTGGAAAATAGATGCCGGTACAGGGGGGGTGGAGAGGGCGGATGGGCTGATCCCGTCGATAGAGGCTGGCTGCTACTTTTCTGATCGAGGCTTGCGCAATTAGCAAGGGGGGGGGGCTCCTATCAGAAAGATAGGGAAGAGTTGGAGAATCGGGTGGCTTGAGATGGGGGGTTGGAGTCGTAGAAGAAGGAGAGCCGGTAGCAGAAAGCAAAGAGTCGCAAGCACCGATATTTATGTCTCGACGACAAGAGAGCAGCATCGGGCCCCCCTTTCACACAAGTCAGAATCGCCTTGTCTACAGCTTTCCGCTTGCCCCCTCTCTCACTTTGTCATGCTCTGCAAACTGACACATGCGAACCCAAGGCAAGCCCCTCATCTTTCTGCTCTCCGTACGTAATGCCTCAAAAGCCGCTCCCCCCCTCCAATCTCACTTGTCTACCTCTTCCGTACGAGTAACTGTTCCGTCACTGTATCCTCCTTTTTTCTTACTCCTCACTTTCCCCATCGCCCTCCTTTCGGGCTTTGGGAACCACCTTTCTTCGCTGCAGACTCGGCATCCCACCGAAAACGGGCCCGCGCCTTGGTCTCGTTCCCTCCCATTGGACCTCGTTCTTTTTTTCTCCAACTGTTTCGTTTTTCCCGTGGCTTCCAACCGGGAAAAAGAACGGCAAGAGTGGAAGAGGGTGGGGATGGGGTCATGAAGGCAAGGGGATCAACGGGTTGCATTTCATCTAGCCGAGAAAGAAAGACGTAACTCTGGCGACGTTGCGAACAGGGCAGAGAGAGACCCGGTGCTGGTCCGTACATATCTCGGGATTTCGGGGTCGTGTTGGAGATGTGGGGGAGAAGAATGACCCTGGCCTGGGGCTTTGGTTAGCGCTGGGAGCGGGGGAACGGAGCTGTGATCTGATGTCTTTGTCGTGTTGTCATTGCTCTCAGTCGTGTCATCTTTGCTACAAGTGTTGTAGGTGAGTGAGATATGAGGTGAATTATTGAGGCTATTCATGGCTTCATCGGTGTAAGTCGATGTCTTGCGTACCTTATGGCAGAGAGCATCGACCGCTTGTTACTGCTGCAACTCGCTTCATCACAGGCTGTCCTGATGCATGCACTCCAAAATGCTACCACTTCTCCACGGGTTTCCCATGACTATCAAACGCACTGCATTTGCTGCTGCAAGACTGTTGGTTCATGCCTTCACACGCAATGCCACCCTGCTAATGCACGGCCAAGACGCAGGTCTTGCCTCGATACGGAGCGCATCGCGTGCGGCTGGATGAGGCAATTTTATCATGTACTTCTGCCGCCAATTACCTGGTACTCCAATCTCGATACTCGTCTCCAGCCATCCAGGCCTCACCTGTCATTGTCATTGTCGCTGTTGTCTGTCTGCAATAGTATGTAGGCTGCGCGAACGTGACAAATTGCCATGCACGGAGCCTAAAAGTTGAGCCGGATACCTACATGTATCAATCTACACATGCAGCCAATCAACTCCCCTCAAGCCGCTCCAACCATTTGCCCTTTTGGTTTCGTCTTCCTTCATGCATGTTCCAATATGTCTTTTCTAACCTCATCACATTGAAGACTGATTGGCTCCATCTCCTCTTTTCCCCGCCTCCAGAGCACCCCTTTGGCCGTTTGTGCTGATGAGGGGTTCCCAAGCTCGAAGCTCGAGGCTGGGATGATACTGTGTTAGTAGTTTCGAACAACAACATCAAGTCCGTAAGCATCCTGCAGCTGACATGCCGCTACCAATTTGTTATGTCGGTTGGTTCAAAGGTGCGGCGTGCCGCTTCTTGCCGCTGAAGATGAAAGCTTGGACCTTGACTTCCTGCATCGACAGTTCAAAACGAGTGCGGAGTGCAAGAGTAGATGTACATTCTAGGCTCTGCTCCAATTCCCGACATCACACAGCGCTCGTGTATTTGGGGCAATAATTGAATCACTTCTTGCAGTTGAGTTTAGCTGATTGTCAAATGGATGGCCAAGATTGGGGTCGCTTACATTCCTTTACCCTGCTATTACAGATATTGAACAAGGCTGGTGACGGCCTCATCTCCGCTGGCCGTTCGACATCTGTCAATTGTCATTGTACCTAACTAAATCTCGAGATCATTGCGCGAGATGCTCTATATCAGTACAAGACTTATACGTCTAGTGTTGAAACAACTATCCTAGACATGTGACCATGGACCAGCTTCAAATTCCCCAAACCACATCAACGCCACAACATTTCCCCAAACACGGCTACACCAATCGAAACACAACCTCCAACAACACCTTCCAGATAATGGCTGTGGCTCAATATGGGACAGCACATCACCTCCGGGCTCATCATACCCCTTCATTCATCTAAATCTCGCGTCTCATGCAGGAACGAGCGGGTCGGTGTCAACGGGTCCTGTCTCTGGATGGATTCATCGTACGACTAGGTCGATTCTAGAAGAAGTTTACTTTGATCTATGCAACTTCCACTGGGAGGACTACACGGCAGACTGTCCTTGTTGTGCCCAATTGGACGGACGGCATCCTACAAGTATCCACTGCTTTATGTTATCAGCATGTCACAATTCGGGCGAGCTGAACGACATCTGACCCCGGGGTGTTGCTGAGTCCACCAAGCAGAACCTGTATGTAGGCATCCTGAAGATGTTGCTCAGTTATTGTTCCTTGCGCAAACATACGAAGGCATAGGTATGTCACCACATCTCAGGCATGCAACTATGCTCGATGTAGGTGGTGTTCAATAACCGAGAGATGGTCATTGACACCCATCACTCTCACCTCTTCATCATGGACTCATGGACTTGTGTTCATATATCAAATCTCACCACAAGTCGTGTACATCGGCATATGAGATTGTAACTCCATATCGATCAAGCGATACCCAAGTACCTTATGAGAACTGCAACTTATACGATCAGCTAGTCTGAGTTTCTATGAGGTATTGGTCGGTAGGTAGCTTCAGCTTCAGCAGCTATGTACCTTCTCGCATCCCCCACGAGATAACATTGAATGGCCTTCCAAAAGACATCTCCTCAAACCTAGATCAATCGATCAACTACCCTATATCGCATCTATCCCTTCTAAGCAAATCCCCGGCGCATCGTTCCATTCGTCCTCATGCTAATATTCGCCGCCTTTCGTCATCGTGTAGGAGAATCCATCCTTTCTCAGACATCAACTTCGCTTCAAGGAATAAGCCCAAGATCAACCTAGTACATGTATGCATAAGACAACACCCACTCGCATGTGCGGGCACCAACAAGAGCCAACAACCATGTCACATCGTTACTTGTATACCCTCAACCCGTCGCATTTGCCTCTACATACCTGACATGCACTGTATGGCAGCTTTCATTTACATGTACCTTAGGTAGTACTACGTGCCATTTGCATTCCCAATTTAGCCACCCGACAGCATGCAGGAACTCGCTACGGGAATCTGCTCCCCCGCTTCTGCTGCTCCCTCAAGGTTCACGCTCTTGTTCTCACCGAACCCGAATCTCCGAACCTCCTCCTCCTCCTCCTCCTGCTTTCCGACCTCCCCGGCCCCCGCCGCCAATAAATCATCGATATGCAATGGACCTCCATTCAAAAGGCCCGCCAGCCCATAATGTGCATCCGGAAACCTCGCGCGCGTGGCCAGGCCCCCCTCTCGCCAAGCTACAGTATCCATCGATCGAAAGAATGGCCAAAGATGCCCACTTCGCCGAAGCTCCTCCATTAAACTCGGCGTTGTCCCTGCGTTGGCCGAGGCGGATGCACTTGAGCGCAGATGGGGGGACATTGGCCTCGTTTGGACGCAGATGCCGCATATACATACTACGTTCGATATTTTCTTTTGCCGCCGGTGCTGGAACAAAAAACCTCTTCGTGACTTCTCTGTCTTGTCGAATGTCTAATGGGAATTATCGCGACAAACAGTATTGATTCCCCTCGTGCAACAAGTTATGAGATCGAGGTTAGGATCACAGCTACGAAGTGCAGCGAGAGGGTGATGTCGGGGCGTCAACCCCCCCGCCCTCCTTACCAGCGAGGCAATTCCGAGCGATTGAGTGCTTACTGCGGGTTCAACTCCGTCGGTCTTTCGGGTCAAGAGTCGAGGCCTAAGGGGGGGCCTTTCGATGGAGATGAAGATAACAACGCGTCATCACTCGGGCTGCACGGCTCGGGGGAAGTTGTTTGTTGCTCGCTGAATGCTGATAAAGAAGCAGAGAGCCCGATCTCCTGAATGGATGCCTTGGAGGAGTAAGAAGACTATGCTTGAGTTCGGCGGGATTCCTACTCTTCCTTTTGTTGAATTTCCCTGACATTAAGTATTCGATGCATCTGCTAATGGTACAGTGGCAAGAATGATAGCCACAGGCAGGCAGCCTTGAGAGCGCTGCACAGGAGAAGCAATATCCAGCAAAGGGTTTGTCCGGGCAGGGAGCGCTCCTGTGCGAATCCCAACACCAACGAAAAACGCTTGTCGAGAACTACAGCCAACATTGCACAAGGCGAACGTGCCTCACCGTGACGCAGCCGAGTGGCCTTTCAACTGGCAGGACAACTCACATTGATGCTCGCATAGTCACGCTCACAACTTGGGACTCCCAAGTTCAATGCCCCAAGTTCAATGTCTTGCGTCTCGCGCAGCAGTCAGAAGAAGACATCCATGGCTCTCGAGACTCTTGGAATTGGGCATCGCAGAGCATCTTTATACGCCTCCATGCGCGACATTCAGGGTTCGAAGATGGCTAGATATAATATGCAGTTCAGGAGACGGTCATCAATGGACGCCCAGGCGCCCTGTCCCAGACCAGCCCCTTCGACCTGGTTGCATCATGACCCCCAGAATTACGAACAAGACAAATGACAGAGCAGGACAGCTCGAACAAAGTGTCCATGTATGGAAGGCATGGGCAACAGCGCTTTTGTCAAAAGGCACAGGCATTGTTGCTATTCGGGCGATTCCACTTCGCTTCTACAGCAAATCCTCCCCCCCTATCTTGCCTACCTAATTCTGCTGCGTGAGACTTTTCCCCATGTGCCGTTGTAACCAAGCTTCCAAAGCGTCCGCCCTTGAATGTGAGAGGACAAGATTGCATGACGCTCGGAGACGGCGTGTTCCCCTCTCCTCTTCCTTCGCCATCCCCTCCAGTGCCGATGGAGTACAGTACAAGCCAAGAGTGATGCTCGTAATGGTTGTTGTGATGTATCTGAGATGCAAAGCTCATAACTCAAACGACGTCAAATCCGGTAAAGCTATCGCTAGCAAGCTTTACTTCTCACCACATATCGTGGCGTCCGACTTTGGAGCCGAGAAAATGCATAGATTGATCGTTCTCTTACAGAAAGATAGGTATTATCAAGTGGAACACCACACAATACACATGTGGTAGCATATTGCTCTGAGCAGCTTACTGTAATTACACAACTCTTTCGATTTTGGGCCTTCTAGAACATTAGAACCTTATCATCTGGACAGCCCTATAAAGGTGATCTGCGATTGAGTGGTCTTCAGTCTTGGACGACATTTCGCTGCAAGCCTCCCTGTTCTTGCGAGTTGCTATTACTACATGTACCCTACAACTCCTATGACTTGGAGATACTTTATTCTCCAAGCCAACTATGAGCTTCAATTATTCTACTGGCAAGAGACAGCTTCTAAACTCAGTACAGAACTTGATTCTGCCGTGCACAAAGCTTGATCGAGCGTACGAAGTCGTCAGGCATTGTCCAAATTGAAAGGCATCGACATACCTGCCTGAATCTGCCGTTGAGTCAACGCAATTCAATCACCAATGTCCATCGACGACGAATAGCCTATCCGCCTCCTTATTAGACCTCCTCCTTGAACCTCTGCATCATACATTATGGAATCCACAGTTGTCCCATTGCAAGTCAAGCCACTACCTACCTAGTCAAGACAAGAAGCATTAAACAGCGGTGTGTTGCACGGCTACCAACACCTCGATTCCCACACAGCACACTTGTCAGAACCCATCTCGCAACAAACGTCCTAATTCAGCACGCTCGACAAGACGATGCCCGGATAGCCGCTCATCGGGGCTGAATAGCCGCAAACAAGCGGGACAGTCGGCCGCTCGTACGTCCACGCTGCCGCTGTTGTTGTTGCTGTTGTTGTTGTTGTTGTTGTCCGTCTCCCTCGCCCAAGCGACAAGGACCCCCCCCTTCGTTCGCCAATCCCGGCTCAGGGGTCCCTCGTATTGCCGGCTCTCGTCCCAAGAGCTCGTGGCTGCAATGCCTACAGTAGAGAAGGGCAAGGGCCGGGCCATCGGTCATTTTCTTGTCCAGATGTATAACTTCCGATGGGCTGTGGCGCATGTCGGCCTTTGGGCAGCGATGCCTGCGGCCATGCAGGAGGCGCTCTGCAAGCTGATTGATTGATGGCCAAGAGACGGGGAGCATTGGACGATTGTAACTCGAAGAGGTGCATGTTTGGTACAGTATACTGAGACGGAACCATGATCCGGACCAAAATCTGCGCATCTTGCATTATTATAACGTGATATTGATGAAGTTTTCCCGAGAAAGGCTTATAGGGTGGTGTATGTGATACGATGCACAGCATCGAAGTACGGGACATTGTGATGGTGCTACGGTGAGCGACGCAGGTTATAGCGATGGGGAGAAGTTGTCGGGTGAGTGAAGTGTCCCTTGTCGACACACAATACGAGACAATCTTCCAAGACAACGAGATCCTGAAAGCCGATGGTTATGGGATACTCGTATAGGCTCCGATATCCCAGATCAGGCACTGCACGATGCCGGACGTGAAGCCCTCTGCTCAGCGGAGGTCATGGCTAGGGCCTGGCAGGGCATCAGAGCATTGATGTTTGTTCGTGAAGGGCTATCGCTTTCTCAAAGCCAATCGGACAAGCCGCAAGGCGACTCTCGAACAATTGCTCGTGTTGAGACGGACTTTTCCCATACATACCGGTCCAGGATTGTTGATGCAGGGCGGGAAGGACAACACCAAACACTCCCTCCCGCCACGAGGCTTCACGATGAAGTTGGGCTTTCTGTCTAGGCACTAAGCATGGAGTCAGTCAGCAGACAACAAATCAAGTCTCCAGCCGCTCCCCTGACAACACCTTATTGCAGGTACTACTAGGAGTAGCATGGAATCTTTACAGTCTGTCTTGAAGAAGAAGGAGGAACATATACGAAGCAAGTGGAAATCCCTTGGACCCAAAAACAAGGTTGTCAAGTACGAGTAACTGCAATGCCGGTACGCGCCGAAACAGGCTGTGCAGCATTGGATTCCATGCTGGTGAGAAGGGGGGGAAAAGCAAGGGACTGATGACGGCGATGAGGGTGACAGGGCGATCATGATGTGTTTTGGGAAAAGCTGAGCCGGATCTCATTGCCGATTGAGACCCGTGAACAGGCTGCCATTCCGGACCTGGGCTCTGGATTACATAACAATGCCGTATGAGGTCGTACATGTATGTATTGAGAAGGTGAGATTGTGTTGGATGGAGTTGTTGTGGCTGGGGCTGGGATACACCGAACCTTTGATGCATCTGCACACCTTCTTCTGCCTGTACTTGAACATCTACAGCACGAGATCAAGGCCGATTCAGCAAGCCCCTACATCAGATAGTATGTAATACACTGATACTTTGGCTAGACAAATTCCTATTACCCGGAATCACCCTTTGATAGATCAAGATGATAGCCTGGCTACCACTTCCCCAACGAGGAAAGAGACAAAGCCTCCCCCATGTCGACTGAATACGAGCATGACGATGCCAAGGGATATTTGCCGATCATGCAGATGGTGGCCGGCATTTTGCTGCCAGCCTCGCCTCACTTCGAGCATAGCGCTGCTAGGGGACTAGTTTAGGGCAGCCTGGGGGACCCGTCTAGGGCGCCTCTAGCCCCCGAAGCGGCCTACAGCCACAGGCCCTTGGCAGCGACTCGCGGCCATCTGGTCATGCGCGATGGCGCTGAGCTTCACAAGGTCGATGGGGATCATGGACCGAAAGATGGGGATGCGATTGCTGGGGGAGAGGGATTACCGGCGAGGGGAAGCTGCTGTGCGTGGGTTGAGAGTGGCAATCTGGGATCCCACCCATGCCAATTCTCCGATGCTTGCTCGAGCCGGAACTCTGCATACGAGTATTACACGGACGGACAAAGAAAGGCCATCTCGAGGGTCCGACCAGGTGTGTATATAAGCTCGCCGCCTTGCCCGATTTCAAGACGAACTCGCTCTCCATCCAACAGCAGCAGCTCCGACCAGACAAAGAAACACCTTCAAGCACAATCTCAAAGCACATTCACAAATCACAATCACAATCCTCACATCACACATCACCACCACCACCAAGATGCTCGCCTCTGCTGCTGTCCTCGCCCTCGTCGGCGCCGCCGCTGCCTCGCCCATGGCCGTCGTCCCCAACTACCCTCCCACCATGCAGTCCACCGGCTTCCGCCTCGTCGTCAACGTCACCGACAAGGCCCGCGACTTCACGCCCTCGATCCAGAACCTCTACATCAACACCATCCACGTCGGCGCCGGCCTGAACCAGGTCGGCCTCGGCACCAAGGACAACAACCCGAGCATCTGGTACCAGAACGGCACGGCCGCCGACTCCCGCTTCGGCGCCTCGACCCTCATCACCGACCAGGGCACCCCGCTCTCGCCCTACGGCCTCTCGCTCGTCAAGAACGAGGGCTCCGCGACCTTGTCCACGGCCCGCGCCGACGGCGGCCTCGGGACCAAGGGCGTCGCCATCTCCCACTTCCCCGAGGGCTACCGCTACCTCGTGCCCGAGACGTACGTCGTCTGCAACGAGTCCCTGGCCTACTACCAGGGCACGCACTTCCTCGTCCTGGAGCAGGCCGCCACCACCGTCAGCTCCACCGGCCAGATCGAGAAGAACATCCCCGAGGGCTGCGCTCCCGTCCGCCTGCTGCCCGAGTGCGCCACTCTCGAGTCCCTCCCTGCTGGCTCCTACTCGAGCCACGAGTTTGCCATTGACACCGACTGCTACCCCGACGTTGCCTCCATCAACTGGAGCCTGTACGGACCTTAGATTGGATGTCGTGCAATGCGACTCTAAAGGGGGATGGGGTTTTCTCTCTCCCCATCAGCATCATCAACAACAACAACACGCGGAGCATCTACTGGAGCTTGGTACGACTGGTTAACTTTGACTTGACTGATTTGCATTTCGAAGCGATGGACATGTTTACGGTGTTTTACTTTACAATACTCGACATCGCCCAGAGCGTAGGGGCGTATAAAGTAATGTTTTAATTTATATAGTAATACACGACTTAATTTCTCACATTCGTCCATCTTCATCCTGGTGCTGCTGATGGATAGGAGGTTCTCTTCTCTGCTAGTGAAATGATTCTTGTTTATGTGAGTAGAAGCTTTTGCAAGATATGGATTAAGCAAAGCACTTGCTTCTATACTTAGCTGGATAGTAGACTGCTCTATTACATGTATGCTATCGTGACTTGCTTCTCATCCAAGTAGAAACATCTATTTGTGTCTACCCAGTAAAAAGAGTGTCTACAAATTCCTTGATAAGTAGCGATTAATTTTACCAGGTATGTACCTTATATCAGTTTAAGGATGCTGAAATAGATACCTAATCCTAGGTTATGCTCTACAATATCCAAGGTACCTAGGTAGATGGTGTCTGTCTTTGGTACTAACATAATACCTTTACTCTCTATGTAGGTATGTGACGACATTCTGACTTCTAGAAGCCTTCCCCGCTGGTCCTGACAATCTTCAATACACAGAATTCGCCAGTCATCCTCTTCTAGCGAACTGTCTTGATACCAGAGGAGACAATGGTCTTTCTCCAGAAGTGGCTGTCATACCAGGCGTGTACTACCTAAGGTAGTAGTGCATGTCCATGCACTCTCCAAGTGCATACGTCAGTGCTCACATGCCGCCATCGTCACCACCTCTCCCTTGCCAAGATGCTACTAAGGTAAGGTACGCCTGTAATCCAATATCTATCGGCCTCGGTCGGTGCATACTTATGGCGCCTTATCCGCTATAAATCACCCCCATGACCGCTGATAGGCCGCTCCCCCTTAGCGCCGCCCAGGGGACCCGATGCCTATCGGAGCTGCTGCTACCCCGGTTTATCTGCTGCGCCATCTGGGGGAACTTGCGCCGCATCTCCTTCCTTGTGACCTCCCATCATCCCCAACCTCTTGTCTCTCTTCCCCCCGTATTATCGCATCTCTCCGTCGCCCTTCATAAATCCCGCCCTCTCCTCCGCATCGGCTTCGCTTTGCTTCCGTCCTCGTCGCAACCATGACACGGCGCGTTCCTTCTTCCCTCGCTCTTCGACACCAAGCCTCGGCTCAGTACCAGGCGCAACCTCAGGCCCAGGTCTCCTCTGCCTCTGCCTCTGCTTCTGTCTCTGCTTCTGCTTCCTTTGCTGCGACTCCCGCCTTGAGCGCCTCCAAGCACTTCGTCATCGCAGACATGGACGGCCGCCCGCCTCTCGACAACCGCGCCTGCGTCAACTGCATCTCCAAGCTGTCGCCCAGCGAGGTCTGCCAGGTCAACTGGCATGTCGACACCGACAACGCGTGCCGGCTGTGCGCCGTGCGGGATCTCAAGCCCGAGGCCTTCACCAAGCCCTTTTGCGACTTCCTGCGCGAAAACCCCACCATCTTCCACACCGTCGAATACTTCAAGACGAAGCTCCGCCAATCCGGCTACGTAGAGGTATGTGCGCCTGTGACGGCTTCCGAGGGCAGTGCAAACGGGAACAGGAAGCTGACAAACCGCCCTCTAGCTCCCTGCGCGCGACTCCTGGGCCGACAAGATCCAGCCCGGCGGCAAGTACTGGGTCACCCGCAACGGCAGCTCTCTCATCGCCTTTGCCGTCGGCAAGTCCTACAAGCCCGGCAACGGCGTTGGCATGATTGCCGGCCACATCGACGCCCTGACAGCCCGACTCAAGCCTGTCAGCAAGAAGCCAACCGCGGCCGGCTACGTCCAGCTCGGCGTCGCCCCCTATGCCGGCGCCCTGAACCAGACGTGGTGGGATCGAGACCTGAGCATTGGCGGCCGCGTCATTGTGCGCGATGAGAAGACGGGCAAGACGTCGAGCAAGCTCGTCCAGCTGGACTGGCCCATTGCAAAAATCCCCACGCTGGCGCCGCACTTCGGCGTTGGCATGATGGGCCAGAACAACCCGGAGACGCAAGCGGTGCCCATCATTGGCTTGGAAAGCTCCGACGGCTCTGACTCCGAGCTGCTTGGCTCTACCGGCTCCTTTGTCAACACTCAGCCGCCGAAGCTGGTCAAGCTCATCGCCAAGGAGCTGGGCATCACATCATACGACTCCATTGTCAACTGGGAGCTCGAGCTGTTCGACTCACAGCCTGCCACCGTCTTTGGCCTGGACAAGGAGTTCATCACCGCCGGCAGAATCGACGACAAGCTGTGCTCGTGGTCCGCCCTCCTGGGCCTTCTCCACTCCACAGAGCGGGACTCGGACAGCTACATCAAGCTGGTGGCCCTGTTCGACGACGAAGAGGTTGGCTCGCTGCTGCGACAGGGCGCCCGAGGCAACTTCCTCCCCCTGACCATTGAGCGCCTCGTCGAGGCTCTCAACCCCACGACCTACGGCCCCGGCCTCATCGGCCAGACCTTTGCCAAGTCGTTCCTCCTGTCCGCCGACGTCTCCCACGCCGGCCACCCCAACTTCCTCGGCAACTACCTGCCCGAGCACATCCCCAAGCTCAACGTCGGCCTCGTCGTCTGCAGCGACAGCAACGCCCACATGACCACCGACGCCGTCTCCTCCGCCATCCTGCACCGCGTTGCCGACCTCTGCGGCGCCAAGCTGCAGGATTTCCAGATCCGAAACGACTCCCGCAGCGGCGGCACCGTGGGACCCATGCTGTCGAGCGCCATGGGCGTAAGATGCGCCGACGCTGGCCTCCCGCAAATTTCAATGCATTCCATCCGCGCGACAACGGGCGCACTGGATCCCGGATTGGGTGTGCAGATCTTTAAGGGTTTCCTTGACTTTTGGGAGCAGGTTGATGGCGAATGGGAGTAATTGGCGTGGATATTCATTGGGGGGCGGACTAGATGTATTGTGATGCGAATAATGTGCCGAGTAGACGAAGCGTGTTTCATTTGGGCAAGAGTAATTTGATAGATACATTTCACGTAGACGGCATTGCCTTAATACAGCGGATAGACATCGTCAAATGATGCATTGGGATGTAAATGTATGTGATTCAACGCTACAATATGCCTCGTGTCCTATTGATGCAAAGTTTCGTAGGATATCGTCTCGACTATAAATACCTAACCCCCAAGTCAACTCTCTGACTGGTCACCCGATACTACCTTTTCTCTTGAATCCCCAGTCTAATTTCTCATGAAAAACAAAATGTCGTTTCAGCGTCATTCAGACAATGATAGGGGGAGGGTGGTATTGCCCCTGAACTGCGAATGCCTTCCTTCGTCGATGCATTTACCCGCTGCTTCATACTACTTACTACTCCATCTCAAGACCACAAGCACTAAGATATAAAAAACGCCTCGAAAATGTGAAACCCTTCAACAAACAAAATCAAGCTGCATCCCCAGACTGGGGTCGCATTCCCGCCAAGCTGCCGCCATCGGGATCATCATCCTCGTCGTCATCATCGTCATCATCAAAGTCGTCGCTTTGCCCAGCGGCACCAGCCCCATCGCCGGTCCCGTCGGCAGGCCTGCGCTTCTTCTCAAAGTCCTGCTTATGCGCTTCGGCCATGATCTTAGAGAAAGCTCGGGTGATGCGCGGGGAGGGCTGTTGTTCGGGACGGCGCCGGAGACTTCCGCTGGGAGCGACGCCAACGGCCGTCGAGCTGCCCGAGTCGTAGGTCGTGGGGCGCTCCGCTGTCTGCGGCCGCGGTTGTTGCGCACGCTCTGATGGGCGCTCTCCTTGCGCTGCTAGCATGGGGCTGGATTCGCTGCTGGCCTGCTCTAGTAGAGGCTCGATGTGGTACGGCAGAGGGACCTCGCGAGAGGCCTTGTACTGCGCGACGTTGGCGCAGTGCTCGTTTTCCACTCGCAAGAGCGACCATATGCCTCGGCGGAAGACTTCCATGAAGCTCACCAGGAAGGAGACCATGGTGGAGTGCTGGAGGTCGTGGGTGAAGATGGCGTAGAAAATCCACGAGAATCGAAGGATAGGATCAACAACCATGATCACGTAGTAGACCCAGCGGTACTTGAGAGCCAGGATGTCACGCAGAGCGACGTGCCGGCTCTGGGGCTGAAGTAGGGAGAAGTCCATGAACAGATCCCAAATGCCTAGACGAGTCGCCTGTTAGCACACGAGACGGTGTCGCACTGGCTCGAAAGCAGCCACTTACTGGTATATAAGCCATTGACTGTTGAAAAGGTGGCAAACAGAGCAAGGTCTCTATTGTTCTGGCGAATGCGGTACATGGAGAGCGTCATGTAAGACAATATGGTGGCAGTATATTTGCCGCAGTTGACGAGATGTGGGAAAATGTTGCGCGTGTCTCGGTAACGTCGAATGCATTGGAGAAAGCGCCAGATGGCAGGCAGTGTCGTCAGGAATCCCAAGAGGCGGGAACTGGTCGAGTTGCACTGCCCAGGACTATGCCAATGATTGGCATACAAGCAGAAGAAGAGCTCAATATTCTGCCTTTTGAGTCAGCTATCGCCCGGTGGTGGTCAGTCAACAAAGCAGCACTTACCGCCATGGAGTATGTCAAGGAGCAATACATGTCGCCCAGGAAAAAGTCGCGGAATTCTACAGGGTATAGACCAGACAGAAGAAGACGCCACTGCCATTTGGTTAGCATTGTGGAAGAGCGACAGACCCCATTAGGGGCTGAGAGGGAGGGGGGGGGTGGTAAGGGGAGGCTTGAGGTACTGACATGCGAATATGCAAACCACCTGCGGGTCTTGTGAGCCATCACAGGAGCGGGGAATAATATGATGACGAGGGTCAAGCCAACCAAAAGAACTGGGTAATAGAGAAACATGGTATCGTTGCCATATCTGCTGAAGTTTGCCCACATGATGAGCCCGAAGACAAGAAAAAAGAAGGAGGGAAACTCAGCAATCCGACGCCAATCGAGCTGGCTGCGCTGGTCGAATTCAAAGATGAAGGGGTAGTTGATGCGGTTCTGCAGCCAAACGTAGCAGTTGATGCAAAAGAAGGAGAAGAGCATGAGCATAAGGAAATAGCCGCCGTACAGCTGCAGTAGATAGCTTGTTTGAAGACGAACTGTTGGATCCTCGTCATTCAGTAGCTCAACGCCGTAGACAAGGCCCTGGATGGTAAAGACAGCGCCAGTGCCGATCAAGAAGCCATTGAGGAATGAGCTGCCAGACTCGTCTTTGGGTTTCTTGTTCATCTTGCGCAGCTTGCCAACCGCCAACTTCTGGTTGCCGCGCTCAAAGTATCGAGCATAGAGGTCCTCGACAGTCTTGATATGGCCTTCCAGAACATCGCTATTGACGAACCAAGCCTTGTTGACCTTTTCGTTCATGTAGCGCATCGGGGGCCGAGCGTTGACGGCCTTGTCATACTTCTTGTTGAGTTTTCGGAAAGCGGTGCGGTTGAGCAAGGCGTACGACTTGAGAAGCTCCAGACTGCGATAGAACTCTTGCACTGCCAACTTGAGCTTTCGCTTTGCTGTCCTATACGCAACCTCGTCATTTTCTGGCCGCCGGACATAGTCCATGCGATCCTCTGGAGCCCTGCCGCCGCCTGTGAGATGCGGCGTGCGCGGCATATCCTGGAGGGCTTTCGAGTTGGGTCCCAGTGGAAAGATTTTCGTCTTGAGCGGATGCATCCAGCTGAGCGACCGGTCAGGATTGCTCTCGTCAACCTTGTGATGTGATGACCGGGATAGAGAGCTGTTGGCCCTCTCGTTGGCGAGTTCCTGTATGCGTCGATTGCGCATCTCATGGAGCTGTTCTCGCAGAATCACCAACCGCTGCCCGGCCCGATCCTCATTCTTCTTGTAGAACGTCTCCACCTTGTCCAGCTCCGCGTCGAGGAATGCGTAAAACTGCTGTTCTTTCTCCCGAACAAGGTCAAGGCTTTGACGTGGAAGGCTTGATATCCGAGCCGACTCTCTGGCGGTAGACATGCGATGAAGAGACTCCTCAGCACTGTCTTTCGGCAGCGTTGCGGCGTCCAGGGGGCCCGATGAAGATGACCTGTGGAGGTCGAAGCGAGCGCTTTTCATCGAAGGACTGAGAATCCGCTTGCCACCCGGTGAGGAGGACGTTGTATGTATGGCGGGAGCAGGAAGCTCAAAGAAGCTGTCATTGCCTATGCTCTGATTGCGATTGTGGCTTGCACCCTGCTCCTCCCGCTGGCCGTCATCGCGGTTATCCTGAAGGGCCACCTGCGAGGGCGACTGCGGGTGTCCTGGGGGAGTGGGCACGAAGCTTCCATACTGCAAACTGTTGCCCTCACTGCTCAGGGCATCGTCTTCTGCCCTCTTTGCAATGGAGACCGGCTCCGACTGACCATGCCATCTCGCGATTGTCGCATCGTCGTCCGTGTGTCGACTGGCCTCGATGCGGGACGAAGGGTGGGGAGTAGGCTCCGTTTGAGGGCTTGCGACTGCGAAGAAGGACGGAGGACGGCGTGAGTTGAGGAGTCGGGGCGTCGAGCCGGAGGTTCTCTGGATGGCCGAGGCAACGGCTTTTACGTACTTTTTGCCAGCCTTGTAGTTGAGATACTTGATTCGCCATTCTGGATGGTGACACAGAGGAGAAGAAATGACAGGTTAGCAACGTGAACTTTGGGTGGGTGCACAAGTCAATTGTTGGCCAATTCCCCTCTTGATCTTGAAGCCCTTGCACTTTGTGCTGCTGGTGGCATCGAGCAGGAGCAGGAGTAGGAGTAGGATTTGATTAAGGAACAGGAACAGCAACAGGAACAGATATAGGAGTAGGGAAGAGAAAAGACTAACAAGACGGAGCAATGCAAGGGGAAAATCTTCAGCAAGAAAAACACCAAAGACAGCAAACAGCCAATCAAGCCAATGTCAGCATCACGACAAGCAAGTGCTTACCAGGAACCGCCTCGCGCTCGAGCTCCTTTGCGAACTTCATGGTCACCCTCGACCTCGATCTGCGGCGTCTTCACCTTGCGCCTTGTGTAGAACCGGGGGAGCTGCACTGCGCTTTTCGCCGCACTACTACTCGTATAATATCGAGTTCGAAACTTCGCACACAAGGACGGAAGCCTCGCCAGGCCCGGCGGCAGGGGCGAAGATAAAAACAGCCGTCGGCCGGGGCTGCAACTCGTTCGCCAAGAGCTTCTTGTCGTTCTTGTCGCTTCTTGGCTTGCCCTCCTTTGGGCTTGGCCCTGGATAGTCGGCAAGGCAAGGCGGAGGCACGGCTGTCTCAGCTGCACAGGCTTTCGCTTTCCAGGCACAGGAATGGGATGAATCCGAGGATGGACCTGTGAGAGTCGGCCGCTGAGACACGTGCGATGCCGCTGTCTTGGGGATGTCTCGCGGGCCCCGCTCTTTTTTGGCTTGACGCAGATGCAAGACCTGGTTGACGTCAAGCCACGGACTAACACGGAGAAAAAGACGATGGAAAAGAACGAAAGAAACGAAGAAAAAAAAAAAAAAGAAAGATGACCGCGTCGCGCGGCGTGCTGCTGCGTGTTGGCTGAACCAGGTCAAGCCCTTACTCTTTTGTGCTGAATGCGTGTTTCTTCGCCTGTTCTGGGCCGGCTGCTATTGATGTTTGGACCCTGGAAGGCTTCCCGTTCAACATCCTCGTGCTACCATGGACTGAATATATACGAAACAGCCTCCTTTTGCTGCCCAAAGAGCGGTGGGCGGAATACCTGCTAGTTCTGGCTGGATTACGGCGCAAAAAAGCGTTATGTCAAATTTGGCCCCCCCTGAGCTCGCCGAATGTCGCTGCCCCCAAACCGCCACTGGCTTTTCTCTCAGCTTCATCCTGTTCCGTTGGGACAGGGGCAGCACCGCACGGATGGATGAACGGTGATGCATCGACGGCTTGTGCGGAGAATGTTTGCTTCACGAGAGGTTTGCACCGAACAGATACAACATGGCGAGACTGTTCACCTGCTGATGCTCAGCTCTTGCGGCCTCTGATGCATATAAAAATTCCGTGAAATCGAGGCATCATGGGGATACAGGGGTCGCATCCTCCCATTCCAGCCCGCACCCAACCCATCAGCCAGCACCAGCAAAAATCACAAGGGCAGATTTCAAAGAGGAAATAAGCAATTCCCTAGTCAACAGATCGGCCCCCAAAACGAGACAGGATCAACATGTGTCGTGCTGAGATCCAGTACCACTTTTGCCCGTGCAGGAACCCGGACTGCAAGGCGCCCAGCACCACATGCCACGAGCAGCGTCCGCCCCCAAAGAACCTCACCCAAGGCCGGCTGGGCCATTACGTGCCCACTGGCGGCCTTGAAGTTGACTCATGCTTCGAATGGGACCTGGAGCGGCTGAGTCCCGGAGCGTCACTCGTTGCGACCCGATGCCCAAAGCTCGCAGAGGGGGCTGCCTTGGTGATCGGAAGCCTTTGCAGCAAATGTCAACACGAGTGTGCTGACAAGCAGACGGGGCCGGCCGGTCCAAGAACCTGATCAATCACAGCATCTGATACTTCTCCCTCCCTTTGCTTGACAGATGTATCATGTCTTGGGTAGGGCTCTGATTCGAATGAGATGCCAAGTGTGGCGCAGGAAAATGTTTCATCAAGGTAAGTAAGGTAAGGTATTAGGTAGGTAGGTATCAAGCTGGAGTTGGCCCTGTGTCGTACCTGGAGGGACCTCTCCACGCTTAGGCGGGAGTTTGTCCCACTCGACAATATGGATTGGGCACCATCAGGAACTGGGATTGCAAAATTGGATGGTAGAAGAGCATGCAGGTGCTACATGCTAGTTTTTGCGAATGAGAATTTTTCCTTTCCAAATCAACTTCGACCGTCCAATAGTGTGACACAATCAACGGGGTGCGTGCTCCGTCGACGACCGTGCCATTAGTAGGTACTCGTAGTATCATGAAGCCCCATCACGCGAACTGCCTTCGGCTGCAACGGTTCTTCTGGAAAGCTATCCGACGGGGGCCATGCAATGCAGCGTGCCTCATTCGGGTCGCTGGATGCTCGTCTGGCAGCTGTCAATTCGACAGAAATGGATTACGTCAACGCATAGTAATAATTTGGCCGTGGATCCGATGGAGAGAGGTCGAAGCGAGTGGAGGAGACGAGTGTGATAAGATGCCGTTGCAGCGCATACTCGTAGTAGTAGATTGCGGAGAATAGGCTGCCCGGTGGTTTTTATGGGTGCAAACAGGGAAGTGGTGCATTAGCGATGGAGTGGGAGAGAGCTTGGTCGAACCGAGTGGCACCGCATTCTCCTCATCAGCTAACGGACGATGGGGGTTTTTCTGTGCGATGGAACATCCTCGACGCTGTCGTTGAAGGTGATGGCGCTTGAACTTGGGGCGTCGTGCTCTGGTAGAGAGGGTGCAGAGACAGATGGCTGCAGATTCTAAGTCAGCTCGAAATTGGAGGCCAATGTCAGGTGTTTCAATCTGAAACCGTGGACATGGAGAAGACCACTGTGAATGAAGAGTCTCAAGGCTGCGAGTCAATCTTATCGCATCGTATGTCATCCGTGTGAGGCCAGAGACACAAAGGCTGCGGCCCCACCGGTGTGAGATTCTATCTCCACGATTGTCAGGTCGAGTTTCTGTCTGCAGCCCATCTCCACACGCGCAAGTGTCGGTCTCACTCCGAGCTCTGCCGGAGGAATGGGCACGACGTCAGGGAAATGGCTGGGCTGAAGTTCGGCCTGGAATCTGGTTCGACGGCACGACGACTATCAATCATCAATGTCTTCGGTGTAGGAGCAACAACGGGCGACCCGTGTCATGATCGTGCCGACAAATAGGCCGCCGCTGGAAGAAAACCTGCAGAAGCCTATTGATGCTCCGTAGGTAGTAGCACCACGAGGGAGGCCGAAAAAGCATCACGCCGTGCGTCTGCTGGCGTATTCGGCAAGGTTTCTTTTCTCCAGATCTGACTGTGCCGCAGAGCCGTAAGACTTCCAATGTTCGCTCCTGGATGCTCCGACAGCCGTTGCGTGGGAATCAGCAGATGGCGCCGCTAAATCTGCCGGCGAGAGCCGGGAGACGACGAGATCATATAGATCCAGGCACGAACTCTTACCACTCGCACAGGCGGTTCCGGAAGGAGGGGGGGAAACAAGGGCCGGTGCTACAGAACCTTGTACGACGGCACTGCGATCACGCTCGTACGCCTTTTTTCTGGGTCTATGTACAGACGGGGGAGATTTCTACAGCCAAGATGCTCTTCATTCCCGGCGATGCCGGTGACATCAGCAGTGGGCTCTTCCATGGTAGCTGCACGACGGTCCACTGAAGAGGGAGAAAATGGCGAGAACCACAATAAAATGGCCGACGCCCTTGCTTGGCAAGGCAGACTCTGACAACCCGGATGGGCTGCTACGTAGCAACCGAGGCGTATTACTGACTACCTTGCCTGGAACAGTACCTAGTATTTGGATGCAACAACTTTGGGCAGCTTTTTGCAATGACATGGATTGAAACACGGCGCGGGACGCCGCAGTGGCCTTTAATCAGAGAGACTCCTTGATTTCTGGGGTGAATGCTTGCATTGCAAGAAGGGTCCCCGAGGGGGGGGGGAAATTGCGCCTATTCGGGAATTGAAACCTGTGTGATTGGATTTTGAGATTGAGAGGAAAACGTGGCATGAAACGAAACTTCATGCCCAAACATGGATAGAGCCTAGGTAGGTAGATGGGACGGGCGGACGACAGCGTTTGGGTGTAAGTTGCATGGACCACGCCGACGAGTGGTTCACTTGTCAAACGCTGCTTTGTCCTATTGCTGTTCAATGTTTGGCGTAGAAGTGCTGGCTAGGTGTTTTACTCGCCGCTTCAACCCCTCTATATCGTAAGGTAAGGTAGTACTAGAAGTACATAGTGTCATAGAGCCTTAGGCGAATGTCACGTTCAGTATACGTACCTTACTACTCGAAGTCCGTCCGTCCTAATGCATCATCGTCATCGCCTATAGCCCCTCCCCTGTCAATCAACTTCTCGCTGCTTCCACGAGAGTTGGCATTGTCCCATCAAAATGCCGAATTCAAATTCCCACCTGTTTCCATCCTCCAGGTAAGCTCAACACTAGCAATCTTTTCACCAGCGCTAGTAATAACCACGCCATGGTGCGAGCGGGCCATCTCGCGCGTGGGCTGCAGATGTTTCTCACCATCCGGGCAGCTAGCGAGGGGAAGGGGGGGAGAGGGGCCACTCGCTCTGTGTTCAATCTCTTCCAATCTCCATTCACTCGAGATGACGCCTGGCAGGTCACCGAGTGAACAGGTAGTAGTAGTACTTGATGTGCTGTACCTGCGAGTTCAGTGAATGCTTCGACGCTACGAGGGTGACGAAATCTACCTATGCTTGACATCTGCTAGGTAGTCATTTCCGGCACTTGTGAACAGCAAGTGGGAGTTTGCTGTTGACCTAACCCGGGCCAAGACGCCACTGCTGTTCAATTCGCCGAGCCCACGACATGTACATCAGCCCCCGGTGCCGTCATCACCGACGTGCAGGTACCGGCTCCGGCACTGGCAATGGCACTCGACAGGCCGGGGGGGCCATTTTGCCTCCAGCTTCCAGGGCCTTTTGCTGCAGCCGTTCAGGTTCTTCCCGCCTCTTCTCCCCCTCCTCTCCAAGGCCCGCTAGCGCTTCAGCTGCCCAGAACCCGTCCAGTTGAACCATTCTAGCCTCTGCAGTGGGACGGGAAGCGCTAAATCCGCTGGGAGCAGTTCCAGGTTCCACGCCCGCCAGGTCACATCAAATATCTCACCCTCCCTCCCACCTTTTTTTTCCTCGATCTCCTCTTGGGCCATATTATATCATACCTCCCATCTTGTGCGCCGCAGCCTTTCACCCAGCTGCGCGTGTCTTTTCTGGCTGCCCTCGGGTACGGCTCATATCTTGTTATTCTTTTCTCCTGCCGCCTTCGTCGACTTGCGGCCAAGGGCATCGGCCAGTTCGGGACTGTGCCGCGGAGATTCGATCCGCGGACCTGCTCCCCGCTGACAGCGCACGACCATTCAAACAACTCCTGTTTCCTCCCTCCCGACAGCCTCTTCCCGGTCTCGCCCGAGCCAAGGGAAGAGCTTGCCTCTGGCCACTGCTCGCCGGGCAGGAAAATGGACCCTGGCAGCATATACAGCCACTCCCGCACGCGGACAACGTCGTCCACCGTCTTCCCACCGCAACAGCAGCATCCCCCGCCCATGCTTTTGTCGCACCAAATGTCGACCCAACAGTTGAATCGGCGATCGCCCTCCGTGAGCACCTTCAGCAACTCGAGCGCTCAGCCGGCCGCCGCGTACCGAACATCGTCCAACTCGGATCTGCGACGCTCCATCTCCAACCGCTCCTTTGGACAGCCCCAGGCGTCGGGCTATGTGGCCCTCTTGCGGAAGCAAAAGGCCACGGTCTGGTGCGATCGCGCCCAGTATGAGGACCCCCGGTTGGTCGCCCAGCAGCGGGCTGCCAAGATGCGCGCCAACTTGGAGGTCAGCGGGGGAAACCGAGCAAGTGGCTCAGCTGGTTCCTCGTCAGGTGGCCGCACGAGCACGGGCATAAGCGCAACAACAAAGGTCGCTGCCAAGATTCGGCATCACGGCAAGACACCTGTTGTAGGCTATGCCAACGAAAATCACGTGGGCGTCGGAGGAGTGCCCATGCGCCTGAGCGCCACCGAAGTCGAGGGCGAGAGCAGCGGGGAGGAAGATTTCGCATCGCGTTCGCACCACCGCCGGACGGGAAGCAGCGGACGCAGCAGCATAGGCAGCAGCAGCCGCCGCAACGTTTCCTACAGGGCCTCCGGAGGCACTGTGACCGGGACCGGCTCTCAGAGCGGCAGGCGATGGAGTCCTGGAGACACGCCCGAGAGGGCGGGCAGCTTGGTCGAGCAGCCGGAGGACAGTACGCCAGTTACTGACGACGGCGCCAGCGGCACAGCCCAGAGCACGCACAGTGGAAGCAGCGCTGAGCGCGCAGACAACGTGGGCGAACTGGGAGCGCCCCCCAGACTTGCGAGCAAGTCACTGATGCACTCCGCCCTGACGAGAGAAAAGAGCGTCAAGTCTCCCGAGGAGCTCAAGAGGCGAGGAAGCGTCGACGAGCGAACAGCTACCCTCACGTCCCAGCGCCTCTACATCGCCAACCCCGATTGAACATCATCATCTCGCATACTTTCTGACATACTTTCGCCTATACCTCTCAACATTGCTACGCGACGACACACGACGCCATCTCATCTGCCCGCCATTCGTTACCTCGAATCAACCTCGAACACCATCGTCGCCACTGTAAACGACAAACTTTCCGATCGCTCGAGCGCACTTGTTCTTTTATTTTTCCCTATCCGCCCTCTCTCGAATCTGGTCTACCTGCATTGTTAGGCGTTTGGATATGTTTTTATCGCTTTGGGCAAGGCTGGAGGCGCTGTCGCCAACATGGGCTCTTTCTTTCTAGTACGCCTCGTACTTTTGTTTACTTTGTACTACATTACACCTTCGCTTCTGGAATTGAGCTTGCTGGTTGAGCGAGCCCGCTGATTGGAATGGAATTGGGAGAAAAGTACTACTTACAGTCGATGTGCCCCCGTGAGGGCAGTTGGAAAAACAAGATAATATGACGTAATGGATAATCTGTAATCTTCTTTTCCCGGCGGGTGAATTTCACTGACAACTGTATCCGGGCATGTGTGGGATGTATTCTGAAACGTCGGAGTGTGCTCTTGTTTGCATGAATCAGCTTGGCACATCTGTCGTCATTGATCTGCTTGAGCCGTCGCATAATGATGCCTTGGCGAATCTTGAGCTCTCTGGGCCGACTTGCAGACAGACGGCGGGATTCAACATACGCTGATATGATTCAATAGCATGATCCGTCCTGCTTTGCATTATATTGGAGTTGAGGAGGTATTTCGAGTTTCTATCCTAAACGACAGCCTGTGAGCTCTCTGTACCTACCGCGGGAGGTTCCATGATTCAGGTTTGGTTGCATAATAAGAAATTTCGTCTCAACTGAAGCAAAACCTCGCAATTGCTACCTTGTGAACATGCATCTTGAGAGCTCAGTGTAATTCCGCTTACATTGTACAGATTGGACACAGAGATTCCATTCTCCTGGCGCCTAAGTTGTCCAGTCCTGTGCTTATCATACCTATGTATGTTCAACGCCGTAAGAGACTGGCTTCCATGAAGATGTGTAAGCTCGTCGTTAGTAATCCCGGCGATTAGCCGTGGCAGCTCGCTCCTTCCTCCCCACACCGATTAACGCGTCAAAGTGGGAAGCGCCAAATTAACGCGACTTGAGCAATCGCGACTCCCACTAACCATCCAATTCTGTACAACACACCCCCAACCTCGAAAGCACTGCCCTGTCATCTCCCTCATTGCAAGCGTCTTGTCGTCGAATTTCCTCTCCATTTTCCAAAAGACCGATTGAAGCCATTTTGTCCTCTGTCTCTCACTTTCTCTGTCCGTGTGCTGCTTCGCTCAATAGGTAAGATCCACTTCCCTGCCTCCGATTGAACGTGCCCCTCTCCTTTATCTGCATGCAAATGGAAAGCAACGTCAGGGCTCCCGCTACTGCTAGAAACAGTCTCTAATGCCATGCAGTGCAAGTTATACTCATCTTAATTACGATAGCAGCGACAATGCCTCTGCTCGAGGTCTCACACAATGCAAGAGACCTCGAATCCTCGGGTCGAAAGAGGACGCACAACGAGTTTGCCGCGGAATCGGCAAAGATTGATCCCGTGGAGGATGCTAAGAACATCTCGCCTGTGGACATTCAAGAGCCGGACCATGATTGTGAGCACACAACAACTGCTGCACTCTAAGAGAGGAAAAAAAAGGACCAATCGCTGACATCTCCCAGCACCCCTCTCTTCCCCATTATCATCGCCTGGCCGCCCAGACGCAGAGAGCGATCTGCCACTGCCATCTTCACCGTCAAAAGCGCCTGAGACCCAAGGATCCTCGGGAGCGGCTGTACCAGACTCAAACCCCGCCTCAGACATGAATCCTCCAGCCAAGCGAAAACGCCTCACAGCGGCAGAGAAGGAGATGCGCGATAAGGAACTTGCCGAGAAAAAGAAAGAACGCGAGGAGCAGGCTGCGGAAAAGGCGATGGAAAAGGCAAAGAAAGAGGAAGAGAAAGCGGCGCGAGCAAAAGAAAAGGAAGAGAAACGAAAATTGAAAGAAGAAGAGGATCGGGTCAAGGCCGAAAAGAAGAGAAAGAAGGAGGAGGAATTGGAGCGAAAGGCTAGAAGTCAGAAGACCCTCGGCAGCTTTTTCAAAATCCCCAGCATGCCCAAGCACACCGACGGAGAAGAGGCGACGAGAGAGAATAGCCCCGCAAAGGCCAATTCATCAGCGGCCAAGGAGAAGCCAACAGTGTCGGAATACTCAAAGATGTTCCAGCCATTCTTTGTCAAAGACAACACTCAACTGGCACCAGCGATATCCCTGATGGATGAAGCGACCCGGGCAATGAAATCCAAGAACCTGGACGACTATATCGCGAACCAGCCCAGCGAAGATGCTCCGCCCAAGTTCGACCCTTTGAGCGCCTTCTCCCTTTCGGCTCTCCCCGCTCGCCGTGGCAAATTACACCAACCGGTCCGTCACCTCATGGAGATGGCCTACAAGGCTACACAAGATTCAGTGACTATGGGCAGTGCAGATTCTAGCAGGATCTACACAGAGGTCCAGGCGGGTCTCAAGAAGATTCCTCTGAAAGTGATTGCCTTTTCTCAAGATGTGCGTCCGCCCTATTACGGCACCATCACTTTCAAGCCCTTCGTACTCGGCAAAGGAAACATGCAGAAACTCGCGAGAAGGTCCATGTCCCGTCGACTACCGCTCGACTACGATTACGACTCGGAGGCCGAGTGGCAGGACGAGGAAGAGGGCGAGGATCTTGATCTTGAGGATGAGGAAGAGGAGCTGGATGATGAAGACGACATGGACGGGTTCCTTGATGATTCCGAGGATGTCGGACTCTCTAGGAGAGTGTTTGCCGACACCCTGAAGCCGGACATTACGGGCCCTTGCTTTGAGAACCAGAACCGCAAAGTCTCAATCTTGACCTTGAGCGACAACAAGATGGAGTTTATCCATGGTGAGATTCCAAAAGTCTGTATGTGAGCTTATTCGAGACTCGGCTAACCCGCTTTCTAGAAGGACTTGATCAGCCATGGGGCATTGACCCCTTTTCCACCAAGTACTGGGAACCCGAGCCTGTCAAGGCTGCCAAGGGCAAAGCGCCAAAGGCAGTCAAAGCCGAGGATGATGCCAAGCTTCCCCCATCTGCTCCTGCAAACGCCTTTGCCGCGTTGGGAGGCGCTGCTGGATCCAGCTCAGCGCCAGGCAAGCTTGTCAAGCCTGAGCTTCTGAATGACGTCAAGAAGGCCATCTTGGACAACAAGGCTCTCTCCAAAGTCGGCATCGTCGATTTCATCTTTCATCAGTTCAAGGATCAAGCCTCACGGCTGGAAGTCAAAAACACAATTGAGCACGTCGCGGAAAAGAAGGGCACCGGTCGAACCAAGGAATGGGAGTTGAAACCCGGCCATGAGATAACACTGTGAGGTACTCTGGTTTTGGGAGGGTCTCGCTGGTCATATCTTTTGCCGTTACGATTGACGAAAATCAGCTTAGCATGGCGTTCTTTGGACGATGACAGGTCATTCCGGTTGTCCTGGGGATTTTCCCCAGCTCTGATTGTGAGCTTTGGGCTGGGACTGATTCGCATAGCTGGAGATTGTGTATATTAGATTTTTTTGATGCCATAGTCGGCACATGTTGCATCTCGAGAGTACATGTAGCCAGCCGGGCAACAAGTTGACTTTGAGCGCTACACAATGGCGTTCATGCCACCTTTCAGCCCTCGCTGGTGAATTGCCGTGCTGGGCATGATTCCTTGTCATCTGCAAGCATCCATAGATTCCCTTTTGTGTAATCTCACCTACCTAGGTACGTCTGATCTAAAGGCAGTAGTAGGTGGTACCTTATTCGGCACGCATAGAGGATCCACGAAATCGCGGGGCTTGCAAAACACATATCAAGCAATTCGCCAAGGCAGATCCCCAGACGCCCCTGTCCGTGCGGTGCGCTAAGCACATGCAGACGCCAGACTCGATTCATTGCGCTTGACCGATCCTTTCCAGCTTCTGCTTCACTTCTCTTCTCTCTTCTCCTGCAACCCTCTAGCATTGCTCCAACCGAAACAGCACGCACGGCTTCTTGCACAATGAGGTGACGAGGCAATAATCTTATTGGACTTTTTAAAGCCTTCTGCATCAACTTCCGCCCTATTCGATTGCGTCATCATCTATCCAACAACCTCCTGAGTCTTCGGTCCTTTCATCCTGAAGAAAGGGACAGCAACCCGTCGTTCCAGGAGAAGCGAGATTGAACGACCGCCCGCAATTGCACAGAGATTGCAATGTCGCGACGATCCAGCTTATGACGAGCTCGCAATAACAGGATCCTCGCCTCGCACCGAACATCACAATCGCTCAATCGCCGTCCGCGCGACATGCGCAGTCGCCCGGAATGGAAGATCCGTGGGGTTCGCCGTGGGCTGTAGACTCTCCGGCCAAGATCGAGCTCCCAGCCGCGCCCCAGACCGCGCACTTTTCCGCCGACCACCTCTTCCCTCGACGCGGCTCTCGCTCGCCGGCGCCGTCGCGATCGCGGTCACCGGCCGGGTGGGAGGATGACGAGGCCTGGGGCGGGTGGAATGGCGGTGCGGCTTCCGAGGGCGGTGGCAGCGGCAGCGGCAAGGAGAGTCCCGGGTGGGGGAGGAGTCCTGGGCTGAAGCCGCTGCAGGTTGCCGCGCCTTCGGTGAGGTCGCTGTCGCCGGATCCTTGGAAAGAGGTGGCTTTGAAACGACTGGACACGGCGGCGCTGGAGGACGGAGAGCGGGAGCCTAGGGAAAGGAGAGCTTCGGAGACGTCGGGTGACGATCGAGCTGTAGATTCTGCAATCAGTCTTGGAGAAGGGCAGGGTCTGCAGAGAGGGAACGAGCTGAAGATTGACACGCCTCTCGTGGTGCCGTCGTGGGATGATGATGCGGACGGCACATGGGCTGCGGGAGCCGCGCCGGAAGCGCCGGCTATCGATGCAGGGATCCCGGCTATTCAGCTCGAACAGCCAGACTTTGCTCTTGACGCTGGAGTGCCAGTACTTGATGCTGTCTGTGTAGAGGAGAAACAGAGCTTTCCTACGGCAGCTGATGAGTCTGCCAGAGAAGAGGAAGCGACTGTATCGCCGGGAAAGTTCGAGGTGGACGACCAACCCCCATCCTTTGCTGCCATCGAAGCAGTCAAGATTGCTGCTGAAGATGTGGCAGTCGTAACAGAACCCGAAATAAGCCAGCCTTCCTTGCCAACTGAGGCTGAACTTGCTGCCGAGTCTGAGGCCTGGCAGCAAGAATCGGAGGTTAAAGTGTCCAAAGCGCCAGCTGTGAGTGTAGTCGATGGCTTGGGAGTACCAGCTCCCACGCTCCCTGAGACTATGGAACATGCTTCCTCGCGGGCATCAAACAAACCGGGCATTCACTTTCCTATCGATCTTACGCTACTCGACGACTTATTCCCCAACACGCCACCCATCACAACTCAACCAGAACTGGTGCCAGATGTCATCATCGACGACACGTTTGCTTCAGGCAGCGAGCGCAGGGCATGGTACCTCATTTCCCGCTTTGGGTCAATACGGAAGCACGACATGGGAGATGATGACAACTACGTGCGAGTAAGCTGGGCCGGGTCTCACATTCGAGAACAGACTACTCAGACGGTGAGGAGGTGGATGGAAGAAGACTCCATCACCGGCCGCGTGGTCCTCGGCAGACGCCTTGGCGGCTCGGGTGCGGCCATGTTCAACTGGAACTCGTCAGCGCCGCCGGTGGAAATCGGAGAGTTCCTGGGAAGGCATTCGAGGAATTCATCCATGACGGTGCACTCGGCAGCCGCATCGCCCACTGCGTCATCATTCGGTTGGAACAGCAGCGTCCCATCATCACCAGCGGTTTCTAAGCATCCCCTTGCCAATGAGGTCCCGCAAGAAGATGCACGAGGGGTGTCATCACACAAAGACATCAAGGCCGACCCGGCTCTACAGTCGCTGTCTCTTGCGCCGCCTCCTCCACATACCGCTCGGGCACATATCCCGGCGCCCATCCACATCCCGCCCACTTACAGCATACAGCAAGACGAGGAGGACGACGACTGGGGCGAGATGATGACTGCCACGCCGACGACTACGACATCATTCACCGAGGACGAAGAAACCGCGAGCAAACGCCACAGCGTTCCTCCTCCTCCTCAATCTGCTTTCCAGTTCGATACTGTAGTCGAAAGCCCGAAGCTGATGCCACCAAAAACTGAAAAGGCTCCGAGCAAGCGGCCGTTCTCATGGCACCTGGGGCAAGCGCTCAGCAAGCCCTTTAAGCGAGGGCCCAAGACGCCCTCTACACCAACATTCTCTAGCCCGCTCTCGAGGCCATTGACGCCGCCCCAGGTTGCTCAACCTGTGACGCCTCGGCATGGGCATGACGGGTCGGCCAGTGTGTCGTTTATTCAGCCGGCGCAAGGGCCTAATTTGAGCGCGGAGGATGAGGACACGGTGGCCAGGCTGTTGGGAGAAATTCCTGATCTCACGTATATGTTGCGATGATATCAATGTTAATGCCAAGAGGAGGATTTGTCGAATATTGGTGATTTAATATAGCATATTGCAATAGCAAGGCGTACCTGGGTTGTGTAGATAATTTGATGGTCATGTACCCTGGGTGGATAGCTCAAATATCGCCTTCGACATAGAACTTGTATAATTTTGATGCGGCGTTTTTATTCATGTCTATCCATTAATATGGGCTTCTAAAGTCATCGTGATCCAGTGACCTTAATTTCCATCATTCATGCTAATTACTCGTAAACTTCGTATATCATGCAAACAGCAAGGCTACTCTCGTGAAATATCGTCTAAACTCCTCTTCTTATTCGTCTTGTCAGAAGCGTAAAGCCTCGCAAACGGACCCCCCTTCATGAGCAACTCCTTTGGAGCACCAACCTCGACCAGCGACCCTTCCTCGAGCACGGCAATGGTATCAAAATCGAGTAGCGAGTCGAGACGGTGGGCAATCATGATGACTGTGCGGTCCTTGAACTCGGATTTGATAACGCGCTGGATTTGGGCGTCGGTTTGATTGTCGATGCTGTTATATATGATTAACTTCTTTAACCCTCATTTTCACTTTACACAAAGGTGGGTAGAGTGTAGTGATGGAGGAGTAAGGAGAAACGTACTTGCTAGTAGGCTCATCAAGAATCAGGATACTGCTCTTCTTCAAAAGCGCCCTGCCCAAACAAAACAGCTGCCGCTGCCCATGCGAAAAGAAAGTCTCGTCGATCCTCTCGTCAAGCGGATCTTTCCCCTTCTCGACCTTTGCCCGAATGACGTCCCAAATCGCCGCCCTCTTGAGCGCGCTCACAATGTCCTCGTCGGCATGCGCGCCCAGCGGGTCGGCGTTGAAGCGGATCGTGTTGGTGAAGAAGAAGGGGTCCTGGGTGAGGCAGCTGAGGCGCTGGCGGACGAGGGGCTTGGGGATGCTGGATATGTCGATGCCGTCGAGGAGGATGGCGCCCGAGGGGGTGTTGGCCATGCGGAAGAGGGCTTGGATGAGGGAGCTCTTGCCGCTGCCGCTGCGGCCGACGAGGCCGAGTCTTTGGGAGGGGGGGATGGAGAGGGTGATGTTGGTGAGGACGGGGTGGGAGGTTGAGCTGTTTGAGATGGAGACGTGGGTTTAGTTGTCATGATTTTTCTTCTGGAATATGAGGAGGAGGAGGAGGAGGAGGAGGAAAGAGGATTACGCACTCGTATTGTACGGATAGACTGACAAAGTCAATAGACCCCCGTGAAGGCCATTCTTCAGGAGGCACGTAGTTTTCCTCGGGGAGCAGTTCCGAAGGTGTAGTTTCTTCAAAGTTCTTGATGCGCGTGACCGCCCCCAGGGAAGTCTCCAGCTGCGACCACGCGAGGATGATGCCCTTGAGATTGAGCCCCAGATTCATCATGTTGACGAGCGCGACGCCGAGCAGCGAAGGATTGAGCTTGCCCCTGAGGACGACGGCGAAGACGACGAGCAGGACGGTGAGGACGGCGACGACGAGGTCCAGGACGAGGGTGAGCCAGCGCTGGATGCAGTTGAGCAGGTACGACGGCTTCTGGGCGCTGTCGAGGAGGGCGAGGTTCTTTCTCGAGTAGGGATGGGTCCAGCCGAAGGCGCGGATGGTGGCGAGGCCGCTGATGGATTCGAGGAAGTGGGAGTATAGGGGGGCTTTGTGCTCGATTCTGTGGGGGGAAGAGAGAGGTTGGTGAGTTTGGGTTGCTTGGGTTGTGTTGATGGGGGGGAGAGAGAGAGATGAGATGAGATGTTGTCGATGGACGAGGGTCGGGTGGGCGGACTTACTCTAGGATGCGGAGTTGCTTGGAGGTTCGGACGTAGAAGCGTTGGATCATGAGGAGGATGGTGATGACGAAGGGGAGGGATGCGGCGAAGTAGCTGACTGCTCCGACGGCGAGGCCGGTGACGCCTATGCAGATTGTGATGTCTGTGTGGTTATTGCCGTCAGTCTTCCACAAAGTTCAAATCAGTGAGAATGTAGTTGGAGGAGATGTAATTACCAAAGAGGAATATGGCGAGGGCCACGGGGAGGTCGATGTCCACCAGACGCAAGTCTTGACTGAATCTATTCGATCGAGGGCCGTTTGTTAGATGAAAGCGAGATATTACAGGATAAAGAAAGCTCGGAAAAGAGGACATGCCTGTTGACGAGCGAGCCAGTCTCTGAGTTGGAAAGAAATGACATGGGGGCCCTGGTGCTCATGTCAGTCAAGTATTCGTAGATACTAGAAGCCTCAAAGGCTCACCTCATGACTGCGTTCAAGATTCTGGTGTGAAACTTTTTGCCGACGGTAGGCCCGATGATCAACAAGAAGTGTCTGAGTTGGTTGTTAGTTCTTCAAGTTCGTTCTTATTCATAAACAGTTGAGGCCCGACTTACATGATTGCCAGAGATATCAGAGTAGCCTCTATGACCGCCAGGAGGGTAAAGATGCTCAGCCAGTATCCGACATCGTTGCTTGAGCGTCCTCGGCCGTCTCCCCACCACGTAAGCCAAACAGCTACGACAAATGTTAGCATGGAATCGAGACAAGCTGGACAGGTTTAAGGCCTGTCGCTTACATCTGAAAGCCGAGCAGAAAGCTTGTCCGCCGATATATGCACCGCCTATAGCCAAGCTCAGGGGCTGCATTGCAGAAAAGTAGTACTTGAAGGTGCTGCGGTCGCTCGACACTGTCTGTTGCTGCCCCCTTTCTCGATCCTCTTCTTTCACGTCAGGCTGGCATTCACTAGGTTTCTTAGTCTCCTCGATCGCGTCCTGCTCCGAGGTCGTCTCATCGTCGCTTTCGGAATCGGGGTCTGTGATGTCGAGGCTTTGGATGTATTTTCCCGTTTCTTGGAGTTTTGCAAAGGATCCTTGCTCGACGACTTGGCCGTCAGTGCCCAAGGCGATGATGTGATCGGCACTGGGCAACAGATGGACTACACAGCGATACCAATTAGAGGACTTACTTCTCATCGTTGCCAAGGAGTAGTGGTACCAGACTTACCGGAATGAGTGGCGAGAATCACAGTCGTGCCGCTGCGTCGGAGAAGTCCGTCTTTACCAAAGACACGCGCAAAGACGATGCGCTCGGTTGCCTTGTCGAGGGCACTGAAGACGTCGTCGAAGATGGCTACGGGCTTCCGCGCGTAAACAGCACGGGCGATTGCCTGCCAGGAGTCAGATCATCACTCTAGCTACAGCCAAAAAGGAGAAGCTCCTACCAGTCTCTGTTTCTGGCCTCCGCTTAACTTGACTCCCTTATCGCCCACGACGGTCTCAACGCCATCCGGCAGGCGGGAAAAGTCTTGGGCCAAGTCACAAGCCTCAATAACCGTGTCGAACCACTTGTCCTCAAAGTGCCCAGACTCGGCCACGATGTTGTCCCGGATTGTGGCGTTCATTACCCAGGGCGTCTGATCACAGAAGGCGACGCTGGGCGTTGAGAGCGACAGCTTTCCCCCTGTCGAGCGAGTCTCGCCGAGGATGGCCTTTAGCAAACTGGACTTGCCGGAGCCGATTGGACCGACGATGATGGTGAGGGATCCTGACCGTGCCTGTGAAAAGGAGACGCTAATGTTGCTCAGCACCTTCTTGTCTTTCCAAGCAAAGTCCCCTCTATCAATATGAATCCGCGCGCCTTCGTCCTTGAAACTCTCCAGGCGGCGAAGCTCAATGCTGCTCCTCGGCGATGCCTCCCCTTCGCTCCACGTTGAGAGCCCAGGCCGTGCGCATATTTCGCGGCTATCGACCCTCTCGCTGAGCAGCAAGAAGTCTTGGATGCGCTTGAAGCATCCAAGGGAAGAATAGGCAGAGGAGATGTTAAAGAGAAGGTTGCTGAGCGGGTTGATCATGACGTTGAGGATGGAGAGCGCCGTGATGGCCTGAGATGCTGAGAAGGACTGGCTGTCGCTGAGCTTGGCGACGATGGCGTATGCGCCAAAGGTAGCGGCCTGGGTAAGACTGACGTTTGCGTTTCCTATACAAAGATATGAGAGGTGAGTCGGTGCTGAAGTGGAAGACTTGAAAGGGGTAGGCTAAGTTGTCGACTTACCGACTGTGTTGGCCCATACTGTCATCCATCGGTAGCGTTTGCCAACCCTGAGGTCGTTGTCGCGCTTCTCCTCGAGGAGGTCAGTGAAACGCTCAGAGTATCCCAGCATCTTGACGGCCTTTATAGAACCGAGCACTTCAGATGTGAAGTTGATGCGATCCTGCGTTGCTTTCTGATAGACGGTCTGGCGCTTGACAAGCACCTTTCCAATGAACCAACACAATGCAAGAGAGACTGCAGAATATGAGTATCAGAAGAGTGATCCCAGTAGGGGAGGAATGCGTCAAGCACCTACTTATGGCCATGGCAATGGGGGCGACAAAGACGAGTCCTAGTTGTGCGTATAGCATCCATATGGCGATTCCGACGGTAAGTGAGTTTGCCCACGCTTCGATCAGCAGAGCATTTGCGCGCTCGGCGAGAGTCTCAATGTCGTTGCCCATGAGCGTGAGGGCAGCAGATTCGTTGAGCTCGCTTGCCGAGAGCCTCAACATCTTGCGGTAGATGAGGCCGATTAAGCCGCCACGAATCATGGCGTTGACTCGAAAGGTGAGATGCTCATACCATGCCGTCAGGATCTAGTTCTCACGAGTTAGCCATGAAAGGGACACAGAGAGTGTCATAATCTTGAGAGTAACGTACAGCGGAACCGACAAAGACAAAGGCAAAAGCGCCAATCAGGCCATAGCCGATATTGTCAGAATGTTCGTCTTTGGGCATCGCGAGAAATCGCAGTGCTTGAGACACGAGGAAAGGCTGCGCAAGAGTCAAGGCAATGGTAGCCAGGCGAGGGAACACTATGCCCACGAGTTCGAGCTTGAGGATCCAGACGGTGTTGAGAAAGAGGGACGCCTTCTGTCCGTCGCAAGTCACTAGCCAGAGTCAGTTCTATGCATGAAATGGAACAAGTGGGATAACCCTCTTTATCATGACATACCCTTGTCCCATCGCTTTGTGAAGATGACGGCCAGCTTCTCGGAGGAGAGCTTCTCGTAAATGGCGGGAAGGTCGTGAAGGGTCAAGACGGTGGCCCAGCCAGAGATGAGCAGCGAGTTGAGCCAGAGGAAGAAGCCGCGGCTAAAGGGCCCGCTGGTGCTCTCCCTCGACTGCTCCTTGCTCGAGTCCAGCAGGATGCGCCTCTTTTCGACGTTTTCCAGCACCAGCAAGGCCAGCTTCAAGATGGTCGACGTCGATAACACTGCCGCGTAGGCGACATTCACAGAGAGGAGCCATTCTGTCCGCAGCCGAGCGGCGTCGAAGAGGAGCGATGTGAAGAGGTACGAGGTAAGCAGAAAGGACGGCCGGATGGACTTGACGTGTTCAATATGTGAGAGCAGGACGATGCAGCAGGCGGCGATGAGGTTGAGGATGGCGGCGGCGAGGGAGAATCTGGTGTTGAGGTGTCGGGAGGAGGCGACGAGGGCGAGGGAGCCGACCTGGATGCCTGCATAGGCACTTGATGCGATCTATGGATGCTGTCAGACATTGTCTGCTATTGCTAGATATGATGAGGCCAAAACCGGGGGTTGGTAGAGACGGACGAGTTTCGGGGTGTAGGCTGATCGACGCTTCGCCTTGTCGGGAGTCCGGAGGAGGTAGATGGCTCTCGGGATGGAGAAGAGGAGGAACAGAGCGGAGGGCAGCGTAGACAGGATGCTCTCCTCGAATGAGACTGTTCGAGAACTCAATGTTAGACCGACTGTCTATAGCGAAAGATGATCCTATAATAGTTGTTGGACGGAGATCGCACGTGTAAAGTCAAAGCCACCCCGACAGCCATCGGCCCAGACCGCCGGGCCGAAGAAGCCATCACCACACGCCGTGGCGTTGTAAGACCGGTGGCGTATCATTATGCAAACAAGTTTGTGTAAATAAAAAAACAATGTCACAATGATGATGGTAATTCCATGCCGCACAACTCGACAAGTTTCAATGCCGTAGGGCTGAAGACAAATTTAAGGTGTTTCAAGGTTGAATCAAGGAGAAAGCATTGCAGTCTTATAACGGAGAGAATGACTAGTATTCGAGAACCCTTTTTAAGCATGAATTAAGTATCATGCTACATCCCATTGGGATTGATACGTCAAATTCGAAAGACGCTGCGCATTTCGCCGCCTAAGAATGTCGAATCCCGACTACTAACAAAAGATCCCAATCAACAAGCGGAGCATCTCGCAATCAAGGCGCTGACGACTGTTGCGGCAATCGTACCCGTTGAGCTAGTAGTCGATCGAGTCATAACGCTGAACGCGATCCTTCCAGCACCAAATAGCGGTACCCGAGAGGCGTGGGCTGTTCATATTAGTCTCGATGCTCGGCCTGTGACTCTTTGGGAGTTTCGGTTCGTTGCTCCGGTTCTAGTAGTAGCATCATCCTTAGCATCATCCTTAGCAATCCAAAGCTGCGGGAGGGGGAGAAGATGCGCCATCCGGAGCCCCTGTGAAAAAAGCTTGTTTCCAAGGTTGATTCGTGCGAGAGCTCGTCAGAGGCCGCGTGATTGCTGCGCGGCCTTGGGCATAGCTGACGGGTTCGCTTGGCGAGTCTGCAAGAGACGCGCACTCCTTGTAATAGTACTATGTAAGTATGTATGTAAGTGAGTTGGCCGACCCCGGTTTAGGCAGGCAAGGCAGGCTAAGCAGGGGGTTGGGGGGTTTCTCAAGCCTTGGGTTGTGGTTGTATTATGCCCAATAATGACAGAATGATGCTTCATCATGGGCCACTTGATATACGCCTTTCTGTTTGAATATGTGCTGTGTATTGTGGTGCTTCACTTGCAGTTGAGCGGATATGCTATGAACCTAATCATCATGAGGATTCATCGGCTCCATCTCGTCATTCTCGTCATCAGCCAAAGTCTTCTTGGCCGGCGGCGGACGCACAAACAGCAGTCCAATCCAAGTAATCATGGACAACAGCGCAATGTAGAACCACGGCAAGCCAGTCCAAACGCCCTTCCTCTGCAGTCCAACATCAAAGCACCACGCCAGCACCGGCCCCCCAATGAATGAACCAACAATCTCGCTTGTGCTGACCAGAGCATACAGCCTGGACACGAACTCGGGCTCGACGTAGTGCGTGACTGTGGCTCGAGCCAAGGGACTTGCAGCCGCGCCAAACGTTTCGACAAAAAGACCAATGATGAACAAGACGACGTTGTGGCTGAAGCCCTCAATGACCGCACCAATAAACAGCAGGATCGTGGAGTAGCGGGTCAGTAATAGGTCCTTGCCGAAGGAAGAGTAGCCGAACCGGCGGGACATGAGCATCTCCGAGATCTTGGGCAGGGTGGCCAGCACGGTGAGGTTGAGGACGCCAAAGGGGGCAAGGAGGAAGCTTGTCTCGGCGAGACGCCATCCAAAGTGCTTGCTGACGTATTGAATGATTGTGCTGGTGTATGCTGTAAATCGTGCGGCCTGGAACAAGAAGGTGAGGAGGGCCAGAGGGATGCTGGGGTTCTTCAACAGGCCCAGCGCCGCTCTGAAGTCAGCCAGGCTGTTGGATAGTTGCTGCTTGAGGGCTTTGAGGGACACGTCGGTGTCGCCCCTCTTTGTCTTCTTGTCGATGGGGAGCGTCTCCGGGATGAAGCAGAAGAGGAGAAGGATGAGAGGGTAGATGGACCACCCGACAAAGACGGGTATCCAGGGGCCAAGCCTCTCCATCAGGAAACCGGTGAGGAGCGGACCAGCCAGGCCTCCGGCGGTAGCACCAAACGTAAGCTGAAGAAAGCTGGCAGCCCTATAATAGTAATCCACAGTCAGTCATTTTGCAACCATAGCCATCGTAGGAGATAATCCAAGTTCTCTCACTTGTCCTTTTCAGAGCTGACGTCGGCAGCCATGGCATAGAGCATGGACAGCACAACTGGGGTACCTCCACCGACCACGAGAAGCAGCGAGGTGACCATGAGCAAGTAAGGGTTCTTGCGGAGAGCATGTTGCGCGACTCGGAGCATCAGCGGGCCAGAGACGGCTGCCAGGCCCATGCCTGCATAGGCGAGCAGGATCGTCGGCTTGCGGCCAACCTTGTCGGCGAGCATGCCGTACGGAAACGTGGTGAGCAGGCCTAACGACATGTATATAGGTATGTATGAGTGAGAAAAAGAACCTCTCGCCAAGGACATTCAATGTTATTTCAGTAGGTATGCAAAGAAAAGATGACAACGCACTCATGATGGAGTTGAACAGCCCCAGCCAGCCAAGCAGATACGCCATCCGCGCCTGGACCTCGTCCGTCTTGCACTTCATCTCGTCAATCATTTCCAGGGAGTCGTCTCCGTAATAGACGTGGCAGACGGTATCCTCGATGAGGCGGTAGATGGGGATCATCAACAGCATGCCGCTGCCAATGATCAGAAACTCCAGAAACGCGATTAGCCTCACTGCCGTCTTGGGCGATTTCACCTGCCATCGCGCGGCCTGGAGAGTGGGAGGAGGCGCAGCCGCATCATGAGGGCGGTCCGAGTCGTCGTGTTGGCGCTCGCTGTCGGCTAGAAGAGGCGCGTCGGCGGGGATATCGAGCAGAACTTCTGCCATTGTGGAGATGTGAGTGTACAGTTGGTGTTGATCTATGTTACATCAGATAATAGACAAGGGAACATGGTAGAAAAAAAAGAGAGCAACGACAAGTCTTTGGAGTTGAGCACGGGGAGCAGGGGCCGAGTGAAAAAAATGGGGGCGATTGATAACCTTGGAAAGCGGATATAGACAGACTAGGCCTCCGGCTGTCCGTCTTTGTGAGGATCATGATCCCTGCTCGGCTAGGTACTACTACTGCTTTAGGGCACTATAATAACGATCAATAGCTGAGATGGAATCAGCCCTCTGTGGGAGAGGATCGTGGCAACAGAGATCCTTTTTACTCATTAGCCTAAACTAACATGGCCATCTCGGTTTGTGCACCCGAGACTGGGCTCAACTGCTGGGCTACTATACTTACATGTGCATATATACCTATGCAGCCCGCTGTGATTCCAGAAGATCCCTAAGGGCTCATGAGCATTTCCAGGACGATTAAAGATACTGGAGAATGATGGATTGGACTGTTGAGTGAGATAGACCAGTCGATTTGTGCAACAGTGAGCCGCTCACTAAGCCATCAGTCTTCACAATGGAGGGCCATTTCATCATTGCGATTCCTAGCATCATAAACCCCACTCAGCGCCGGCTCATCACAGCCAACCTCTCACTACCTATCGATATTCAGTCAACCTCCCAAATCTTCACCATAACCTTCATATCTCTCTCGTGCAATTGCAAACGCATAACTTGAGAGATCTGCCAAAAACCAGAACACTCCCACAATAGAATCATCGTCCCTCACCATGGCCTCTCTGCGAATCGGATTCGTGCCCGAGCACTTTTCTACCCCGCTGCACTTTGCCCAGAAGCACTTTGGCCTCGATGCCACGCTGGTCCCCTTTCCCTCAGGCACCGGCCACATGATTACGGCTCTGCGGGCAGACGAGATTGACATCGGCATTGGCCTGACAGAGGCGTGGATCGCCGGGCTGGGAAAGGAGGGCGTTGAGGGCGATGGCGGATATCGCCTGGTGGGCACCTACGTCGAGACGCCTCTATGTGAGTCTTCTTATCTTCTCAAGATACATCACCACGTATCTATGCCACGTCAAGAGGACCATTCTGACCCAAGCATGCCATAGGCTGGGCCATCTCCACGGGCGCCAAACGTCCCGAAATCACCTCCGTCGACTCCCTCAGGGGCGGCAAGATCGGCGTCTCCCGCATCGGCTCCGGCAGCTACGTGATGGGCTACGTCCTGGCCGACCACAACGGCTGGCTGACCCCCGGCACGGAGCCCTACTCCGACACCGTCGTGCTCAACACGTTTGAGAACCTGCGCAACGCCGTCAACTCGGGCGCGGCCGACTTCTTCATGTGGGAGCACTTTACGTCCAAGAGGTTCTACGACTCCGGCGAGATCCGGCGCGTGGGCGAGATTTACACGCCGTGGAGCAGCTGGAAGATTGTGGCCTCGACCAAGCTTGCGGCTCCTGGGGGAAGCGTGGATGCGCGGGTCAAGGACTTGTTTGAGAAGCTGGATAAGGGGGTTGCTCACTTTAATGCGAACCCGGAGGAGGCGGTGCAGTACATCTCGGCGAACTTGGATTACTCGGCTGAGGATGCGAGGGAGTGGCTCAAGACTGTGAGGTTTCCGGCGAAGACGGAGGGCGTCAAGCCCGAGGTCGTGTCGGGATGCGTTTCGATTCTGAGAAAGGCTGGAGTGCTGGCTGAGGGTAAGGGCATGGACTCCAACGAGATGATTGTGTGAGCATCTAATCGGGCCTTAGAGGGAAAAGAAAAACAAAAGACAAGCAGTGAATGAAGCAACTTTGTGAAAACTTATCTGGAGATGGTCAAGTTGCCTTAATATGCTGACTACCTAGTAGCTTGCTTATACCTCCCTCTCTGGCATCTGCGACCGGCAAGTCTACCGCAAACCCCCTTTCACTATGGCATCTGTCTGTTGCCTGTGCAACAGTTCCTTCCTACTGCTCAGCGAGTACATCTGCCGACATGATTCAGACGCTGGGCTATACGAGATGCTGAATCATGTGAGCTTCACCATGTCAGCGATATTGCGTGACATCTCCTGCACCGATGCTCCTACTTCCCTCTTTACAGCGTCACCTCTCTTTATGATTATCTGAGTCCCTCGATTGGATTTATCCATCATTTTGTCTTTGCGTCTCTTTTTATATCTTCTTCTCTCCCGCTAGCCACCGATGGAACCACCATACGGCGCCGCAGTCGTGGCTCTCTCTCTACCCGAGCTCGTCAGCGAGATACTGGCGTTTTACTTCAACGCCAGAGACTGGAGAAGACCACGAGACAACCTGAACTACGCCGCAGCCATCCGCGTAAACAGTCTATGGTTCGACTGCGGCATCGAGCATCTGTGGGCAATCCCCGATGCCTTCATCTACCTCCGAATTGTGGCTCCGGAGCGGCGGCAAATATACGCCTCCAGGATCAAATACATGAGCGTGTGGTACGCAAGCGAACAAAGACAGATTTACGCGTTCCATGACCTTGACTTCCGCCGGTTGAAGCATTTCACAGCGACGGTCCCCTCGTTGACGTCCTTGGACGTACATGAGATGAGGCACATCTTCGTCCAGTCCCTGCAAACATTCGAAATCAACGGACCTCATGTCTCTACCGATATACTTGGCTTACTGCAAGATGGCTGTCCGAATCTCAAGTGTGTCCGGTTCTATACGTACGAGCATCCAGCCACCACTGCTCCATTTACAGAGTTTATACGAAACATGCCGTGTTTGAAAATATTCGCGTTTGATACGTCTGGGACTTTGGCTGCGTCTGATCGTTCAATCGATGGGGATTTCCTATTGAGCTTGGCGCGCAGTAACGAATTGACCATATTGCAAGTTCCGTGGGAATGGTCAATGGATGCCGCGAGATTTGCATCGAGACGACTTGCAGACCTCGAATCGTACAGCAATGTCAGGCCCTTCCCTTCGCTCGTGGATCTCGACCTCTCTGCCCCATCAAACGCCATACAAACGCTCGCTCCGATGCTGAGAAACCTCAGCCACCTCCATTTGACAGTCAAGACTGCAGATGCCGATCCGATAAAGCCTCTCCGGGAGCTGATCAACCTGAAATCCCTGGAAGTGACATTCAGATATGCCACGGACATTCCGGGAGCCTCATTTACTGGACTTGCAACGCTGACAAAGCTTGAGTGCCTGAAGCTGAAGCCCCTGCACCCCGTGTTGGCCAAGGTGACGTCTTGCTTCTCAGATGTAGACCTCGAGCTGGTTGCCCCCTGCTGGCCGCATCTCCGCACCCTTTCGTTCGGCGTCAGGTGTGTAATCTCGGCCAGGGGTTTTCGATCTCTTGCGTTTCACTGTCGGAAACTGCGCCGATGGGAGATATCCGGGCCACTGAAAGTTGATGAGCTGCTGCCAGACGGGTTCGCCGGGGCTGCGTTGTTTCCAGAGCTGGAGTACCTGCGGTTCGACGGGTTTGCAGGCGTAATATACGACAGAAACAGGTTCGTCTCCATACAGGCATCAACGATTTGATGTTTTGAGAAGACTACTGACGTGCTTGTTAGCAGTTGGGTAGGTCCTGTATACTTTCAATGCTTGCTGGGGTATCATTTCCCTCAGCTCCGGGAGCTCGTCACTCCGCACTGTCGCATGCGGCTGGACGAGCATGCCTTTACGGAGGCAATGCTATAGGAAGCGAGGCATCGTTATGGTATATTTCTGGATGATCCTGACCCCATGTTTGGGATGAGCTAGATGGAGGATGGCTTGTTGAGCGGTTTACATGTCTACAAACCTCCATCTGGTTGCATGTATAAGGTATGCTTTCTAAGCGTTTGCTGCATAATTGCAGCTTCTGGACATATGCCGACAGCGGTTGAGAACTTGTCAGTTATTCTTTAGCAATTATCAATCAGGCTCGTCTATTTTTCGATTTGGATACTCGAGCATTGACATGGTTCAATCAATGCAGCTCAACTCCTTTCTATGGGGCGGAAAGTCCCGAGGCTGGTCTGACGTCAACACGCCCGGCAGTTTCCAGGGTAATGACTTGCGATATCCGGAGCTCTGTCGACCTCTTTGCTCTACTGTATCATGTGCATCAGACAAGTCAGAGAATATTACCCTCCAGGCTGTACATGCCGTCTCTAGTCGAGATGAGGTAACACTGCTTTGATAATCTTGCCATTCCAAGCATCCTCAAAGCACCATCTTGTACATACTGTATGCAAGTCGTCCTTTACCGAGGATCAAGAAAGTCGCCATGTCGTCAGAAGTGACATACACGGCTGATTACAGCCCATCAACGGCAGATACCGACTTAAGCCTTGGCTCGCCACCTACCCCAGACGCCTGCTTATACAAGCGACACGGAACTTGCAGCTTTCGATGTAACCCGCCTGCAACAACCGGCCCGCGTCGGACCAGTCAGCCAAGCTTCTTTTTTGACGTGTCTCTCTCTCTCTCTGTCTCTCTGAAGCCGGGCATCGCGCAGGAGTGCCCGGCCCAAAGTCAATCCAGTGATGGCGCTTCTAGCGGACCGTCGCCCGATGCATGCGAGAGGAGCTGGCCAGTCTGCAGCTCGGGATGTTCCAGAAGGCTTGGGAGGCTTTTGCTTTTGGATAGGGCTTCTTGGCTGACTTGATGGGAAGGGGCTGACTTATTGCAAAAAAAAAAACAGGATGGGCTTGAATGATGTATTGGCGATCTGGGGAGGGGTTGATGGGTATATAAGTCGGGGGAAGACGAGCTGTTGAGGGAAGTTGCCATTCCAGAATTCAGACACAATTCGGATATACTACAACCAGGGTTACTGAGGACAACAATCAGTTCTTGACATCAATTGATACTCATCACCATTCACAAGTTTCCCATTATTACACATTCACAGCCACTATGCCGTCCTTCACCGTCTACACCGGATCCGAGAACGGCCATGTCAAGCCCAGCATCACCACCAAGCCCGATCAGCTCACCGGCGATCAAGTCTTTCTACGAGTGACTGCGTCTGGAATGTGCTTTACAGATGTGCACTATGTAAGTCATCATCCAATATCACCCGACAATTTCATCCCTCTCACTCCTTCTTACCAGCAGCTGCTGACCTGGAACCCTCCTCACAGAAACACGGACCCAACGCCCTCGGCCACGAAGGCATCGGCATCGTCGAAGAGACCGGCCCGGAGACCACATACCTCAAGAAGGGCGACCGCGTAGGCTGGGGCTACCAGACGGGCAGCTGCGGCCACTGCCTGGAATGCCTGCAGGGCCAAGAAATCTACTGCAAGGAGCGAAGCATCTACGGCTCGGGCAACACCGACCAGGGCAGCTTTTCGTCCCACGCCGTGATGCGCGAGGCCTTTCTGCATCCCATCCCCGACGACATGAGCGACGAGCTGGCTGCCCCCTTGCAGTGCGCTGGCGCAACGGTGTTTACGCCCCTGCACGACGTCGACTCGAACGACACGGTGGGCATCATGGGTGTTGGTGGACTTGGTCACATTGCGATCCAGTTTGCGGCCAAGCTCGGCTGCCGCGTCGTCGTTCTCTCGGGGTCTGATAGGAAGAAGGACGACGCCTTCAAGCTCGGCGCCCACAAGTTCGTCGCCATGAACAGCAGCAACCCGGAGGAGCAGCTCGGTGGCTGGACCATCTCTCGTCTCCTGGTGACGACGTCCGCGCAGCCCTCGTGGGACAAGGTGCTGCCTCTCTTGTCGACTCGCGCGCGCATCTATCCGCTGTCAGTGTCCGAGGACAACTTTGAGATCCCGTACATGCCCATCATCATGAGCGGCTTCACGATCCACGGGAGCCTTGTGGCGACGCGGGCTGTGCACCGCAAGATGTTGGAGTTTGCGGCCTTTCACAAGATTGCGCCTGTGATTGAGAGGTTTGACATGTCCGAGGAGGGCATCAACCAGGCGTTTGAGAGGCTTGAGCAGGGCAAGGTGCAGTATAGGGTTGTTTTGCTGCCTTTGAAGCAGTGAGGTATGTATGGGGTTGATGAGTGGTGCGCATAGCGAAGGGTGATTTGGGTTGTTTGATTGTTGGTCTTTTCTTTACTGATAATGGAGAAGTTTATTCATAGTTTGTTCTCATTGATTGTGTATTCTTATATTTCACTACTCCTGCAGGTGATGAATCCACTGATGAGAGCTGATACTAGATGTCTATCGTCAGGTTTTGGCACGCTCCATGTGGTCTAGGGATACTTACTCCATGATATCATGGTCCAGTCAGCTCATAGCTGCCTTTTTTGGATTGTAAGACATTGCTGCTTTCTGCTTTCTTACCGCTGCCAAAATGCGCAATATAGCCTCTGGAGCATCAGATGTAAGAAAGACAGTGTAAGTCATGGCTTAGTTAGTCGGCACGTCTTCTCTGAAACTCCCACGGTCATGGCAATTCAAGCTCTAGTTTCTCATGGCCATATGAAGCTACAGCGGAATCGCTACATGATAAACCAGAAAACTGGAATTTCTCAGTCTCATCTGTCCTCGACCAAGTCAAGTCAAATCCCGTGAGCTCAAGACAGTTTCAGTCGTTACGACAGAGAATCCAGAGCTGACCCCGGTAACCTCGGCTATATCGTCTAAGCCCACTTATACCAAGCTGCTCAATCACACGACACCACAATCTCCGCTCGAATCAACCGTCTCCAAACGCCTTCCTGACGCTTATCTCGCTTGGCTCGAGCAGTCGAGTAAAGAGGAACCACCATCCCTCGAAGAACCATGAGCGAGGTCAAGAGACGCACCCGCACCGGCTGCCTCACGTGTCGTGCCAGGCGCGTCAAATGCGACGAGCAGAAGCCCGCCTGCAACCGCTGCGTCAACGCCAACATCGAGTGCGCGGGATACGCGCCCAAGCGGCACATCGACGTGCGCCTCCCCGGCCAGCGGGCGTCTCTTGCACAGTCTCAAGCGCAGCAGTCCCAGCGAGGTTCGCCTGTAGCAGCGAATGCCAACGATGCCGAGGTGCGCTCTCCGCCACGACGACGACAACGACGACTGGTTCCTCCGGGCCCCGTGCCGAGCAGCAGCCCGCCGTCCGTCCCGGCCGCTTCTTCTTCTTCTTCTTCTCCTCCTCTGGCCGCGGATGACGCCGCCGCCGCCGCTTCTTCTTCTTCTGTGCCACTGCCCCGGCCCCAGTTCCGCCACGATGGCCTCCCGCTGGTCGGCCTGCCCAGCAACCCGCGGCTGTCTCAGCGGCCGTGCGCGGCAGCCCGCGAGGTCCTGGCTTACCACCAGGTCTTCTTCCGCACGCTGCCGCTGCTGTTCCCGGCGAACCACTTGCCCTTCTGGAGGGACCGGCTCTGCGACGAAGCCTGGTGCGTCGAGTATGCTCAGCGCGGGCTGCTTGCTCTGGGCTGCATGCACCGAGCTGCTCTCATGACTTCCATGTATGGCGAATACGACCAGGCGCGGGGGCTGGACGCCAAGGTCATTGCCGTTCAGGAGTACACGCAGGCGCTGCAGGAACTGTCGAGCCATCTCAAGGAGGCGGAAAAGGCTCCTGGGATCTTGTCGGCCGTCATGGTGCTCATGGCCTACTTTGAGGTGAGTAAGGAACTCTGAAGATGAAAAGTAAACCAGCAACTCCTTGAGGCATTGGCTCTAATAAGTGGATGAACGTCTCTGGGTATCATAGTGCTTTGCGAGCAACATCCCTGCCGCATATGGCCATGTCCGCACCGCCAAGTACTACTTGACGAGATACATGAGAACGTATCCGCCGTATTGTTCCAACCCTACCATGGAGGCTCTGGAGACGGCCTTACGAACTCTTGCATGGACCTGCTATTTGGCTGTGCCGCTTCCCGGCATGTTCCTCTTTGGAAATGGCCGAGAGTACAGTGACACGTTGATCGGGGCAAAGATACCCCTCTCACTGCAGCTCTTGGAGGACCTGGTAGAGTATGGCGTTTACGACGAGATATGGAACCTCACTCCAACCCAACAGGAACCATCCGCGCTGCTCAAGAATGTTTACCGGCTTCAAAAGGAGCTACGGTACCGGATCTCATATAATCTCGATCTCTATCCGCATTTAAAGACAGACACAGCAACTCTGGCAAGCCTTGAAGAGTCTGGAGAATGTCACTTTCCCATCCCCCCATCTCCTTTATTGCCATTGTCGCCAGAACTGTGCTACTCAGGGGCATTGTACAACTTCATCCTGGCTCGCATGTCGTGGATTCTCTGCCTGTATGACAAGAACCAAGATGCCAAGAAGCTGGAATCCGAAGCGTACATGTACTTTTACCAAACCATGCGGTTTGCGGCAACCTACGCCATAAACAACTCCAAGACTCTTCCGAACAACACGTATTCAACACACGTTTCTGTTACCAGCGAGGAGTTGGACAGGAGCCTCCTGCCAATGCTCTACATCACTGCCCAGTGCAGCGCCCAGCCGTCGTGGCTTCGCTGGATAGCGCAGTTGATGAAGCAGATTGGGGAGCAAGGGCTGTTCAACGGCTTCGTTCTGTCCGCCAGCCTCCAGGTCTTTCACAAAATGGAAGTGAGCCACAACATCATATCGACGGATGGCATCGAGCGATATCCGAACCCGGCGCTGCGCATCATCTCGACCCTCGTTCCAGAGACGAACGCCCAGGGCTTTGTGTGCTATTATGCGAAGCCTTCGAGAGTCAACAACGGCTGGACTAGTCGAGATACCGTTTCCTATCATCCTATTGCTCAGGCGCGGTTCTCTACTGAACTGGATGATGACCATGCGGCGAAGCGGGAGGTTGAGATGTATGATGAGCAGAGGTCCATGGAGGACCGGTTTACTTTAGAGTGGGTGCTGAGTCGTCCGGTGGCGAGCGGGTGGAAGAGCCGCTTTGGAGAGGTGGGATTCAGCCTTGATGATGTGCTTCGTGACCATATCAACGGTGGCCGCTTGTTGCCCATGGCTCAGTAGATACTAGGTAGGCCATGGGATGTTTGAAATGGACATTGGCCTTGATAGTTCATAGTCTACTGAGCCTTGCACGCTTGCTTCCAACTACCTTTTTGCGAGGGAAGGCCTCTTACTAGACCCCTCTCTTGGATGAGCCGGAGTACTACATCTGCGCTTCAACCGCCTGCCTAGGATATAAGAGCAGCATGGGGCTATCAGGCCCTCCACCTCTAAACTATTATCAACGAAAGACGACGTAGAAAGACGTCAATTATTTATGGAGGACGTTACGCACTCCACAATTGCTCCTGATGGCTTGCGTATCTCATCATTGTGCAGCCCGCACTATCGCTCAAGATATTCCCCTTTCAAGGTGCCATCCAGCGTTGAGCATTATCCGCCAGGAACCCTGACATCATCTGACATCGGATGCACTTCGTATCTACGAGTATTATCTTGAGTGACTCAGCTCAACTGCCGTGAAGATCTACCACTCGAGTCAATGTTATAAATCTTTACAGGATCTAAAGATCTGGCACTTACACGGATAGAAGGGGCTTACAAGACGATGGAGCATGAGCGTGAACAAGTACGGGCTCGCCATCTGTTCCCAGAAATGGAATCGCCTGAGAGGCTTTGCCCGATATGCCAACGGCGAGCGAGCTTCAAGCCGCATGCACCAATGGCGTTCAAGATGATTCGGGTAGCTGAACGGGCTGACGGAAAGCCGCCGGTACGTCACTGGCTTCACTTACACCAGACATCTCGGCCGAAAGCACATGGAAGGAGGCAATTGTATATAGAATTTTTGCAAGATGAACAAGTATAAAGGGAACAGGAGATTCCCGCTGGTAGCTGGATGTAGGAAACAAAAGAATCCCATATAATCAAGATTCTACTTGAGATCGCAGTCAAAGAAGATTGACTATTGCACTTCGACAATGAGGTCTACATCATATTCTGCGTCAAGCCGCCAGAACGGTGTGTATCACCCCAGCTGGCAAACATGTTGCAACTGATTATAATGATATTCAAAAGGCAACTGGCACCTGAATCATATTGAAGACCGCAACACTACATCCCAGCAGACGGTATACACCACCAGCAATGGAGCCCCAATGCCTCACCCGTTCGGTATGAACGATACCCAAAGTTCTTACACACATACCAGCTGATACTGACTTATCATCATACAGAAACACAGCGTGCTGGAGCAGACGGACCACTCCTCCTACAAGATTTCCACCTGATCGATCTCCTATCTCACTTTGACCGCGAAAGAATCCCCGAGCGAGTCGTCCACGCAAAGGGCGGCGGCGCCCACGGCTTCTACCGCACGACCAACCCGCTCGACGACCTCTGCCTCGCCGACATCTTCTCCGCCGAGGGCAAGGAATGCCCCGTCACCGTCCGCTTCTCAACCGTCGGCGGCGAGAGCGGCTCCCACGACCACGCCCGCGATCCGCGCGGCTTCTCCATCAAGTTCCGCACCCAAGAGGGCAACTGGGACCTCGTGCAGAACAACACGCCCGTCTTCTTCATCAGGGGCCCGGCCAAGTTCCCTCACCTGATCCATACCCAGAAGCGGCATCCCGCGAGCCACCTCGGCAGCGGCGACGACTCGACCATGTTCTGGGAGTACTTCTGCCAGAACCCCGAGTCCGTCCACCAAGTCATGTACACCTTTGGGGACCGCGGCATCCCCGACAGCTGGCGCCACATGCACGGCTACAGCGGCCACACGTTCAAGCTCGTCAACAAGCAAGGGTCATGGGTCTACTGCCAGATCCACGTCCGGTCGAAGCAAGGTATTGGCTTCCTGACCCAGGAAGAATCCACGAGGCGCTCTCCGGACGCCAACCAGAAGGATCTCTACCAGGCCATTGAGCGCGGCGACTTCCCGCAGTGGGATTTGTGCGTGCAGACCATGACCCCGACGCAGGCCGAGGAGCTGTGGGAGACGCAGAGGATCAACGTCTTTGACCTTACTCATTGCTGGCCGCAGGGACAGTTTTCGCTTCGCAAGGTTGGGGAGCTTTGCTTGAATGAGAATGTCAAGAATTACTTTGCAGAGATTGAGCAGATTGCCTTTAGCCCATCGCATCTGATTCCAGGTCAGTTTCAATATCTGCACAAAATTGCATCAGCTGGACGGCACGTCATCTTGGGCGAAAAACACTGAACTGACCTTGTTTGACCGAATCTTAGGAATCGAGCCTTCTGCCGATCCTGTCCTCCAAGGCCGCCTGTTCTCGTATCCCGATACGCATCGTCACCGTCTTGGAGCAAACTACCAGCAACTCCCCGTCAACGCCCCTCGCCCAGGCTATCACATGGCCAACTTCCAGCGAGACGGGCCCATGGCCTTCTACAACCAGGGTTCACGGCCAAACTACCTCTCGTCCATCGAGCCCATCTCTTTCAAAGAGCGCAAGACCAACCTGGACGAAACCCATGGTCACTTCGTGGGCAAGGCCGTTTCGTTTCTATCAGAGATTAGACCAGAGGACTACAACCAGCCGCGTGTTCTCTGGGAGAGGGTATTTGACGATGCCGCCAGGGAGAGATTCATTAACAATGTGGCGGGCCATATGAGCACTTGTACTGAAAAGGAGATTATCAGACGCCAGATTGGCATCTTTCGCGAGGTATCTGATGACTTGGCGACCAGACTGGAGAAGGCTACGGGCATCGAGGGGTATTCGGGCATTGGTGGGCTTGTTTTCAACGGTTGCCATAATGGAATGGCGAAGGATTCTGCTCTTCGAGCTGCGAACGGCCAGCCGAGGCTTCGCTTTGACGAGAGTAATGGGGCGCCTTTGGCTGGAACTCATGACTAGATGAGGTCAATGCCAGAAAGTCAGAGTGCGTACGTGTATCATCTGACACTGGAGTTGTGAAGCCAAAACCAGGTGGAGGTGATGTGAAGCGATCAGTTGATCAGGGCGCTCTGTTGGAGAGTCTGACGCTGCTTACCCGTCCATAAGACAAGCATCGGTATACTTCGTGTTGGTACATGTAGCTCATGAATGGCCCCTCAACGCTGTCTGCATGCACCTATGGATAATGCCAGCATCTGTGTAGTAGAGATGGCATCATTTCATGGCGATAAGCTGTGCTTTTGCACTCCGTGTTGGCACTTCCACTGTCTTACACGGCCCGAGACATAAGACGCCATGACCCTACCGTATTCGTTGTGCATGCATGTCTTGGGTGACAGATAGTAGATAACGATGCTCACTGATGTGCTTCTTGCCAATAGATTGATTTTTGACCCATTATCACCAGACAACAACCTCTGTATGACAGCTCGCTCTCGCGTCAAGAAAGATAAGGAGAGATCCACGTTTGAAAAAGAGTCAGACACCATATAATATTAATAGGTAGCGAGTGAGCAACTAAAAGACCCTAAGGCCGAAACTAGGCCTCGACTGACCCTCCACCTCGTCAGGCGGATTTTGTCCGTAAACTCGTCCATCTCATTCATCTCTCTCTCTCTCTCTCTTATGCGACAAAACCCGCAGTCCGGGCTGCGCAAACATAGGCACCGACTGATACCTGATCATTTTTCCGAAGCGCATCATTATCCATGGACACACACAGAATGCACGCGACCGCAGCATGACCGGAGCTTGATCACGGGCCCAGCAGTCGAGAGACAAGCGCAGAGCGAAGAGGCGCCGCTGCCGGTCGAAGCCGAGAATCCCCATAGACGACTAGACGATAGAGAGAAGAATACCATACATTCCGAAGCAAAAAAAAAAAAAGACACACAAAAAAGCGGTGATGCCTTCATCTGACGGCCTCGGCAGGAGACGGGCCTCGCACGGCGCTGTCAGTCTGGCGACGTCGGATGGCCGCGCGCCGGCCGTTGGCTTTCGAGAGGGCCTCGGCCTGGCGGGCATCGCGAGGAGGACGCTGGGGATATCCTTCCTGCTGCTGACCGTCTTCCTGTGGACGCTGTCCAACTTTCTCGCCAGCGTAAGGAGCACCTCCATTTGAACTTGGCATAGGTACTTGAGAGAGCCATGCGGGAAGCTGACGCTCAAGGGCTTGAACTTGTAGTTCATCTTCTCCGACGAAACCTACGACAAGCCCTTCTTCCTCGTCTACTTCAACACCTCCATGTTCGCCCTCTCCCTGATCCCCATGTTCATCCGATACCTCGCGCAGAGGGGCGTCCACGGGCTGCGGAGCGACGTCAGGCGCATGTGGGCGCAGCACCGGTTCCAAGACGCAGCAGCCAGTCCCCCGACGGACGAGGAGCACGATCGCCAAGCGCACGAGCGGCTGCTGGTGGACGAGCGAGACCCGGCGACAACAGCAATGACAGCACGAGCAGCAGCAATGACACATGCAGGCTGGAGTGCCGCCGCTACGGGAGAGAAGCTCGACTTCCGAGAGACGGCGGTGCTGAGCTTCGAGTTCTGCATGCTGTGGTTCATGGCCAACTACCTGGCGTCGGCATGCCTCGAGTACACGAGCGTCGCCAGCGTCACCATCCTCACCTCGACGAGCAGCGTCTGGACGCTCGTCTTTGGCTCCCTGTTTGGCGTCGAGACGTTTTCCCTGCGCAAGCTGGTCGGGGTCGTGGCGTCCCTGACGGGCATCGGCCTCATCTCCATGGTGGACCTGTCGGGCAAGAGTGACGAGAACAGGGGGTCGTTCCCGCACAAGACGCCCGCGCAGATTGCCCTCGGAGACACAATGGCCTTTCTGAGCGCCGTCGTCTACGGCATCTATGTCACGGTCATGAAGCGGCGGGTGGGCGACGAGGACAAGGTCAACATGCAGCTGTTCTTTGGGCTGGTGGGCCTGTTTAACCTTGCGCTGCTGTGGCCGCTCTTTTTCATTCTTCACTGGACGGGCATCGAGCCGGTAAGGACCAGAAAGAGCAATCCATCCCTTGGGAAGAACACAAATGCTGACGACAAGTTTCCAACAACCAGTTTGAGCTGCCGCCCACCAGCCAGATTTGGGCCATCATCATAGTATGTCAAGCCCCCCTCTCAATTCTCAAAGTCCTTCAACTCTTCTGCCGAGTTAGTCGACTCACTGACATTTGCGACAGATCAATGCCGTCGCGTCGTTTGTCAGCGACATCTCCTGGGCCCTGGCGATGCTCCTGACGACGCCGCTGGTCGTCACCGTGGGCCTGTCGCTGACCATCCCGCTGTCGCTCATTGGCGAGATGGTGCAGTACCAGCAGTACTCGAGCTTTGTCTACTGGATCGGGGCCGCCGTCGTCTTTGTCTCGTTTGTCTTTGTTAACCACGAGACGAAGGAGGAGGACACGGGCAAGGCGGCAACTGGCGCGACCGCTGTAGATGCCGACGATGAAGGCGTCGTGTATGGGACGCCCTGATGAAGCAAATGTAGCCCTGGATCTTATCCGGACATCCAAGTCTTTGTTTATATAATATTCCCTTTCTATGTAAAATGGATATCCAATGGCCTTATGAAGACTGTATTTATATTCTCGTCCTTTTTCCCCCCGACCTCATCGTCTTTGGCAGTAGATAGTTCCTGGCGCTAGCGCTACTGAGCTGATAAGGATCGCATTTCGCAGTTTGTCCATGATTCCGCATAACAAACTGGCAAATGCCCATTAATTCTACCTTAGTGTGACCCGCAATATCAACTCCGATGGAGCGCTTAAATCCCGATCGTGGCGAGTTGACGTTAATAAGAGAGAGAGAAAAGAAAAAATGCCCAGGCGGACTTTTGCTGCGACTCTCATGTTCAGAGAGCGTCTCCAGAGTTATTCGCGGCATCTGAGCAATTCTACAAGTACCCTTGCCTTGCTGTCTGGGGCTGAGAGACGTCCTTCAGTCATCTCATCTCATCTCGCCTCGCATGTAAGTCATGCTCGCGCACTGCCATCAACTGCTTGTGTATCACGTTGGATGTGCTCACACTCTTGCCTGGTTGCTTTACTCAGAGAATAAGAAGAGACCAGATACTACTACAGCCGCCGACCCCAAGACAGAGGAACAGACCTGGTCCAGCTGAGGAGAATTACCACATTCAGGGGCCCGTGACCGACAACCGGCCTTTCTCCTCCCCCCCTTGCAGCTCCAAAAGGCACGAGATCAAAGAACCGCGAGACACGGCCGCCGCAAGGCAAGCTTAGCAAGGCACAAGCCGTTGATTTGCGGTTCCGATCACATCATCTCATCCCATTTCCATGCCCTTTTGTGCTTGCTATCATATTCTCGGTGTACATTCATACATATATGCATGCATGCATACATCCATCCATCCACTCATTCTCCTGGATTTACCACTATCTGCACCAAGCTGCTTGCTTACACGGTTACACGCTCACGCAGCACAAGGGACAGCAAGGCAAGCAAGCAACCCTCCTTTGATGACGCAGAGCCTGCCAACGCTTCTTATCTGTCCCCATCCGTCTACTCCCTTGTGCTCTCGGAAAGAGCAAAGAGCAGGGTCCTCGGGAGCTGCTTGACGTCCTGAGGCCAGGGTCTAAGACAAGTGGTGCCTCCTGCCTAGCACCACCTTATTACGTGGGCATCACATGGTATGGACGCATTGTCTTTGGCTTCCTTTCCTCGCTCAACCGCTTCCCCGAGGCTGCCTCGTGTTGTTCTCCCCCCCTCTCTCTCTCTATTTGACCTGTTTCCTTCGCTGAACCATCTGTTTGGGAACATCACCCTTCTTTCTTATACCCTTCTTTACCTACTCGGCTCTCTCTGTGAGACGCTGTGTCGACAACTCGCAAGCATTGCCCCTACAGGATCTCACATATTCCCACTTCATCATAGCACCCTCTTTCGACTCTCCTCTCTGTTTTTTTCTCTCAAAGACGTCAACAACCATAATCTCACTCATCTCCCGCGCGGCCACATCTTCCCCCCCCCTTCACAATGTCCCCTCCCAACGCCGACGATGCTCCCTCAACCACCACCAAATCCCTCGCCGTCGACATCGTTGCCGCCACGAGGCCGATGCACACCAGGATCAACAAGCTGGTGACATCCAGAGTGCCGCTCGCTCTTCCTCCACGGTCCTCCGACCCCGGCGCATACATCAGCGGCCTGCTGCACATTCTGCCCGTGTACATGACGTTTGAGAAGCTGTGGCTGGATATCATCTCCAGTCCTTCCCCCGTTGAAGACGCGGCGGATGGTACACGCCTCGATGCAGAGAGCGGCGACGGGCCTGCACGGGTGAACGACAGCAAGGATGGGAACCTCGAGGTACCAGAACGCGTCCGCAAGATTCTCGTGGCTCTCTACATGCCCCAGCTCTTCCGTTCCGACCGCCTCCGAGGCGATATCAAATCCATGACGGGCTGGTCCGACGAAGTCCTCGATCGCCAGATCCAAGCCATTAAAGGAACCGGCCAACTATCCGCCAATCTCTCGCATATCAAGCAAGCCGTCCACGCAAAGCCGCACGTCCTCGTCGCCTACTCGTACAACCTCTTCATGGCCCTCTTCGCCGGCGGCCGCTATATCAGAGCGTCCTTTGAGAAAGCCGGCAACGAGTTTTGGCAAACTGTTCCCGAGCCCATCAAGCCGACAATGCAGCCCTGCCAGCCGAGGCCAGCTGCTGCTGCTGCTGCTGCTGCTGCTGCTTCAGTTGCGCCCTTTTCTCCGCTGGAGCTGACGGGCGATGATGGCCTCGGCACACAGCATTCTTCTCACGCCTCGTCGTCTTGTGATGAGTTTTTGCAGTTTTGGCACTTTGATTCACCAGAGGACGGCGAGGATTTTAAGCGAGACTATAAGGAGAGATTGCTCACATGGGAGGACACGCTGACTGCTGACGAGAGGGAGGATATCCTGCAAGAGTCTATCATCATCCTAGAGAGCATCGGCCATATTGTCGGTCAGCTGGACGAGGTCTACTCAGACGAGCACGGAGAGAAGGACAACCTTCAGATGCCCAGGAGACCGTCCTTTGCTAGCCACTTCATGCAGGCCCAGTTCGTGGCTCGTCTGCGTGACAGCTTCTTGATTGCCAGAGACAGGGGCGTCGGGAATCCGTTCCGGACTCGATCGGTTGACACGGAGGCAAGTGGAAGGGAGGAGCAAGGGGGCGAGGAGGATGACAACAATCAACACGATGCCGTCACTGGCGCCTCCAAGTCTATCAGATTTGCAAAGACGCTGCCGACACCTCGTCGCAACAAGGGCCGAGACGCCGTAATAGAGGAGGATGGCAAGTTGCGTGGAGGGTTGCCAATGCACATCGTCGATGCTATGGCAGCGAGGCCGATTTTCGCGTGGATTGTCGGCTTGTTGATACTGTATGTGGTTGTTCGCGTCAGGGGCATTGTGAGCGCTTAGTGGGACAGCAGCAGCACCGTTGAGTGAGCGATGAAGCATACAGGCACACGCATGGGATACATCAGACGTATATCGGCGCAGGCCCTTTCGGAAGACGTGCATTTCTGTGATGAAGATGATGATTATGATGGCTCCTTAAGAGACAGACAGACCTAGATACTTGGATACCAGCACTTACTTATGAGAATAACCATTACCTACTTACAATTGTTGACTTTCATCATGGCGTTCATCCTTTGATGTTGTCGAATCTGTTTCATTTCTGCTTTGTCTTACATGTAATAGTTCGACCATCAAGGCTCAAAGACAGGTGCCTCTATGCTTGGCTATGCCCACAGCTAACCCTACAAACGCCACGGCTATGCTTCCAACAATGTTTCCGAAAGACGAGCAAAAAAAAAAAAAAAAGAAAATGCAAAACACTCCCTCTTCCTCCCTTTTTCTCAAACACACAGCGTACATGGCTCAAGAAACGCTTTTCGTACAATGCTTGCTCGTACACTACATGCCCATGTGGCTGATTTTTCCCCCCAGAGACACAAAAAAAAGCAAAAAGGGAAAAAAAAAAAAAAAAGCAGTGGAATCAAAGAGAGACCCACGCCAGGAGACAGAAAGAGGGCTCAAACATGAATGGATCGTCTCATACCTCGGTATTCCTCATTTTCATATACTCATCATCACTCCTCTTGTTCCTTTTTTCCCCTTTCTCTCTTTTTTGGCTCAGTTATTCTTCTTTCTTTCTTGTTTTTTTCTGTATTTCTTTATTGTACTTCTGTCGTTTATTCGTCGTCATCGTCAGGGGTATCCCAATCATCCCCCACGTCAGCCCAGCCAGCCAAGTGTCGCTCGCCGCCAAACTCGCCCACCTGCCGCAAATACCGCGCGCGAGCCTCGTCCTGCTGCCACTGCCGAACAATGTAGTCGTCAGAGGCAGTCACGAGCTTGCCGTCGTGGGACCAGCTGAGGGTGGTGACCTCGCGGCTGTGGCCGCGGATGAGGGGCGTGCCGAGGCGCGAGATAGGGATCAGGGGCGTGGCGGACGATCCAAACGCAGACGGCGTGGAGATGCTCTGCGACGGGGTGGCAAAGGACGGCTCGGGAGCCATGTGGGAGCGTTTGGCCCAGGCGCTGCGGATATATCGTTCGTCTGTCGGGAAGAGGAGGGCGCATCCGTCGGTGCTGCCCACGGCGAGGAGCTCCGAGGAGCCGTTGATGCCGGGCCGGATGTCGCACTTGACGTAGAAGGACTGGGCGCGGAAGAGCTCGTGCTTGAAGCCGTACATGGGCCCCAGGCCATGGGCGCCGTTGGGCCTGCGCTTGGTGGCTCCGTCCTCAAGCTCCGGCGCGTGGCCTAGCATCAGGTGGCTCGTAGAGTAGGCGTAGACGGTGCTGTCCTTGCAGACAGCGTAGAGGCGGGCGGCGTCGGAGCTGAGGGCCAGGGAGGTGATGCCGTAGGAGCGCCACGTGTGGCCTCGTGGCTCCTGAGTCACGGCGAGAGGCGTCTCCTCGGCCTGCCGCCGAGGCTTGATATATCGTGTGTCCCAGAGCTTGATGGAAGCATTGGCCTCGGAGGCAGAGAGCAGGAGGTGCTCGCGGCCCGGAGGCATCCAATGGATAGCTGTGACAGACGCTGACGAAGTATTGCCCTGCACCGTGCGCTCGTGGGCATTGTCAATAGTGTTTACGCCCTTGGCCTGAAGGGGCTCGAGGGAGGTGTCGCGCTGGCCGATGCCGCTGGGGCATGAAAAGCTGTTGACGGGTGATGAGGAGCATCGCAGGTCCCAAATCTGAATACGACCAGCCCGGTCGGACGAAGCAATGACGTTGCCGGCTGCCTCGCCAGGCTGAAATGCAACCTGCCGCAGTGAGTCCCAGTGGCCGCCTCCAAGCTCGGCAGCGACCGTCTGCGTTGGAACGTCGAGAATCCGGCCGCTGCGGTCACCACACGCCGTCGCCAGGCGCATATCATCTTGTGAGAACGCCAAATCCATAATTGCGTTGTCGTGAACGGAGATGTATACGTCGACCTTTGAGTCGTCCAGGTCATCATTCAAGGTGGTGTTGAAGAGACGAACGCATCCCTGCTCATCACCAATGGCTGTGACTGAAGCCTTGTGGCAGCTGGCCAGACTGAATGGAATCGTATTACCGCCTCCGGTGGAGGAGACACAGTGGTGAAGATCGTTGCTCCGGCTGTAGAATGAGGACGTTTCGACCCTCGGGTCACAGGCCGGGTGGCTCAGGTGCTGTCTGCCGTGGTGTAAAGAGAAGCCATGCTCACGATCAAGAAGGTGAGACTCAAACCCACGGTCCCGGAACTTGCGCACGGGCTTGGGCTGATATCCCTCCAGCTGCTGTAGCATAAAGTAAGTAGCGATTCATAATTGAGAACACAAGGTGAGCATACCAAGGGGGCTTTTGGATCCGCGGCAAATAGCCTCTGTGGAGTGAGTCCCGACTTTTCTTGCCCACGGGAACCACTGCGGCTGGCCTTGAAGAAGAGATTCTTGGAGCTTGTTAGCATGTGACACATGTTTCCCTCCATGTGGTATATCCTGAATTTACCAATGTCGCTTTCCGCCTGTCCCCCAAGCTTTCAAGAGTCTCCTTTGCCTTGGCGCCATCCTCGGACAAGCCCTCGGTCATGGTCAGATCCTCCTCGATAATGGTGCCATTGATTAGACCCTGGAGGCCGTACTGCGAATCGCCCGCGATTCTCCTCCTCTTTGCACTCTCTGCCCGCGTCTCCCCCAACAGCCTCTTGTGCTCTCCGCTGACGCCCAGCCGCTCGCTGGGAGAGGGCGGACACAGCGGATCCGAGCTCAGCGGATCGCTAAGAAAGGACATGGGCGAAGCCAGCTGGCGATTGTTGACAGAGGCGCCATCCAGCATGCCCAGGACTGAGCGTCCGCTGGGCAGAGACGACCGGGGCGTAAAGAAGCGGCCGAACCTACGCGGCGTCACCGAAGGGTTTCGTCGTTCCTTGCGCCGCGTCGACCGGATGGGCGACAGCAGCAGGCTGGAGCTGGCTGGAGAAGAGACAATGGCGGGCGGGCTCGAGGGGACGGCATCAGATGCGGTAGACGGGCCATAATGATAATGCACCATGTTGCTCGGGCGGGCGAAGAATTATGGGAGACGACGATGCCTTTGTCCCTGGGCTGAGGCAAAGACGAACACGAACAAGGACAAGGACGCGGGCGAGAGGTGACTGGCGACGGATGACGATGACGAGATGCAAGAGGGCCCTTAGGCGAGTCGAATCATGGCAAGGGAGCCGGAGACCAGAGGTTGAAGAGCTTTTGGAGGCAATAAGCGGAGACGTGCTTTTGGGTCGTAAGCGAAAATGGCTGAGGCGAGGGACATGGACGCAAAGTGGAGAGACGCGGTCTCACGACGCGGGAGCGTGTAAATGGGATTCGATGGCGCGTTTTTGGCGGTTGGCGACGTACATAGAACATGGAACCTACAGTAGGTTGGAACAGTGAGGTGTGCTGGGCTTGCCACTAGACATTAAGCTGCTACAGGCGGCCGGGGCGCTGAAGGGCCGCCTGCCACGGGGGATCTGCAGGGGGCGGCTGGGGGCTTGCAGCGCTGGGCTGTCAGGGCGTTCAGTGGCCCGCTGGAGGTCGCACTACTAGGGGGGTCTTAAAAACAACCACGTCTCTTATAATAGCTCTACTATTACAGGGGGGATGCTAAATTATAAAAGGCTTATTAATTTATAAAAAAAAAGATATATTTATTATAGTATAATTACTATATAAAAAAAGGTATCTTACTTTAAATTAATAAATTTAATATTTTTATAATATAAGGTTATAAAACTAACTATTATAATAAAATAAACACTATAATGCGCTTTATGCTTAAGCACTTTTATTAGCGCTTTTACTATTACTAGCCCTAATGCTTTTAAAAATGCCCTTACTATTGCCCTTAAGCTTAATAGCTTTAAATTTAACTTTAAGGAGATTAAAGCTATATTCCTTTATAATCTTAATACTATTAGCTTTATAAGACAGCTTTTTTTAATTTAAAGCCTGTCTTTTTATTTTTAATATTATAAAGTTAATAGCTTTTTTAATAATCTCCTTATTATAGTTTTTTTAATAAGGCTATAATATTAGCAGCGCCTAATCTTTATAAAAATAGCCTTAAAAAAAAAGCTTATAATAAAAGTAATAGCAGTAATAAAGCTATTTATTATTATTTAGTAAAAGATAATAGTCTGCCTTTAATTAATGCTAAGCAGCTAGGAATTTAATAAAAAAAAGAAAGAGGTTATTACTAAAGTGTAGAGTTATAATACTTACTTAAAGCAGTAATTTAACCTTTTTTAATTAATAATAAAGAAAAGGAATCTTATTATAAGCTTCTTTATTATAAATTTATACTGCTTTTTTTTTTTAAGCTGCCTGTTTATTATAATTATTTTTAATAAGTTAAATTTTAATATTTTTAATAGTTAATAAGCTAAATTTAGCTATAATTAATATCTTTTAAAAGAGTATTAATTTTTTAAGATTCTTTTCCTTTAAACTCTTTATTTTAGTTATTATTATAATACTATTTAATATAAAAGTATATAATGCCTTTCTAACTTTCTTAAAGACTTAAAATATAAATAAAGTTAGTAAAACCCTTAAAATTATAAATACTTTAAAATAATACTAAATATATTTATAATATTAATTTATTATGTAGATATAAAGCTTTAGTATTAAGGCAGTCTTTTAGTTAAAGTGTAATACTATTACTAGTATTTATAAAGTTATAGCCCTGCCTTTTCCCTTTTCCTTTTAATAAAATAAAGCTTAGTTTAATAAAGCTTTTAATAAGCTTTTTAATAAGCTTTTTAATAATAATAGCTATAAGAAGCTTAATATACTATTAGGATTAATAAAGCTAGTAATATTTTATTTATTAATAGCTTTAGTTAAGGAAGAGAGGGTATTTTAAAGTTAGTTTAAGATAATTACTAGGTTATATAAAAAAAGGCCTGTTTTCTTTTATAATAATAATATTATATATTTTTTAAATATTTAATTATAAATTTCTTAAAAATAATAAAGAAAGTTAGTTTTCTTAAAGTTAATAGCGCTATTAGTAACTTTATAATATAATATTTCTTAATGCTAATGCTTATAAGAATAAAAAATGCTAATATTAAGGGGTTAAAGATAATATATAAAATATAAAAGTAAAAGAAAGAGCTTAATATTATACTGCTTTATAAAATAAATAAACTTACTAATATAGTAATTTTTATAACTATTTATAAAAAAGACTTTTATTTTTTTAAAATTATAAAGTCTTATATATTTCTTAAAGTATTAAAGCTATTTTAAAGCTATTATATTTATAATATAGCCTTTTAAACTTATAGCTAAGACTATACTATTAATAAGGCTATTCTTAAACTATTTCTTTAAAAGCTAGACTTTAAAAAAGATAATAAAAGAAGAAATAGCTTAGCTATTAGTTAAGATTACCTTTATAGCAGTTATAAAGACTGTATTATAAGAATTTATTAAAGTTAGATTTTTAATTAAGATAAAAGTTTATATAAGGATTTTAATAAGAAAATAACTTATTATAAAGCTAGTTTTATTAAAATTCTATATATTCCTCTTTTAGATTTTATATTTTATTAAAAAATAGCGCTAGGCATAATAAAAAGACTTAACTATACCTTAGTTTTATATAGCCTTTTTTTTAATATTATAAGAAGTAGATTTATATATATAAAAGTGTCTTTTTATATAATATATAAATCTCTTAGCCTAGGATTATAAAATAATAGTCCTTTTACCTTTAGCTATAAGAATTATATTAGCATAATATTAAAAAGCATAAAGTTAAATATAGTGCCTTTAGGTAATATAGTAATATACTTAAATAAGGATTTTATTTTTCTCTTCTTTTTATAATAAAGTATAGTTACTGCTATTAAGAGATTTTAAATAGCGTTTTTAAAGTTAGCTATAAAGCTTAAAATAAGGAATTTTAAAGGCTTTAGCTGCTAATATAATAGTCTTATAATACCTTTCTTAATATAACTTAGCTGCTATAATAATATAGTATTTAAGGCTTTTAGTATTATACTATAGAAAATTAAGTAAGCTTATATTTAAATTAATTTATTTAATTATAGTAAATTAAGAAGCTTTTAGTAAAGATATTAATATAAAAATAATAAGAAAAAATAAAGATTTAATAGTATAGTTAAAAAAAGAAAATAGGGCTTATATATAGGCTTTATTATAATTATAAAATTAAATATATTAATATTAAATGCAGGGTGTGTTTTTTTTACTTTATTATAACTTTAGCAGGATAACTTTTAAAATTATAGGAGTTATTAATTTAAACTAGGGTACTTTTATTTTTATAAGGATTATATTATAATTTATATATTTATTTTTTTTTATAAATTAATAAGCCTTTTATAATTTAGCATCCCCCTTATAATAGTAGAGCTATTACAGGAGATATGGTTATTTTTAAGACCCCCCTAGTATATATACAGGCGGGTGTGCCTTGCCTAATCCGATCGAGTGTTGACAGGAGGAGCATGCACTAGACATGTGAAAATACATGCCCGATCGCATGCTTTAGCTGGCGATGGCTGAAATGTTTGTTGTGCTGCCGCTTTGCCTTGTTTAAGACGTGATTCCCATATGCCAGGTTTGTATTTTCCAGTTTCCGGTCTCGTTAGCCAGGATAACCTGAAGGCATCACCCGCGCAGGTGCGTTATTCTGTAGGATATTGATTCCTCAGACGATTGGAAGTGCATGTGACAGCCAAGCGCAGCAGTATCAATTGTACCTATGTAGGTGGCTTTCATATAATACCAACCAGCCTTCCCTGGCCAGGGAGGGCCAGCAAGGGATAGTGACAATATATCGCGCCTTGACATAAGGTATTGCTTTCAACTGGTACTACCTAGGTAGTATGTAGCTACGAAGGAGGTAAGAAAGCTGAGCTTGGACCGAATCATCAACTAGTGAATACCTTATGAAGAGAATGGTTTCGCCCTTTCAATCAAGACTGAGATACCAGATAGTATATGCTTGACGAGGCTGATGCTACAGCACGTGGTGGCTCAATCTTACGTCAAAATACCGAACCCACGACACGTAAACACGTCCAGTACATGTTAGTTTTGTCAATATTCAACTGGCATCGGCCAGAGTGCGCACGAATCAAGAGACGAGCCGCTGGTGTAATTAAAGCCAAGCGCGCGGTGACGTGCTTGATGCATGCGGATGACAGGCGATGCCACGTTCTGATAAGATAGGGAGACGTCGACTCTGTACAACTAGAGTACCTTATTATCGTCAAGTTTATCAGCGCCACTTCAGTTCTGGAAGCTCAGAATGAGAACACACTCCTTGAAGGATTCATGATATGTACCTACATTTGTTTGCTGAAGAAGTACTAGGTATGCAGTGCACTGTACACATATGCTGTTCCTGTACCTGATTATCAAGCCACAAGCCAATGCGAATTGCCACTCAAATCGACAAAAGGCAAGCCATGAACAGCCGCGTTTCCACACCCGAAGCTGCTAGAAATACGCCACAACGTCTGGGTTTTCTGTCAACGACGGGACATCCCCATCCCAGCTGATAAGGGACTCGTGATTGACAATTTTACCTATCTGTTGAATGTACTTCGTCCGATCTGTTCAATCTTTGTTGGTTTTATCGAACAGGTGAAGCACGTGCCCAAATACTAGGAACACTTTGCATACCGATCTTCAGTATCAATGCCCCTGTTCATCTTCATCAAGCCACCTCAGCCGTCGAATTCCCAGAGCCTCCTGGTATAAATCACACAGTCTTTCCAAGCTGAAGTGACTTTTCTTCTCAAACATTCTTCTCATCATCATTCAATCTTCTACAGAAACACTCTTTACCTACCGAGATACACCAGGTTTGATACAGGCAATCCAACCTCAAAAAGTGGTAAGTCGCCCTTCTCCGTGGTACGCGCACCGTTGCTAGCCCGAAATCGGCATAGCCGCTGGCATAATCTGGTGCGCTATGGTGTCATTTGCTGCCGTGATTCATCCTCCAACTCCGTCCTCGTGCATTTGATCATCAGCTGCGTCTCCTTGCCTCTCGCCTCTTACCTTCAGCTTGCACTCTGTTATTGACACGATACCGGCAGATATCAACCCGTTCTCTTCCACTCCTCTCCATTGATTCCGGCTCCAGCTGCCGCCATGTGCCGTTTCTTGGTACGTCATCCCCCCGAAGACCCTGAGAATCAACACCAAGAAGAAGTGCCCCAATTCCGAGATCGGGGGTCTTGCGCACACGACTAACACCGACACTCGCTCTCTAGGTCTACAAAGGCAGCGACGAGATCCTGCTCTCGAAGCTGATTCTCGATCCGACCCATTCGATCCTCAAGCAGTCCTTTGACTCAAGGTTGCGACTGGTACGAAGAACCCCCCCCCCCCTTCTCCCTGCCCCTCGCCACAGCCTCACCGGCAGACCCTGGCTGACATTTTCTCTTTCTCGCATCTCTAGGACACGCGACGAGGCCAGAACAACGCCGACGGCTTCGGCATAGGCTTCTACACCGATCCCAAGCTTGGCTCAGCCCCCTGCCTCTTCACCTCGACGATCCCCGCATGGAACTGCACGAACCTCCAGCGCATCGCCTCCAAGACAGCGTCTCGATTGATCTTCGGCCATGTTCGAGCAACGACCGAGGGCTCCTTGAGTGAGGACAACTGCCACCCCTTCACACACGGAAGTCTGATGTGGATGCACAACGGCGGACTCGGCGGGTGGAAGCACATCAAGCGGCCCCTGGGAAGCTTGTTGGCGGACAAGTGGTATCTGGGCGTCAAGGGAGGAACGGACAGCGAGTGGGCGTTTGCCCTCTTTCTCAACACCCTCGAGCAGTTGGGCTTTGATCCGAGTGCTTGCCCGCCCAACGGGTTTGGGCCTACAGTGTTGCGAAAAGCGATGGAGAAGACGATTGCCCAGATCAACGAATTGACAGATTCGATTCCGCAGAGCGTCCTGCAAAACGAAGACGTCGATACCAGGAGCCTACTCAACTTTGCCGTGACAGACGGCCACAGTGTTATTTGCACCCGCTACATCAGCAGCTCCAAGGACGAGGCCGCCAGTCTATACTACTCTTCTGGAACACAGTGGGTTACAAAAACCTCATCGCCGGACGACAGACAATACCAGATGGACAGAAAGGACAAGGGGGGTGACATTGTCCTGGTTGCCAGCGAGCCCTTGACATTTGAGAGAGGTAAGACCATCTCCGCCCAACATCGAGATGCGAGAACGCAATGCTGACTTTTTTTATTGTTTAGAAAACTGGGTGAATGTGCCGACCAACTCAATCTTGACCATCCACCAGCAGACCGTCATGGTTCACCCCATCCTGGACAAGTACTACGAAGGAGACCCGTACCATACTCGCTCCAGCGCCTTTGTCCAGGAAAAGGGCCTCTCTACCAACGAAAAGGCAGCCAGTGGCTCTCAGAGCCCGGCAAGTATTGACGGGACGCAGAAGACGATTGCTCAGTCGTACTTTTCCCGCGGCCTCAGCCCCGACTTGGTGCGCCGATCGCTCACGCCGGTGTCTGCTCGAGAGTCGAGGTTGACGTCTCAACTCCAAACCGCACAACAACTGACTGCAAAGCCACGATGACTTGGTGCAACCAGTGTCTCGAGGTGTTGGTTTGGGCTAAGTTGACATATCGACTTTTCATGGTAGCCCCGACATTAGACATGGCCTTTTTATGATGTTCTTGGTTTTGCTTTCTTTGGTAAATTGCAGGCTTTGAGTTGATGGGCAATTGCTTTACGTGGGATACAGCGGGATAGAGTTTCTATAGGCGAAAGGCGTGGGAATGGAACTGGTATACTTACGAAGGCATTAGATGGATGGCGTTTACTCTTATTGCAGTCTTTTTGCCAACGCTGAATTTCATCTCGGTCATCCGAAATGGTCACTTTGCCCGACATTCTGTGAATCTCGATGCTTGCTGTTGTTGAAAGCATCACTCAAGATGCTGTGTCATTGCAATATCACGACCTCTACCCGAAGTACCAACCCTCCACGCTCTTAGTTCAACTTGTTTAATGTTCTCTGCAGATTCATATCGTCTTTGACTCACCCCGTGTACTCACCACGCCATTTGCATAAACTTGCGGTATCATCAGAGTGAATGGTTCTTGTCAATTGAATCACTGATGTTACTACGGCTGTACTTAAGAAGCCACACCGAGCTCCCAGTTCCAATATGTGTATTTAGAGCCGAGGAGAAGAGATCTCCTGGCTAGAGACCGTTGGGTGATTAATGTGTTTCTCTCAACTCAACATCGTCACAAAGACATAGCATAGCACGGAAGATAGCATTTTACACGGCATGAGACGCGTGTGCTGTTTCGGCACCTGACATTTTCCAAACCTCATACGCGTCCCATGCCAAGTGACTCCCTCTAATTCTGCTTGTACGTGACGTCAAGCAGAACAGATCTTCTAGCTACCTTATAGGGTGATTGGTCAACAATATGTCCTTCATCGCAAATCGCCATAATGAGATAGCATGTCAAAGAATACTATATATACATTGGCATGAGACATGCACTCTTTTCGACGCCCAAATTATCCAAAGCTCATCCGCCTCGAAGAAAGTGTTGACAACAAACCACAACAGTTACAGTCTCATACCATTTCAGATGTTCACACATACAAAATGTAACTTCTTACATTGGCGCCGCCTTCACTGAAAGCTTCCTCAGTGTATATCATCACAGATCATGATGAAAGAGTTCCCCCGAGTCCAACAATGCATGCACATGCTCGCCCCTCCGACTCGACATCAATCTCTATACCCATATCCATACACACTTCCAACACCGCACCGCTCTCAACTCCATGTCCTCGGAATCGCTCATATCAACCACGCCAGTCCCTCAGTTCCAGGGGATTTCTCCAGTAAGAACCATTTCCTCTTAGCTTCAAGGCATTACCATAATTAGCCCAGAACCACAAAGACAAATCAAAGAGTAAATGGCAATATACAAAGTGGAAAAAGAGTCGGGGAATGTCCAACTAGCTCTGTAAACTGCCGTTTTCCCCCTGTCGAGCGTGTCATCAACTAGCTTTCCAAACACTCTGTAGCCGAAAGCCCACGCGAGAAAGAACAGGGCCACTCGGACAAGGCGTTGAGCCCCCCCTAGGCAGCGGTGACGGTTCGTTTAGGACGGCCCTTTTGACGAGTTACTTACTCTGTTCAACACGCCAAGACGCCCACAGCTGTTTTCACCCCCTTGAAATCTCGGCATATGAAGACTTGCACTCCGCCCCCGAGAGAGGGAAACCTCGATAGCCCACCGAGTTGGCGATGGGCCTAAGCCCAGTTGAATGATCATCCTCATGCCATCTACATACGGTCACCAGCAGTGGGTATCCTTATTTCTCACCTGGCGTGCGATTAGAAAACAAGCCAAGGCATGATGCCATGCTGCTTCTTCATACGATAGCCATATACTGCTGCCTCTTATACAATCTCATTCCATGCCATGCTCTGTCCGTCTCATCATAGGATGACCTCGCTTCTCTTCACCCAAAGACAAATCACAACAGGACAGAAAGGTTACCAAGGCTCCTACTCTACCGCTAGCAGAAGAAGTAGTTGAGATGACATCCCCTCCTTCCCCTCCTACTGTACACCCATCGGCCCGCCCGGATCTCAAGATGCGGCTGAGTGCCAGACGATACCTCAGAGGGAAGAGAATCATCAAGGACTTTTTTTGAGCGTTGGTTCCCAGTTTCGACTCCGCAAGATTAGAACAGGGGGAATGGGAAAAGATTGGGCAAGCTAATGAGTGCCGAGCTCTGTGGCAGGCAACCATCTTCCCCCTTTCCACTTTTATGGATTAGTCTACGATTGTGCATCTGCCTTTCTCACGATGTGACATGTCCGGTGCATCGGGCGAGCCACGAACAATAAGCCCTACGGGGCATCGGCCTATGCTTGTTCTCTGCTACAAGAGAACAGGAGTAAAGTCTGCGTAATCGGGAAGGGAAGACGCTCGATACAAGGGACGATCTGGCTCTGCAAGAAGGGGGGACTACAGGCAAGGGGGAAAAGGAAGGAAATATCAGTCAATGCACCGTCGATATCATTCTAGGGCCGTCCAACGTATTGTTACGTTGCATGCCAAGTCTCCAGCGCCTACTCCGTAAGTGACCTCATCAACATCATCTTCTTCTTCTTCCCTTCTTCTTCTTTTTTCTTCTGCTTCCTTGTTTCACCTCGCGCTGACAGAACTGTTTCGGACAGGCTGCAATTGGATGAAACATCGTCTAACGAGGCTGAGCGCTGCCTCGGCGAAACTCGACCACTTCCGTGCAGGGTGTGAAATCGTGCTTTGACGCTTCAGATGTAGCTATTTTTAGTGGTCAGGGGAATCAGTTGTAAGCAAATCCAATAATGACCTGAGGCAGCGTCATAGGAATGTCCAATGCAAATGACGACCTATTACCCGGGACTTGCGGGAGGAGCTGCGATGGATGACCTTGATTGCAAAACCAAACTGAAAGCGGCCTCAGGTATCAATGCCAGAGTATCCCTCGCAATATTGTAATGCGTTAAAAGGATTCAGTGATACTCGAAAAGGTCGTGTATTTGCGAACACGACGAGATCCAGATTTGCCGTTATCCTTTGCTGCAGTCAGTTCTTAGTTGGATAAGCAGAAGCCCGGAGAATCCGACAGCACTTACAATGGAATCATAAATCACGTACGCGCTTCATATGGACATTCCATGTATCGGCGATGCTTCTCGCGGAGTTTCTAACTCTTCCCGCTTCCTGGTCCCTCTTCCGTAAAAGCACCCTGCAAGCCGGGAACCGAACGAGTCCGCCAATAATGCTTCCCTCTGCAAACTACAAGCACGGGGGAGTTTGTGGGGGGGCCGCATATGTCTTCAGTCATCACCTTGCTGCGCTCTCACCTCCTACACATTGCCGAGGTATCTTCATGTCCTGAGAGGGCGGGTGTGTGTAGTGTTCCGTCGTATGAGTCGGCACGGCGCAAAGAGACGTGTGATGTTGCAGCCTCGCACGTCGGGAATAGCTACTGGAGGGGCGCTGCAGTTGCCAAAGAGAGCCTGTAGAAGGGTGGCCTTGTTCGCTTTTGCTGTCAGAAGAGCAAGGATCGGGAGCTCGTATACCTTGCAGACGAGGCGAGAGAGGCACCCGTGCGTGTCTGCGTAGTCTGTTCTGGGGTTGGAAGACGTGTAAGCATAAGAGCACAGTCGAGCCTCTGGTGGTAGGCAACAGCAATAACAGGAGTAATAGTGGGCAGAGCGGATTGGATGACGGCTGCATATTATGCCGCAAATGACAGGGCGCCGGTGAGACTCGCACACAGGTAAGCAGTTGAAGTTGGGCAAAATGTGACTCGGACGGGTAAGATAAGCGAGGCCATACAGGAATCAACGATGGAACATGAGGATAATGCCCGACACCGGTTGAAGAGCTTCACCGAATTGCTGATGGTACGACAGCGCTCGTACAGTAATACTAAAGCTGCGCAAGAGAGGGCCCCCTCTAATGCGAGGGCCGAGCGGAACGTCAAACTGACAAGGCTGACACTCGGCATTCATAGCCCGCGTCCAGTTTTGAGAGGCCGACAATGGCAGGCTACTGCTGGCATCTCACGTCGGCGTCCTGTCATAGCAGCTCCTTCGCATCGCAGTATTCGGGGCGGCGAAATGCATATCATGGGAAAACTGCCGTAAACAGGGATAATTCGTCACTGCTATCTGGCTTCGGACCAATGTTAGCATGCAGGTGGACAACAAGGCAGCGAAAGTTGCAAAATCAAAAGGAGCAAATCTCAATGTCATCTTTCGTTGCCCGGCAAGAATCAGGTACCGCGTCTCGTGCTGGGGTTGCGTCGAGGTCGGGTTCACATGTACTCCCTATGCTGCTCCGTTCATCTGAGGGCCTTCATGCTCAACCGGGACCTGCTCTGCGCTATCTTAGAGAGCCGAATCACGCGCTTGATGCTCGATGCACCCGCCCGCGCCATCAGCCAAAAGCCGTCTGCTTATGGCTACTCACTCGTCAAAGATGGCCTGGCTTGTGACAAGTATACAGGCGGAGAAATAACCGTGGGATGGCAGCAGGGGCTGTGACCGTGGGACGTACCTAGCATTCGTGCAAGCATACCCGAACGAAGCCTGGTGATATCCCGTACGAATTGCTCGTAGTAACGGAGGGCTTGACGATACGTTGGTAGGGGACGGCAATATCAGGTGACAAGAACGAGAGGCATCCCCCCAAAGATGCAAACCCTGTCCAGGCTTGCGGGTAGCATAGTTCTGGCTACTAGGTGTTGATGAAGCCTTGCTGGCATGGGCTTGAAGGGCTGTTGCAGGGCTGGCTGCATCTTTGAGTTGCGGCAGAGCAGGGAAAGCAATCTGCCAGTCGGGCATTTGTCGCGTCACAGGCAAGGGAGAGGCGATTATCCCCGACATGCCCGTTCCTCCACACTCGGGGCCATGTCGGGCGTAATTGATATTGAAGGGGTCCCAAAGCGTCGTTACAAGTACAAGGCCGGACGCCGAGTGCCAGGGCCGGCAGAAAGAGGGTACGGTTCTCGCCGTACTACTGCTAGCATGTATGGAGAGGGCGTGGTTCGTAAGGGTGCTTCTCTTCTTCCAATGATCGACAAAACTGTACTAGCACGGGAAGCCGATTGGATTGTTGAGCCAGGGGTATACTCGTAGTGCTTGGTTCGGCTAGCAAGGAAGATGTTCGTCCGCCAGGATGAGGTTCTCGTTGCTTGGCATACTTCATAGCGGTATTAGTGGTATCGTATGCCGCCTTTTCTGTTTCTAGGAGTAACGGTCAGAAAAGGGATGGGCATCCAGTGCTGGAAATGCAATGATTTTAGGCAGCAAGATGGTGCTTTCTGCAAGGATGAAACAATGGAAACAGAAACATGTTGATGTACTTACCGGTGGCGTGCAACGATGTTGCGTTGCTGGAGCTTTCCCCCGGGACGATATTGACGCTGCGCAAGGGTGGCTTGCCATGTAGTATTCATATTGGATTCAGTTTAGCTCAGCTCCAGCTGCACCCCATGCCGCTAGGAGCTGCACTGTTGGTATGTAACATCAACAACCCGTGGAACGAATCACGCCGCGGCTGTAGCGATTCGGATTGTCGCCATCACGTGGTGGTTGCTCAGAGTGGCCAGGGCTGGGCATCCGATTCTTGTATCCATCTCCTTGTCTCGTTGACTCGGGCTTATCTGGACAATTGAGCTGATGTGCCTGTAGCTGCCTTCCTGCCATGAAGAGGGATGTAAGTGTGAGCAGAGTTCACATACTCGCGTGTACTTACATAGACTCCATGCAACGACACTTATATCTAAGCACATCGTCTGTGTATGGGGGGGCGTAAGAAACGGCAGTGCGCTTGCGCAGATGAACCACCCCGACTGCAGCACGCCTCAACGACAGTTTCCGTTAGTGATGGTTACATGCCAAAGGTGGCGCCTTTTCATGGGGAGAAAAGCAGAAGAGGGGACAAGAGGAGGGGGTCCCTGGAGAGAGGGTGTTGCTATCAACACAAAGATGCATTAGATGAAGCACTTGGGCTCCTCTTGATGGATCGAACAGGGCCTCGACACCGCCGTCTGTGCATGCCTGCACCCGAATACTGGCACTAGCAGATACTAGATACTAGAGCTCGCAAGCCAGCGTATAAGCACTTGTACCTAGTAGATGGAGTACTGACGAAGTGTTGCAGCCGGTGAAAGTATCCAAGTTTTTGTACTAGTAGCAGCAGCCTCGCCTCCAGGGGCTTGTTGGTGCCATCGAGATGTGTGTGTTAAAGACAAGGGGAGCCAAGAACATGGGCCCCTTTTCTGCAGTCACCACGACCATGACCTTGACCTTGAACTTGACCTTGACCTGGTCCATGTCCATGTTCACGTTCATGTTCATGTTCCACAGTTTGAACCTTGACCTTGACGACGACCGTGGTAGCCCCGGCTGTCATGGTTGATGGAGTGGGAAGGATTTTCGGCAATAGCGAGATGGCTGATCGATAAATTGATTACCGGCCTCATTGAGTGACCTGACATCACCCGGATCGACGAACTGGTCCGTTGGCTAGAAGAAAGGGAGAATGGCTCTGCGAAGTAGAGTGGAAGTCATCTGTTCCGTCGATAGGATCACGGACATTCTTTGCCTGTACCACACATCTCGAGCAGGTTCTGGGACGTGATATCCTCCACCGTCCGCATACTGAACAGGCAAATCCGTGGTAGCGGTAACATGAACAAGAATTTAGCCGTGGACGCCGCCTCGGTCCTGCATTTGTCTGCACCCTTTTGGTGCCGCCGTGGCATGACGTCAAGAGTATGGGGGAATGATCCAGACCTATAATTAGGACCCTAAACGAGCGACTTGCGCATACGAGTAGCCTGAGCTGACCAGAGTCCAGGGGACTGGCGAAGGAGCTCGGAGTTCGTGTAAGCCGAGCAATGCGCCCTCTGCAGCTTGTCGTACACTCGGAAAGATGGACGATGCGCTGAAGACTCATCAAGACGTCTCGTCGATATCAGTCGCAAGAAGTCAATCCATCATGATAGGCCGAGGGTACTCGTACGAGAGCCGACAGCGAACCGTGCCGCTTGAGGCATAGCTTCGCCAGCACAAGCGGGAGCATGGGATAGGCCTCGAGACGAAAGAAGCGCCAGCCCAAGGCCTGGTACAGTGATAGGCCAAAAGTCTGCGACCACCTCACAGTGCCTCACCCTATAATGCAAATATATAGCTTTTTAAATATTAAATAATATTATAGTCTTAAAAGAAAAAATTATAAAAAAAATCTATAATATAGCTAATAAGCTATTATCACTATAAAAGATATTATTATTATTATTTCTTTTATATTAAAAAGGCTATATATAAAATCAGTAAGTATAAGAGAAGAAAGTTATTTCTGCTTAATAAAAACAGTAATAATCTTACTGTATTTTCCACTATAACCCACTATAACCTATACTTATAAAAACATATCTTTTTATATTACTTACTACATCTGCAAATCTTAATAAAAAAAGCTAAAATTTAATATATATATAATTTATTACTTAATTAAGCATATATTAAAATTTCTAATAATATTCTTATTATATAGCTAGTCTGCAAGGGTTTAAAAATACCAAGTTTTGCGGGGATACTGTGAGGTGGTCGCAGACTTTTGGCCACAGACTGTAGATGCACCCCTCCCCCTGATTTGTCCCCCCAAGCTCATCCCATCCCGTGGGGCAGAGGCACTGGTGGAATCTGCAGATCCGCCGCAGCCCGGCCGTTGCTAACGCCAACATATCCCACAACCAGGCTAGCCCGTACAGTAGAGGCCTGTCAGAACAGGAACACGTCGCGCTAGGGGAAAAGCTGGAGCAAGTCAAGGGCTCGCTGCTGCTCTAGCCCACGGTGTTTGCGCTGCGTCTCTCTCGTCCGTCCGTGCCCTGGTGTCGCCTCCCCAAAGGTATCGACTGTACTGTATCCTCTGTTCTTGCGCTCCGTAGACAGGTGCCTGAGTTCTCGACCTGGGCTTCGCGATCATGTGGACTGCAACTGACCGGGGCAAGGAAAAGCAGTACATGTACCAGACAAGGTCGACAGGTCTCCCATGCTAGTCTCAGCACATCCCCCCCCTCTTTTTATGCCTTGACAAGACCGCAAAAAAGGGCTTGCTGTCCCGGACGAGTCTTCAGTGCAAGCTCTGGGACTCGGGGCTTGTAAGGCAAAGCTCAGCTCAGCTCAGGGATGTGACCTGGAAATAGCACGAAGCATCAATGACGGATGCCCAAACCGAGTCTCACGAGGAACAACACACCTCTGCACAGTATACCAATGCCCAGGGCACGAGTTGCGAGATGGCTAGTGGAGTTGCGGTCGCACTGATCCGTCCAGAAGGCCTGGCCTCGTCTGCAGGCTGTGGAGCGCCAGTCTGATGGTATGTAGAAGCGACAGCTCTGTGCGGAGACAGGCACAAGTGCTCCGTAGTTCCACTCAAGGCTTGCATGGCGCCGCTGGGACCGTCGGATGGATGAGGGTTGCTTGATGCTTGGTACACTAGTAGGTATGTACAGTATGTCGTCTGTCGCGCGTGTCTGCCCGTGCCTGTGCCTGTGCCTGTGCCTGTCTGTGCCTTGTGCCTGGCTGGTCCTTTGGCTAGCGCACGTGTATGGCGGTGGTGGTCATGGTCATGGTCATGGTGATGCATTGGTGCCTTTTGTCCATATGGCGCAATCGACTGTACGAGTAAGGTACTCTGTCCAGGCCGGCTGGGGTCCTCCTTCCCGTGACTTGCCTCGTGATCTCCTTTGTTATCCGTACCTACCTTATTGTTTGCTTCCTTGCCTCTGGGGAAAGAACCAGCGAGAAAAAGAGGAAGTCGAGAGCGACTGCCAAGCTGCAGTTTCTTCAGCAGCGTCGCTTTCCGGAATATCTGCGCCTCCGGGGCAATAGTATTACCTGTACTCCTCCCACTCTGCCTGGTACCTAATAAACTAAGTATGCCTCACTTGTTGAAGACATCACGGCCCCGACACTTACAACAGCAAGCAGAGCCTGATGCCTGCAATTGCAACAACACGCCCCCTCGACACGAATATTCCAGCATCCCGCGCCCCTGGCCTTGGATTCACTGCTTCCCGCCCCTCCCCCCACAGCGTGTCCATCCGCTCAGTTGGCGCTTTGGCCTCTCGCTCTCCTCACCACCTCGACTCCAGACGCCTCCCGCGCCTCCGCCTGCCACGCCAGGCTCTGTCTAATCACCGAAGCTCGTCGCCAGCACCACGTTTCTCCTTCTGTGGACCGCAGTCGACGCCTTCTGTCTGGTCTAGCGGTCCGTAGCGCTGCAGATGGCGCACCCACGGAGCGTCCGAATCATGGGTTGACTCCAGAAGCATGATATGCTTACTTTGAAGTTCCCCATCCAGCCCTGCGTTAGGCTCAGACGGACTCGAGTACTTGTACTAACACGGGGAGAAGCGGAAGCCCGGCAGCCAAGAGAAATGAACTTTGTCGGGGAGCCATAGCCACCGTGATGGCTGCAAATCCTTGTTTTGTAATCGACATCAGACACAAGCAGATGCTATTTCTGCCGGCGGAAACCTTGCGGGACACGGAAAAGAGAGTCGACTAAGTCCCAGTACTACCTACTTAGTCCTAGGTGTTGTTGACCTTTCCTCCAGCCGTTAGTCTCGACCCCAGCACCCCTTCATGAGTCGCTGTCTACGGCACTCGTGGGTGTAAGCGCCAACGTGGCTGCTCTTCTCCATGTCTTGACTAGTAGTTGAGATCCCGATGGAAGTGCCGAACGTCCATCAAGGTCCGTCGACTTGGCCAAGACGGCTCCAAGAACTTTCACGCCGGCTTCACTATCGAGGATGACAATCCACATCGCTTCTCGCCCACGTTCTCCCCTCCCTGCCTGGCTGCCCTCTTCCATATCTGTCACTCGCCCTGGTCGTTCCGCGGTCCGGGCGGTCGTCGGTAGCGAGCCAATCACAGGCACCCAATCCGAGAGGCGATTACTCTCTCTGGCGAATCTGCTGTTTTGGCAGCGCTGGCGCCAGCCGTTCCCTTTTCTGGTATCGAAGGCTGACTGTCGGATAAGCTGGGTATTGACATAGATGACATGAGACCAACAGCAAGGCTGGCTCATCGCTTGCTTGCGGCAACCAGGCTTGATTTCGGATCATCCAGTGCTATCACAAGGAGCCATCTACAAGGAACCGGAGACGGCGGGACATGGACAGCACGTTAGATGGATGTCAAAGTACCTATCCATTCATCGCATAAACTGTTCTCATGGCCGCTTCAGAGTAAGAACCCCCCTGCTGGGTCCTTTGGCTCGCTACTAGATACGCCTCCACAGACAAGCCTCACGCTCAGACCACTGCAATCTCTGTGCTTACGCTCTGATCTGATACTATCTCCCAGAGCCGTCGCCACCTTGTCTGCTGCTATTCCCGTCGTGACTGGCTAAGCCAATGAGCGCGAGCGGCCGAGCAAGATTGCTTGGAGATGCGGAGTTTTTCTGCTTCCTTAGCTTTGCCCTTTGCTCGTTGGCGATCTGTCGAATTTTCGGAGCAGGCAAGTACTCGACTCTACCATCGGTGTCCAGCCTCCCCTGGACAACAGAGTGCCCGGCCTGTCAGGCATCACAGCCCGATGACATACTTTAGCCGACGAGACCCGGACCTGGTTCCCCTGTACACTTACACAGAGCCAGCCCCGGAGAAATTCTACACATAGTATGTCTCTTCTTATAATAATTATTGCGGCAGTATGATGCTTGAATCATGAACTGACCAGGTTCCAGATATCGCGCAATAATTACGCACCGATACAGCACGCTTAGATGAAGGAAATAGGGCAAAGGGAAATGATCTCATAGCAGGCTGTGGAGCAACGGGACGCTCGTCTTACGACACAGTACGCCCAGCAGGTTGCTCGCCTGTATCTCTCCCGAAGCATGCCATCGGACGAGCACCTGCCGACGACGGTACGTGCCGCGCCTCTTCCACCCTCTATCACCTTGACGCTCACCGTTGCCCGCTGTTTAATACACGGAGGAGCCACTCTCCGCTCTGATGCTACAAACATGTAGCAGATGATGGAGAAATCCCACCACACAGGCAGGCGACAGAACCACCAACAGCTTCCATGGAATAAAAGAACTTCCTTGTCCAACGCACCCCCCACCATCTGCAAGCTGATCGGGATAGGGAGAGGATGTGCACAACAGAACGACCGATGTGAGAAGAAGGGTACAACACCTTGATGGACCCTGAAAATCTCACCTCCCTCGCCGGCAATGTACACACCATACCTGGATGAACCACACCCTTTCATCTTCGAGTTAGCTTGGCTCGTTATCACTGGCCCCCAAAACAAACTTCCCGTTCATGCGGACCGTAGTCGCCCTCGACCTCGAGAATATTCCGCTTACTCGAGGCATCTGCCGAATCTGTCCCGCTGCCACTAAAATGTTTTGCAACAAACGCGCTCAGCCCGGGAGTAGGTGAGGGAGAAGAGCGCCGAATCTCGATTCGTCTCACTCGCTCACGCCTCTTGAAGTTCATACCAATCCGCAACATGGTTGGCGGACTCCGAAAGCCGCAACCCACGCCTTGTCATCACCCCATTGCCTCTTCTGACCCCTCGTCTCGGGTCTCGGGCCAACTGGTTCTGATGTTCGTTCGAACCACACGCCCCCCTTGGCAAGTCCATGATACCATGGATGCGCGTGAAGAGGACGGAAATTCCTCCGTCAACTTGTCTTCAACTGTCTCAAGCCTTGTGCACTCCCTCTACGGCGTACAGAGTCTATTTCTGTTAGTACCACCACTATTATCACCTCTCTCTGCCACTCCGCTCCTGGCAGTGCTACGATGCAGGTGCCTTGTTCCTGGTGCCTTGCAGTTCAATAGTCAACTGCTACCACGCTACGAGGCACTTACTCGTAAGTTGTTTACTCTGGGTTAGTCGTGCCTCTTGCTCTGCATCTTCCGTTACAGCGGAATGGGCATACGGAGCCCTTGATGCAGCCGGTCCGCGGTAACCCACCGCGTGGAGCGCGTTTGCTTTGGGCTTGTTGAAACCGGCCACCCCGAAGGCTAACAGCAGCGGCATCGACCACGTTGACGCAGCCGTCCCTCTCGTATCTCATAACATCGTTGTCAAGTGTGATTAGTGCATGCATGTTCCTATGGATACCGAGGCCGGAGAGGACTTGGCATTCTTGATAGCCAGCGGGAACATGAAGTGTCAGTTTCCGGTGAGCCGATCTGGCGTGCTCATGCACATCACCCAGCTACAACTATCACACACATTATTACACGAGATAGCAGTTCGTACATAGGTAGGAACTACTAGGGGGGTCTTAAAAACAACCACATCTCCTATAATAGCTCTACTATTACAGGGGGGATGCTAAATTATAAAAGGCTTATTAATTTATAAAAAAAAAGATATATTTATTATAATATAATTACTATATAAAAAAAGGTATCTTACTTTAGATTAATAAATTTAATATTTTTATAATATAAGGTTATAAAACTAACTATTATAATAAAATAAATACTATAATATGCTTTATGCTTAGGCACCTTTATTAGCGCTCTTGCTATTACTAGCCTTAATGCCTTTAAGGATGCCCTTACTATTACCCTTAAGCTTAATAGCTTTAAATTTAACTTTAAGAAGATTAAAGCTATATTCCTTTATAATCTTAATACTATTAGCTTTATAAAATAGCTTTTTTTAATTTAAAGCCTGTCTTTTTATTTTTAATATTATAAAGTTAATAGCTTTTTTAATAATCTCCTTATTATAGTCCTTTTAATAAGGCTATAGTATTAGTAGCGCCTAATTTTTATAAAAATAGCCTTAAAAAAAAAGCTTATAATAAAGGTAATAGTAATAGTAAAGCTACTTATTATTATTTAGTAAAAGATAATAGTCTGCCTTTAATTAATACTAGGCAGCTAGGAATTTAATAAAGAAAAGAAGGAGGTTATTATTAAAGTATAGAGTTATAATGCTTACCTAAAGCAGTAATTTAACCTTCTTTAGCTAATAATAAAAAAAAGGAACCTTATTATAAGCTTTTTTATTATAAATTTATATTACTTTCTTTTTTTAAGCTGCCTATTTATTATAATTATTTTTAATAAATTAGATTTTAGTATTTTTAATAGTTAATAAGCTAAATTTAGCTATAATTAATATTTTTTAAAAAAGTATTAATCTCTTAAGGTTTTTTTTTTTTAAACTCTTTATTTTAGCTATTATTATAATACTATTTAATATAAAAGTATATAATACTTTCCTAACTTTTTTAAAAACTTAAGATATAAATAAAGTTAGTAAAACCTTTAAGATTATAAATGCTTTAAGATAATACTAAATATATTTATAATATTAATTTATTATATAAATATAAAGCTTTAGTATTAAGGCAGTCTTTTAGTTAAAGTATAATATTATTACTAGTATTTATAAAATTATAGCCCTGCCCTTTCCCTTTTCTTTTTAATAAGATAAAGCTTAATTTAATAAAGCTTTTAATAAGCTTTTTAATAAGCTTCTTAATAATAATAGCTATAAGAAGCTTAATATACTATTAAGATTAATAAAGCTAGTAATATCTTATTTACTAATAGCTTTAGTTAAGGAAGAGAGGGCATTTTAAAGTTAGTTTAAGATAATTACTAGGTTATATAAAAAGAGGCCTGTTTTCTCTTATAATAATAGTATTATATATTTTTTAAATATTTAATTATAAATTTCTTAAAAATAATAAAAAAAGTTAGTCTTCTTAAAGTTAATAGCGCTATTAGTAACTTTATAATATAATATTTCTTAATACTAATGCTTATAAAAATAAAAGATATTAATATTAAGGGGTTAAAGATAATATATAAGATATAAAGGTAAGGGGAAGAGCTTAATATTATACTGCTTTATAAAATAAATAAACTTACTAGTATAGTAATTTTTATAGCTATTTATAAAAAGGACTTTTATCTTTTTAAAATTATAAAGTCTTATATATCTTTTAAAGTGTTAAAGCTATTTTAAAGCTATTATATTTATAATATAGCCTTTTAAACTTATAGCTAAAACTATATTATTAATAAGGCTATTCTTAAACTATTTTTTTAAAAGCTAGACTTTAAAAAGGATAATAAAAAAAGAAATAGCTTAGCTATTAGCTAAAATTACTTTTATAGCAGTTATAAAGACTATATTATAAAAATCTATTAAAGTTAGATTCTTAATTAAAATAGAAGTCTATATAAGGATTTTAATAAGAAAATAGCTTATTATAAAGCCAGTCTTATTAAAATTCTATATATTCCTCTTTTAAATTTTATATTTTATTAGAAAATAGCGCTAAGTATAATAAAAAGACTTAACTGCACTTTAGTTTTATATAGCCTTTCTTTTAGTATTATAAGAAGTAGATTTATATATATAAAAGTGTTTTTTTATATAGTATATAAATCTTTTAGCTTAAAATTATAAAATAATAGTCCTTTTACCTTTAGCTATAAGAATTATATTAATATAATATTAAAAAGCATAAAGTTAAATATAATGCCTTTAAGTAATATAGTAATATACCTAAATAAGGATTTTACTTTCCTTTTTTTTTTATAATAAAGTATAGTTACTGCTATTAAGAGATTTTAAATAGTATTTTTAAAGTTAGCTATAAAGCTTAAAATAAGGAACTTTAAGGGCTTTAGCTACTAATATAATAGTCTTATAGTACCCTTTTTAATATAACTTAGCTGCTATAATAGTATAGCGTTTAAGACTTTTAGTATTATACTGCAGAAAATTAAGTAAGCCTGTATTTAAATTAATTTATTTAACTATAGCGGATTAAGGAGCTTTTAGTAAAGATATTAATATAAAAATAATAAAAAAAAATAAAGATTTAATAATATAATTAAAAAAAGAAAATAAGGCTTATATATAGGCTTTATTATAATTATAAAGTTAAATATATTAATATTAAATATAAAGTGTGTTTTTTTTACTTTATTATAATTTTAGCAGGATAACTTTTAAAATTATAAAAGTTATTAATCTAAACTAGGGTACCTTTATTTTTATAAGGATTACACTATAATTTATATATTTATTTTTTTTTATAAATTAATAAGCCTTTTATAATTTAGCATCCCCTCTATAATAGTAGAGCTATTATAGGAGATGTGGTTATTTTTAAGACCCCCCTAGTATAGCAAGTAATAACAGGAAATATGCCAAGATTAATGTTAAGATGTACAAGTAGCTTCCTGGCAGCTGACGCGACCAATATCTAACTCGTTGATTCTCCAAATAGGCACATAGTATATCCAGAATTTCATTGCCGCTCATCATATATGTCCAATAAGCTATTATACAGAGATTTTTTCCCTTTTTACCATCATGCAATAACATACAGGTCGACTGATAAACGAGAAAAGAAATATACACACAGGGGTAAAAATCAGAAAACAGACCATAGTACCTAGAAAGGCCACGTGCAGAACATGTACAGTCGAAACAGGAAGGAAGAAGATTTTTTAGACATGACCGTTTCCACCCGCCCACGATAACACCACAAGGCATTATGCCATCGTATGTTGAAGAGAAAGATTCCAGGTAATCAGAACATGATCCACTCGACCCCGGCGCCTGGCCCGCCCAGGCACTTAGTCCAGTTGAAGGGACCTCTGGCAGTTGCCGCGGCGTCGTAATAGCAGAGTTTGGCCTCGCTCTTGACATCGTCCCCTGACCACAGCCGCTCTAGTACAGCCAGCGCTGCCAAGTTGTTCATGTAGCCAGATCGGCTCATGATGCCGCGACACTTGTCGCGGATGATGCTCTGCTGAGACTCCACGATGCATTCTGACCCAGCCACGAACAGGGGCCACAACAAGAACTTTTCTGCGGCGCTACTGGCCTCCAGACTTGTTGCGTGATGTATGACCTGGCTAACCAGATTTTGGAAGTTGCTGTGTGTAGAAGGCTCTTGTGGGTTTGCTAGCCGTTCAGAGTAGAGCAGAGCCGCATATCGGAATGCCTCAGAAACAGATCCCAGGTCGCGCACCTGGCCTGTGGTTGGTGAACATGGTAGTGACATGGCCACTGAGGTCGCGTCGAATCGCCAGTCCTGTAGCTCTTGTCGTGCGGCTTTCCATTCCCTCCAGAAAAGGTATTGGCGTTCATCAAAGGATACCGATGAATACATCGCAGAGGCGAGCATCTCGTCGTCGTTGTCGAGCTTAGTGGTCAAGTCGTTTTCGCCTGAGCGCGGAGTCAAGCTCGGTTCGGTGCGTCCATGGGCCTCTTGCTGCTGTTGAAGTGGCTCGCTCATGCCTTGTACGGGACGATGCTGCGATAAGAGGTTCAGGCGACCTAGTTTGCCAATTGTCTTGAAGAGCTTGCGATCACATCCAATTATGTTCTCGGATCCTGCAGGCAGATCTTGCACGTCCGGAGAAACTCCCTCGAAGCCAGGCGCCAGCTGTGCTTCCCGTTCGTTGATGCTAGCCGAAATGGCGTCAAAGTAGGTAAACAGAGCCTCCATCCATGTAGAGTCCTTGGGAGGAGTTGAGTCTCGGGATTGCCTCATGGCAAGGATCTTGCGCACGCCTGCAAACTGCGTATGGAACTTTGCAATGCCGGATTCGACCATTCGATAGTGACAGAGAAGAAGAATTGTTGCGAGTGCCGAGTCATGGCACAGCCTTGATGGATCGCCGAGCTGCTGATTCAAGAGATGAACGGCCATGTTTCGGTGTTGTATCTCTTCAGAAAGTGACTTATCCTCCAGTTCGGATCCAGAAGTCGCCTCGGTGGTCAGCTTCTCCGCCATAAGAGTTGCGAGCAACTCGCTTGTTCCGTATCCCAGGCTCAGTCTCCTCTTCATTCGCAGATTGCAAGCTGACAGCGCACAGATGGCATGCTGCACGCTTGGGCTCTCTCGTGCTAGGCGAAGGACATGTTCTCTGAACGGGTTGTGGGGCCCATCTATAAAGACCATGGAAGGGGCCATGGTGATCCTGAAATAATCCATGAAGAAGGGCATCTTGGCCACCAGAGCCGTCTTGCCACCAGCTTGTCCGAACCATTGAACCTGGCCACTGCTATGGCGCCTCTGCAGCGGTACTTCTCTTCGTACAAACCGCGGGGAGAAGCCACCCGCGGCGCCGGCTTCGACTTCAGGAACACCTGCTCGCGCATTAGAAGGGGTAGGCCGGGCAGGGCGCCATGTGATGCTCACTGAGGCTTTCACACCCCCGCATAAGCTTGTGGCCAAGGTGCGACTCAAAGGGATCCATGTGGTGGTGACTGAGTGCGTGATGGGCCTCGGAGGGGGCATAGACCAGCCCGGGATAAGACGTAGGGGCGCGGCAGTGGTCAAGCACCAGCACGGTTGGGGGGCTTTGCGCAATAGGGGAGCTATGCTGTGCAGGATATCCCTCGTACAGGACAGTCGGGCTGTGGTTGAAAGGAATCTCTTCGCGAGCATAAGATTGGCTCAGAGGAGAAAGGTAGTCCACCTCGCTGCCGACCGACTCGCACGACGAGGAGAGCGCATCGGTGCTGAGATGGAGAGGATATCTGGTATATCTTGGTGTTCCGTCTGGCGAGTGCACAAGGCTGGGAGCATAGCCGACGCTTCCCCAGCTGCTCTGGGACAGCGATGGGGCATGGCCGTGGTGGGAGATGGAGAGGTAGTCGTACGCGGGTACTTGGTATGCCGGAGTGCTCGGCGTCGAAGCCGTATGTGTGGTTGATGGAATATCAATTGGGCTTCGAGCTAGTTTTGTCGAGAGAGCGGCGGCACTGGACTGCGCCCTTGCCCGAGAGACGGGCGACTTCTTCGGCTCGCGGGTGACTGGAGGTGCCTTTGCAATGGGCAAGGAGAGCCCGCGAAGCTTGCCGCGGCTGGCAACGCCGACACCCCAGGTAAGCTGAGTCTTGTAGCCAGAGCATTCGTTGCCGATCTCGAGGCATTGAGAGCAGTAGGGCCGGCGTCGATCGCATTTGACATTGCGCTTAGAGCATGTGAAGCAGTCGTCCGTGGCACCACCAGCAGGGGCGCGTCTTCTGCGCTTGCGGATGGTAGCCGCCGTGTCCTTGGCAGCCACGGCCACAGTGGGTTGTGCTAACGGAGCAGTCATGTTGATGGAAGAGAGGGTTGAGAATAGAAGAGAGTGTCGAGGTTATGTACAAGAGGTTGAAGGCTTGTCTTTTCCTTTCTTTGGTCAAGAGGGAGAGAATGGCTTGCTTGACAGGTTGTAGATTGCAGTAGAGTTCTTCAGGGAGGGGTGGGTATAGTTGATGTCGACGCCAAGTAATGGCTGAAGACAGATTGGAGAGATGTGAGGAAGGTTGTGAAGAAGAGAGAAGTGAGACTGCGTAGACCGTACTGTGGAAGAATGGATTATGCCAATGAAGCAAGTTGTGCTGGGAGCATGAAACCTCAGTTGAGGACGGGCATGACGGAGGTTATGTATGAAAGGGACGGAGTTCTGTGTGGTGGTGTGAACCGGCGAAGTCATGGACCCGGGTGATATGGCACGGCTTGCAAAGCATCAAGGTCAGAATGGCACTTGGCAGTAGCGGCAAAGGCAGTGGCAGCCGGGACGCTTGTGCCATGGATCGTGAACAAGGGGCGACTTGCAAGTGATTTCACGGTGGTGGGCTATCTGGATTGAATCCCCGTTCTCTGCAGTAAGAGCCAGCAGCCCTGGGCAGAGAGGAGATCAGCGGGCCTGGCACATGAAGAGAGCCTAGGCTAGGGCCGGGATCCTTTCTCCAAGGAGGGGTGTGCAGACAAGACCATCCTCGGTCGGCCCTCTGGCTGGCATCCCAGGACTCTCGAGTGACAAGGTGGCCCAAGTCAAGAGAGCCGCAGACAGGGTGGGTGGTAAGGCATGTGCTGCATGATGGGGAAACAGGGGGGTCGATTAGGGCCGTTCTGTCTTTGATGCCGGTCCCCTGCCACCAGGGCAAGCCGGGGTATGCTTAGATGGGGGTCGTCGATTGGGGAAGGGATGCGAAAGGGTGTGCGGCATGAGGTTTCGTAGATGAGGCGGGCAGACACTTCTACCCAGCTCCGCTGCCACCAGCCAGCAGAAATGCAGAGACGACCCCTCAGGGCACCTTAGGTCAATGCATGGACTGGCATTGGCACATGGACAGTGCTTGTGAATGGACTTCTGGCGCGCAGGCCACCCCCTTCCCATAGCGTTCGGGCCAGCAAGAGTATCTGCAACTTGCTGCCAATCCTGAAGATGAAGAATGGTTGAAACTCGCAGCCATACACGGTTGTGTGCACGAGTTGAGCGAAACGTTCCCTCTGACTTTATTCTTGGACGGAAGATGAAACTTGCCATCATCTGTTTCTGTTTCCGTCATCCTCGGTCACGCCGTGACCGGTAAGTCAGCCGTCACGATGCTCTTGCGTGGACAAGCGCAGCTTCGACTCTTCAGGTCCACATCAGGGAACTCTCGTAATAGCAACAGCCGAGGATATGAAGCACGGAGTAGCACGGAGTGCGCTTATTTGGTAGCTTGCAAGCCAACGGGAGTCCCTTGAACGGAACAAATCGAGAGCTGACGGACCTACTCTGCCGGCACCGCCCTTTGACTGAGACGAGGTGAAATTAGACAGCCGTCCTTGGGGGGGACTCAACCAGGTCGGTCTGGCGCACAATGCTGGGACAAGACGTCTTCTGGATCCGGAGCAGTGAGGCGCTAAGAGGCCCTGGAAGCGGCTACAGTTGGTGTCTAGCGTTGCTGTGGGCTCCCATTGCACAGGTCCTTTTGCAAAACCCACTGCGAATCCACTCGGAGCCGGCGTTCACCACGCAGATACGTCTCGTACTGTGACTCCATCGTCCTGCCAGACCCTACCAATACTGCTTGGTGCCTGGTAGGACCTGGTAACAGTACTCGCGGAAGCCTTGCCTTCGGAGGCGGCCGCCGCATCCCAGTATCCAGTCGTCGTGATAATCGGTCCATGATGGGGAGTGCTGGACCTGCGCCCATGAGGAGTTGATCGAAGCGGCAACATCAAGTAATAACAGTTGCAGTCGATCGAAGAGGCGATTTGGCCGTGCAGGTGTTTGGGAAAGACGCCTGGAGAAACTTCCGCTACTCGAGGGTACGAGTATACATGGCCAGTAGTGTCGGCCGAACCATCTGGTGCATCCGGCCACCGTTCAAACGCCCGAGTCCAAGTTATTGAGCGAGAGTTGGTCAAAGCGGTTCTAAATCCTGAAGGCCATCTACTCCTCGTACGAGCCTGGTGAAGGATGTAATGGTACCTCGCCAGGAATAGCAAACGTTAAACAATCCCGCAGTCAATGCTCTCGAGAGGGGCATCTGTGAGACGACGACGAATGACGCAAATGGGGAACCGTCAGTGTACGACGTTCTGCTTAGGACGAGCCCACCACCACTGCATGTGAGCAGCGGGCATACACTTGGTCTCGCCCGCACGCAGCAGCAGCTGGCGATATCATCGGCGATGAACAGCGCACCCGGTTGTCTGACTGACTGGCTGGCTGGCTGCTGGCTCTGGCTGACCGACACGGTGCTTGCTGTCTTGTGGGGGAGCGGACGCGGGCCGTTGTGTTGGTCTGGTCCATTCGTCGCCTGGAGGGCTAGCGGACAAGCAAGGTGTGGTGTCGTGGGAGATTTCGTCCGAATGCCGGGAAATTTTTTGCATCGGCAGAGGGAATGACGCCCCCAATCTCACAAAGAGAAAACTCCCGCCTCTGCTGGCTGCAATCGTCATCCCACGCTCACTCCCTCATGCCCGGCTCAGCCCACTACTGACTCTGCGCCAAAAGGGGGCATCTCACGCGGAAACACAACGCCACCACTCACCGGCCAAGCACGAAACACTGCAGGCACAGCCGAGTAAACGTCGTAGTAGTAGTAGCTGATTGTCAGGGCCGAGAGCGGGTAACCAGCTTGTCGGGAGCTGTGCTCCGGGGCAGCAGCAGCATGTCGGCGCCCCGAAGGGAGGAGATGAGCACTGTAGGTGCGACGCTCGGTACAGTATGGAGGAGAGCCGCCTGGAAAAAGCCACCAACCGGATGGCCCTGTCGCCCAGGCGGACTAGTCGCAGGGTCGGAGGCTAGCATCGTGCTGTTGGCCCGACCAGCGATAGATGCCGTGGCAGAAGCCGTTGATCTCATCTGACACCTGGGCTTGGCCCAACGGTGAAGAGAGGCTTGGTCTAGCCCTCTGGGCTACTGTCGACTAAGGCCCTGTGCTGTCGATCGACGCGTCTCTGTCGTTGGCTTCTGCCCTGCGAGGCGTTTGTTCGCTGCAGAAGACGAGGTTCAAGGAATGTGAGAGGCTGGGCTTGCCCTGGTGCACCCGTTTGGCTTTGGCTCTTGCCGCCGCTGCCACCTTTGAGTTGCTGCTGCCAACTTTGACCGTGAATGCTTACTGTAGGTACATGTGCATGAAGACAGAAGGCGCACCCTCGGTGCTCCGTGCTCTGCCCCGTGCAGACGAAATCCGTGTCACAGAAGTACTGGGTACGAGAGTGAGTGTAGATCATTCGGTACAGCCAAGTATAAGTTGCCAATGGCAGGTACCTATCCAGCTGGTACGGGGTACCGCAGCATGCCGTGCCCACCGCCTGGCAGTACCCACCTGGCACTTGCCCACTTGCATGCCAAGACGTCCATGTCCTCTTGCCCTCTGAAACCGACAGAAGGAGCCTTGAAGTTATTACGGAGCACCTACTTAGGTACCGAGAGCACCTGCACCTGCACCGGCACCAGTAATACCACCACCATCTTGAAGGCCCAGGGCTAAACGTTCCCCCTTCAAACCGACACTTTTTCTCGGTTGTACACCAGGCATTTCTGGAAACACGGCTGGAGCCTGTACCCGTGTCCGGTTCACTCACGATGCACATACCAGCGATCAGCACCAGAGCATCGACAGATAGCCGCCTCGAAGATCCTCCGATGCAAGCAATCTGTCTCGTCGGTTCCTGTCACGCCGCGGATCACCATCTGGAGCGCACGTGTGAACTCCCTGGGGACTCGGTGTGGTTGTAGCCACTGGCAGCTAGCAAGTCACGGCAGTCACAATCGCTCGATGGCGAGTGGAGCGGCGCGATTAGATGAAGGACCATCTCCAGCGCCCGAGACAGTGTCAGAATGGAGCAGAAGAGCGATGCTGCGTGTCATTGGACAAGGCGACAGACTCTCGGCACACAGTGAGGACTTCTCTCTGCGGCAACCATCAAGGGCATCACTTGATTTCATGCGGCATCGACCGGTTGTCGATAACAAGAGTCAGTCGACACCACGAGTTCCAACAGCGATTGTGACGAAATGTTCGAGTACCTTGGCTCCGAGTGGCGGCCTTGCACGGGTCGACCCCAAGCGCGGCGTGGCATACCTGGCAGAACATCCGCAAGACGTGTACGAGTCAAGGTCATACTGATATCAGCCGAAGTCCTTCTTCTTATTGCTTTGGTGCTGCTAATCAAATGCCCAAGTGTTCCATTGCACTTCAAGTTGCTCCGTCCCGTCTGAGGGGCCGTTAGCACAGCGAAACGGAGCGCCGCCTCCGTACAAGAGGTAGGTCTAGACAACGCTGTTCGAGTAGCATATGCGGAGGGGCGTTGCACCCCTCCCCCACTACTAACGTGCCAGGGGACGGAGAGTCGACACGCCAGACAGAAATCGTCCTTGTATCAGACGTATTCGCTTTTCCGCCTCGGTCCGGGGACATGGCAGACTAGGTCGACGCCGCAGCAAGGCGGTTGTTACAGTACACCGGCCTAGGGCCCCTGCGAGGATGCCCGAAGACCGTGGTGTCTGCTGCCCTTGAGATGCATGGCTCGAGTAGTAGTACTTGTGCGAATCGCAGCCTCGGCCTTATCAGAAGATGCCTGCTTTCTATCACATCAGATTCCCGCTCAGAAGCACCTGGCTGATCGCTGGCCTGTCCTGGCCTGATTCAGCGTCTCACTGCTTTTAACGCCGAGTGTCGCCCACCCGTCCCACGCATGTATGTGCAATTGATGGAGCATCAAGCGCAGGAAGTTGACAGTCTCTCGCAAAGTAGGAGATTGAGGCTTTTGCGACAGGCGTGAGTCGAGCTGAGCAGAGCTGAGCAGGGTTCATGGTTCTTGCAGCAA